AACTGATGGTAACTGGGGTTCAACAGCATCTAAAGTACCACATGTTCCCCAATCATTAATCAGACCAAGAACTGACAGTAGCTGATAAATGAACCAGAGGACCTCAGTTAATCAGTGTTGTTGTAAGGCTCTTTAAGGTGAGTTGAAAGAAAAATGTCTGGCTAATTTGCCTGGGTTAAAATGAAGCTTTTGTTGTTACAACACACCCTGTTTTGGGTGCAGCGGTTAAAAACTCATCAAGCAATAGGACTGGGTTGTCAGACAGTTTTCTTTGCCTCTTCATGATTTGTGTACAATTTGTTATGGTCAATCTGAACAGAGAACGAGTTTCTTTGATCCAGGTTACATGCCACCATGGTATCAGATACTGTATTTAAGAAATCTTAATCACATGAATTGGAATTAATCAGTGGATAAATGTGCATAAAATTAAAAGGCATATTTTAACTTTTTTAATGTTTTAAAAAACATTAAATGTTTTAATTTTAAAAAATGTTTTTATGTGATATTTGTTTCCCAGATCCTGTCTTAGAAGAAGCATCTCTCCTGTGTGAGAGAAGGGGAGAGAGGAACTCTTCTAATTCATGTGGCCTGATTATTTGGGGTCACAATTTTAGTTTTACCAAACTAATTTAAGCACAGATATCCTTTCCATGTAAAGAGATATGCTGGAAACGGCCTGTGTTTTGGCTTTGGAACAGAGTTTGCAAGTTAAGACTTTGATTTCCCAGCTGACACCTTACAAGTGCTCCACCTTGACAAAACAGGTTTCAGGAACATCATTGCTACACAATGTCTTTTCTACTTGCGTAACTGGCTAAACAGCACCAGCATAGGCCCGTGTGCCTGTAAAATAACATTAAATATTACTTTTGAGGACGCATATGTTAAAGCTTCTACGAACAAATCTAGACTTGTGGCTGCTGGTAGCTTCTACGGTTGACCTCAATAACCCAAAGCGTGAAAATCAAAGCAGAGCCCAACCCAATGCACCTCAATTACATTTCCAGGAGCCTTGTTTATTCTTCTCCACCTTCCACTCTCCTCCATCCGATTACTATTGGGCAAGGGGGGAAAGAGTGGGGATGAATCTGCCTGCACATCCCTGTTGCTGTTGCTTCTGCACCCGCCCATGTGTTGGGTGCTGAATGCCTACAGCAGGGAACCTGCTGCATGCCAGTAGACAGAATGCACCATTTAGAACCCCGATTTTCCAGAGTTGTAGATCATGCATGGAAAACGTATGCAAGAGAAGAGGCTTCGTGCTGCAGAAGTTCAACCGCCAACAGGCAGAAGTCTTACAAAATGGTGGGGGATAAGGGGCCAACTCTCCCACTCACCCAATGGACAATTCGAGGATGGGAGAATGAATTAATAGCACTTAGGTGGTTCCAGGTACTGTGATCCACAAGGTTGTGGCATGTCAACTAAGCCCTCACCCTCTCCCTGCAGCCTCAGTCATCAAGATGCATAATGTCAAGGGATAACCTTGGCAAGGCCAGCCCTACCATCAGGCAACTGGTTCAGGCAGCTGATTTTGGTCATCATGAAAGAACAGCAAAATCGTTCAATTGATTATTATTCTTATTTCCAGAGGGGAGGAGTGCTTGAAGGGATTTTCTGGTCCAGGTGCTGAAATAACTTGAGCGTCTTTGGGTACTTGGATTCAGAAAAGGCCAACTAAAATTATCTACTTGCATAAGAGGTTACTATCCTGTCACTAGTTTTCGTGTGACTTCTATATGCAAAATGGAGAGAGGCCACCATTTTGCCCTTGGGCCAGCCCTGTGCTTGAAAGACCAACGCAGCTCAGAAATTCCAACACCGATACATCAAACCTATGCAGCCAGATTCCTTGAAGATTTGATTTCCATGCACAACAATGAAACAGTCAAAACCAGTTTCCTACTGAGCGGCTGGGAAACAAAAATGCTACCCGTGGATCCCTTTGCAAGACATTAGATTTTTTAATGTTACAATTTTATTGTTAGACGATGCTATCTCCGCATTAAAGTTGATTTATGCTCTCTTCGAATATTCTAATTTTATGAAGTATTGATAATATATCCATTTATCATGTTCTGTTTTATTTCTTGTATTAGATTTCCTTGAGGCTCTCAAGGAAAGTACAACACAGATACGCAGGGATCCTGTTCTAGTAGCTTAGAGATTGATCGTTCATCAGTTATATCAGCCTAGTATTGCTGAAAAGCTTGGGTCTAGTATTTTCTTTTTACTTGCAATCTAATTATTTACTTTTGTTTTAGGGCCACTTAGGTAGATGGCTTAAAGGAATGGAAAATCTAATATAAATCCTAGCATAGAAGCAGAATCCTGCACACAATTATTTGGATCCAAATCAACACATTATTACTGGGTGACCTCCACAAGGCAGATGATGTAGGCTAGCAAGCACAGTATTCAAGGGATCTGTTCAGAGCCAAGATAGGGATGAAACGCCATACTGAATACACAAACTGAATGTTAAGGATGTTATTGTTGTGAAAGCATCAAGGCAAAAAAACCAAACCAACCACCAGCCCCTCCAAGACACATCCTCCCTAAAACACAGAACTGTCACATCTTATTTTAGTTTACCTTCTCCTAACTGGAAACAGTCGCCATCCAGGGTTTTGCATTTCCATCTCCAAGAGAAAGTCCTTCTCTGACAGTCTCAATGGTAATTTACCTTCAGAGTGAGGCTGTCACCCAATTAAAGAGATAATGAATTAGCTGGTTGTGACTTTTAATCGAATTAAATGTGAACACATTTGCATATGAATAAAACAAGACCTTGAATTGAAGAAAGCATAATTTAGATAATACACATTTGGCAGCAGGCTTAGAAGAAGTATCCACTCCTGAGTGCAAGAAGGTAGAAGCACTCAGTGACGACTGTGCCTGACATTTGGAGTTTTTATTAGAAATGTCCCCAAAATTTCTTTTTTGACTATTTGTTAAGGTGGCTGGATGAACTCCCCCTGCAAAATCATGAGGGGAGGGAAATAAATGTCTTTAAATTTTTCAGGAGGGGGTTTGGCATTCCTGTCTCATTGCTTTTTTCACAGGGTCACCATGCCACATTGCAGAATGCCGTTCCCAAGCCATTCCACGTTTGGCAGTAGGAAGTGGAATGCGGCTTTCTCCATAGCTTCCTGTTACCCACACTTCACAGTGACAACTAGTAAGGTCAGTGGCAACACCCTAAAAAATACAGAAATTTATCTTTTTCCCCAAACAGCAGAAACTTGGCTGCTTTCATAAGAATATATTCAACAACTGGGAAGGGGAGATTTCAACCCAGCCTTCGGTTTCATAAGCGTTTAGAAATTTTGATAAATAGCAGAATATAAATTTAGGGGTATCTGTAAACACACCCCAGCCAACTAAATGCATAAACCATTGTTTAATTTTTATAACTGTAAAGTTTGCAACACTATAAAAACATACAAAATAATTAGAAAACAGATAAAAATTCAGTCCTGATAAGAGAAATAGGTTTTCAGTAACAATGATCACTAAAAACTCTTAAAATCATGGAGTTATAAGGGACCTTAGAAGTCATCCAGCCAACTCCCTGCTCAGTGGAGAATGCAACATAATTATTTGAATAGGACCATTGTGATGCTCCAAAGCAGCAATCACCATGTGAGTATCATGATGTAAAATACTAAACCAGTAATGCAGCTTAACACATTGCAACTTACCGATTGTAATTGGCACAACTCTATCAGATCAGAAAGGAAGTCCTATAAGCAAGCAATCCATTGAGTTCTCTGTAGATGCCTGTGCAATAGTTACAGGTGCATCAATTAGAAGGCAACAAATAGGTCATTTGCTGGATTGGTTGATGCACTATGAAGCTTGAAAGGGGGGTTTAAAATTTTATTTTCTGGAATACATGGGAAAATATTAAAATCAAATGTCAATAATCCCTTGATTTACAAATCAGTAGAAGATCAAACAGCTATAGAGATTTTATTTTGACATTTTTCATTGATGAAAACAGTTTAACAGTAATATGTGGTTTCATTATGCTTTTTTAAAAAAAATTGCTGTAAACTAACGTGTACCATTTAAATTTTTTGTTGAAAAAGCATTCTTGGAGACTTTATAAAAATGTTAAACCTCATGGGCAGGGGGAGGATGAGAGGAGACAAGAACTCGTAGTCTGCAGGACCCTATATAGTGACTCTCATTTGCAAAACACACACATATATTGCTAAATGGGTGGAATGCTACCAGAGGCCTCCGAAAGGACTTGGGCCAAAACTGCAGTGGAAATGGGTCTATACTGTAGAATGAATGGGCCAGTTATCAGTAGCAAGACCAGCTGACGGCTGTGTACAATTAGCAGCATTTGTCAATCTCCACAGCCCTAGCCATGGAATACATCGTTCTCACAATGTGTGCCAGCCTCTAGTGTTTGGCACCTGAGTGCCCGCATGGCTTCGAAACAAAAACCACCCAATACTCATTGCTATCTTACACAATGAGGTATTTCATCCATACTGGCATGACTACAATGCAACTGCTAATCAATGTCAGTTGGCTGGAACAATCGTGTTAACATTAGCACTACCACTGTCGAAACTGTACTGTCAGGTCCAAGCTAACTGTACCATTGCGCACTGCAACAGAAGCTCCCCAAAAGGTAACCATCTAGAAATAGTGGATTTGATGCGCATCATTTCTTTTTAAATCAAGGCTTGGCTGATATCAGTATGTGGACTGTTTTATTACCCTTTGTGCACTGCTGATATTTTAGTTCAACCTTTTGTGCTTCTTGGAAATATGATGCCTTACAAAAGCATTACCAAAATGATCTACTTTGAATTCCACTCACCAAAAATATAGGGCAAATGTGCTCCTTTCTAGGACAGACGAGAGCTAGCTGCATTCTGAACAAGCAGAGCATAGTAAAGACTGTCACTCTTTGATTTGTATTTTTTTATTTTCGCTAGAAAAGAAGGAAGTGAATGGTGCAAAGAACCCCAACAGACATTTCATTAAATAAATTTATTTGTTAAAATAATTTAACTCCAAATACAACTGCTGAGTTTGCATTGAGTTCTATGTACAATTTGATTTATTTTGAAACATCATGATTTAAACAACTGACACCTTATAAAACTTGCTGCATTTTTTTTTTCAGTTATCAGTTGTAACAGAGCTCAACAATCAACTGTTAAATATCTTTATTCAACTCTAGGAAATCCCAAATTGTCAATGGTTAAGCCTAGTTTTCAAAAACACACTGCAATCATTTCTGGAAACCTCGATCAAGAACTGACAGAGGAATAATGCACATTAGAATTCCTGCAGCTGCCAAATTTGCTTTGCCATGGAGTTTTGTAATTACAGTCCAAGTGGTGCTTCAGCTGCACACTGGTGAAAAATCATGCATCCCTCCACCCTAAGATGACAGTAGGCAGCATGTGTTACATAGAAAAGTAAATACCAGTACATTTTCCCACAGACATTAATGGCAATTTCAGAATTAGGAGTGTAGGTAAAAGGACTGTTCCATTGTTGGTCCTATCAGAAGAAAAAGTCCTGAAAAGCTGCTATGAATATTTGCTGGGGGTGGTGGGCAGGGGGGGGGGGGTACCTTACCTAAAGAAAGAAACAAACCACAAAACCTTTAGAACTTATGCTGGTTTGATTAACGTTTGCAAAGGGCAAAGGAGGAAATATTTTCCCCTTCTATTTTCAAAAGAAGTTACAACCATTTATATGACAATATAAACTTAAAAATGCCAGCTGCAGAAAAATACAAAGCTCTATAAGAAAAGCTAAAGAATAGTAGGTCTTTGGATTAAATTATAATATTTTAAGGCATGTTATACCCCCCCAAAAAATTACTACCATTGGAATCTGATTGGGATACAAAAATAAGCAGTCATCCTTAACGAGCTACTCCCAGTAAGTATAATGGCACTGATGCATGCCAGTGTGCCCCTAGTGCGCATTTATACATGAGGGAGTGCTACCACTGCGATATGTTTCAGGAAGTTACAGGGTCTATACTTGAAGAGTGTGACTAACCCAGTGGCATGGGTCTAGGAATGCCAAGTGGTCTGGGTCAGAGGGGGGTGGCAATCACCTGACTTAATTCTAAGCACAACTTCAGTGTCAGCCAGCAGTGGGGCAGGGATAAAATCTTGATGCAAGGGAGACATGTCCAGGAGAAGCCCCTCACTGGAATAGGCTAGAAAGAGGGGAGGGAGAAATCAACACAGGAGCAATGGCACCTCTTGAATTGGCACTAGATAACTGGTGACACAAGACACCCATTTGACCTGTGACTCACTCTGCTGGCCTAAACACATGACATGGGGGCGAAACCCCATGTCAATGTAAGTAACTGCAGCTCTCCTGCCAATTTAAAATATTTTAGCCAAGTCCATCCTTTAATGTCCCACTATAGTAGATTTCCCTAGCATGGTGTCCTCCAGAAGTTTTGAACAACAACTCCCATTTTCTCTTACCGCTGGCCATACTGGCTGGGAGTCATGGTATTTGTAGTCCAAAACATCTGGCGGGCACCAGGGTTGGGCACTATAACCATGTAAGCAGAACCCAAGCAGCACACAGTATGCCTCTTTAGAATTACACATCACATAAAACTGTTACAATTTGTGGGAATACACAATGCTTTGTCTCTAAAAAACAGCAGTAAGCATTATCAAGGAAGTACTTTTCTGTTCAAATCCACCACATTATGCAATGACTTCCACATTAAAAGCATGCCCATTATTATTTTTTTACCAAAAATGCTATTTATGTCTTTCAGTCATCTTACCTGTGTCACTGTTATGACTGCATAAACTACTTGGCATGCAAGACAGGAACCATGTTTGGAATAAGCAAAAAATGTAATCAATGTTAAGGTTATATCTGTCCATCTCATTTATTTCAATGGTAAAGCTGGTTATTTTCCTAAGAGACAAAGCAATTCCTTCTGAAACCTTTTAAGGACCATGAACTCATGACAGTTCCCCTCTCCGCATGCAAGCTATCAATGCGCTATGCATTAAGTGCCACAACTCCGTAGGCTGTGCAAGCTGCTTGGGAAGGAGCTACATTTTTCGAGTGGGACCTCATGTTTAGCATTACGCTCTTTGCGTTTTTGATTTAAAGAAAAAACCATGCAAGGACTAAGGCAATAGTGGCCTATAATCATCCATCATTTTTCTTAAACTGTTAGAAAGTGAACTAAACTAAACGTGTTCCGCAGTGTCAGAAATAAAGTGGCCCAGTGTTACCAATATTTCTTTTTAAAAAATGCTTCTGAATTCAGTTTCTTTAGACACACTTTAGATTGCAGGTTGTTTTTCTGCTGATGGAGGCAAACATCTCAGAACTCAAGTTCATTACAGCATTTGTAAAAAGTCACACACTCACCCACCGACACGCACACAAGACACATACAGGCCTCTCCACTCGTCTACACAAGAAACTACACAGCTACTCCACAAGACTGCAAAACCAAACTGTGGGGTGGTATTTGGACCACAGGCTCAGTGATATTGCATTTTAAAGGCCAAAATCATCCATAAAGGTCCAGCTCAACATGATCACTCCAGCATTTCAAACTTAGACATTCTGATTGGAAACTTCCTTGATTGTAAAACATCAGAATAGATATAACTGGTGCTGTTAAGTCATGCAAATTATAAGTATTCCACTGCTATGAAAATTAAGACCAGAGGCTGAGCACCATTTCAAAACAATGTTTCACTCACTATTTGTCACGGCAATAACCAGGGCAACAGGATCACTGTATGGCAGCACCTGACTAGCATGTTAGGCAACTGAAGAGAAGAATCTTTTCCTTGCTCATCTATGGAATTACAACACTGTGTATTCAACTTCTGAGTCTAAGTAACTTGCACAGTTAATTCAATCAACCAGTTGCCAATAGTAAAGCTATAAAATAGCAAATTTGAATTCCATAGATATCACATCAAAGACGTAGCCCTTAAAGGCAAGAAATAAACTGGTATCCTTAAACTTAAAAATGCAGGATGCTCAGACAGTCCCCATGAGGTTTCTGCAAAAGGAACATCTGGATACAACATGGCTTCATTTTCCTTACAAGGTGGTACTTGTTAATGTGCTAAAATTTCCTTGTTAGTAAGGCTAAGCAAATTTTTACCCCCATCACAGTTGCTTCTTCCTGTTTCAGTAAAGAGATGAAGACATTTCCCACTTTGTAAACAGAGGGTTGTTTGGTTTCTTGACTGAACAGCATCCAAAGCAATCCACCATTTCTGAATACCAATGCAGAATATTTAACACATTCCAGTGTCCCACTATTCTCTTCACAAGCCGTTGATTTTTCAGAGCTCCTCTCTTTACTTTCAAGTACAGGTGGAATATTTTCCTTTTCGCATGATGGGATAATAGAAAAGAATCAAATTTAAAGGGGGGTGGGGGACCAACTACATCAACTTGCCAATAATCCTACTAACGCTTGTGTCAAAGATGGAATTAGCATATTTGACCTAGTAAACTTGGCCACAAGTGACAAGTCCTGAAATTCAATATGCAGACACATACACTTTGTTAACCTGTATTTATCAGTGGAGAATATGTAGAGTGCAAAGTGTCTTTGCTGGTGCTCTCCCATTCACCATCAACAACAACTTAAAGCAGCAGCTGTTGTCTGACAAAGCCAACATACACTGTTTGTGCTCACCCTGTAAATCTGTTGGCTGTGTCACAGATCTGCAGGTGCAGGAGATGTGCTGCAGGCAAGTGAACTGTAGAAACTTATCCCAAATTCTTTCACTAAACTGATCAACTTCAATGTTCCGCTTGCAGTTAATGCTGCCACTCCACTTTGGATTTATCCCCCGAGACCCAATTTTAAACCACGAAGCGAAGTAGTCAGTTGTATCATCTTACCAAAAATACAGCAAATCAGGCCCAATTCCATCATTTGGAATGCTATTGTATATTACATGCAGAACAGCATGGATCATCTTTATCTGGCTGAGAGGCATAGTTCATCTGTCTGACAATCTCTGCAAAGAGTTCATCCACCATTGTTTTACTTTTGGCAGAAGTCTCCATAAAAGGACAGCCCCATTCTTCAGCCAGGGCTCTGCCTTCATTTGACGAAACTTCCCTCTCACTCTCCAGGTCCACTTTATTTCCAACCAGGATTACAGGCACCTTCTCATACCTGCAATTAGATACAAAAACAAGGTTGAAGCCCTTTGCAATCTTAAGGAAAACCATAATGCCTAATATACTGCTACAGAATCTTGGATTTGAAAAACAGTACAATGAAGATTTGGCAATGTGGCTCATTTTGGAAATCTTTAGCCCAGTTTTCTAGCTACTTTCAGCGTTGCTTCACATGATGTTTCAAAATGAAGAACAGAATGTTCACCAGTATATAACCATCTACTGAAATGTTAGTACTTTCCCACAACATGTTTGTCTCTAAAAAGCTTCAATAAGGCGGGGGGGGGGGGGAGGGGAGGGAGAGAAAGGGGGGGGGGATAGCTTGGTTCACATGAGGAAAGTGGTTTGGCCATTTATGCCCACACTTTTCTCTATTCCTCCTTGCACCTACTCTCTCCTGTTTTCACACAGTAGCAACACCTCCGGTGGAATTCTATCTGTTATATTTTAGCTGCCCAATCAGAATGAATTTCAGGAACCCCAAAGTTGTATTGAAAAAATATGACTTTCAAGCCGCCTGGCCTCCAAATGGCAACTAGGCATTCTGCTTTGGTAACTGTAACCATGGTTCAAGGAGCCATTTGGCACCTAGCTTATGTATCTGAGTTTCTAACACTGGTAATGTTGTCACTGCACCAAGAAATCACCTGTCAGAAACCGGTGAGATCCAGGGTTGGTTCCCACCCCCAATATGTGCACATATTTTAATCTGGAAATCTTTGAAGTGGGTAGAGAAAAGAGCCCATTCCATGTGTCTTCCAGAATAAAGATACAGTGTGCTGAAATGTACCAAAGTGCATGGTGTTCTTGCAGCATTTCAGAAAGCAGAAGTGTTGGGAGACATTTTACATCTGTAGTCATCTATGATTCATGCTTCACCAAATATCCTTATTTTAAAGTAATGCTGCAATGCAGAAATCAATAGAGCCATGGCAAAAGAAGCTGTAACACGAACTTCCTTCTAGCAACACAGTTGTATTCAAAGGTTACATGTTTCCACCACAAATGTTGGCATTTTTTCTTAATGCACACAAAACAAATGCAATTCGGGGAAATAATAAAACCAGACTTTTTTTATGGGCACCTAAGCCTTGCATGCTCACACTTGTTTGGGATTTGCAGATGTTCAACATGCAGTGGCAAGCGAGTTGCTCATGGAGGGGAGAGGTTGTGTTGTATTTTAAAGAAAGGCCGGTTAACCCTGAAGTACAACCACTTAAGTGGAACAATGGGTCAGTGTGCCTTGCTGTTAACCAGAAGGTTGGTGGTTCAAGCCCACCCAGGGACGGCTGTGGGTGGGATTCCTGCATTGCAGGCAGTTGGACTAGATAACCCCGGAGGTCCCTTTTGTGCAGATTGTGCAGATAAAATATCACAGATAGAATTCTAAAGGAAGTGTTGTTAGTGTGCGAAAACAAGCAAGATCCAAGGATTCCCAGGCATGAACCTCCAGATGGTGGAGACATCAGGCGCCATCCTGACACCTGGCAATCTTCACTTGGTTGCAAGTGGCCAATATCCAGGTGCAAAATGGAATATTTAGAACACTGGTTTGTAACATCGCCTAAAAACCATCATCTACTGCAATGTGCATAAGGAGGAACAAGCTGCTGTGAACCTTGAGCTTGAGTGCTTCCCATGTAGTCAAATTCAGAAGCTTCCACTTATCACAACTTGCTGTGTCATCTAGACTCAGAAATGCAATTCACATTGAGAATGGTTACTTTAAATAAGCCAGTTTCAGTAACCATGGTTTAAAAGTTGGCTTGTTTGAAACTAATCATAATTAACATTAACCACAATGGCTTGGTCTGCACACAACGCTAAACCATGATGTGTTAAACTATGGCTTATTAAACTACTGTTTAGTGTTATGTGTGAACCCAGCACAGCAGTTTAATGATAGTTTACCTATGGTTAAAGGTTGCTCATTAATCAAGGTTTATAGTTGGTATATACCTTAGTTAACATTAACCATAGCTTAAGAATTATGTGTGAATCTGGGCCGCCTTCTTAACTATGGTTAAAGAGCAGTCACTACCCAAAAGCAACAGAGCCATGAGTGAAGAGTATCAAGAATGTCAAACAGCTCTCAAAGCTTGGCTGCTCCCACTAGTGCTTTTAACAATTCTGTAATGCAATAAACAAAGGTTTAAGTGATAACTTGCCAGACACCTCAGTGTTAACCATGATTTGCTACTAAATCTGGTTTAGCACTGTGTGAACCAAGCCGATGCCACTCTGGATGGTAAGATATAAAATATGTTTGACTGTACACTACACAACTCTTTTTAGAACACCCCCCAAATTCGAAGCATTTCTTTAGCATCACCAGCTTTCTTTGAATCTCTATGTTACACTGGATAGTTACAAGTAGTAAAGAATGTTCTGACCCTTTTATGCACAGCTTTCATCAGAGAGGAGAGCTAACAGATACTGAATTAAAGTCTACTGATTCTAACGCAATCTCTCATCTTCAGTGAAAAGCAGGGTATTATGATTGCCATCCCTCGCCCCAATATTTAAATATTGTGCTGTAGCATGAGGACTGAGCAGAGCATGTTTAAACCACAATATTTGCTGCCTATGCATGCAAACCCAACTTAGTAATGACAGTTACAACATTTGAAGACTGCCAATCAGCTATGTACTCTAAGAGAATTACTAGTCTTATTTTTATCAAGAGCTAAACATAAAATTCTGACAACAGCACAGATGTTGATTGATAAGACTTTCCTTTAAAAACAACAACACATTTCATTGAAGAATGATTTGCTGTTAAGTCTTATGTCAAAATCTCTCAGGGATAGAAAGACATAGCATTTCCTTTAAACCTTGAATTTCCCATGAATATCTGAGCTTCAATAATCCACTATAAAATCTCTTGATGTGTGTACATGGAGGGTGGGACTACTGGATATTCAACTTCCCTCCTGAATATCTGATCTGAAATCATCTTTGAAGTTCTGGAGTGGGACACCTGCCAGAACTCTTAAGGCAGCCTGAGAATGTTCCTGAATGAGGCTCTGTGCATGTACATGACCCATGTGTTTGACTGCACAAGAAGAAGCACGTTTCCCAAGAAGTTTTTGGAGGGGTTTGAAGGCCTGGAGAAGGAATGGAGGTCCTCAGCAATCGTAGACCATGTGCAGGATTTCACATGCAGCACTCTGGATTCTACCCTATAGTGGGGACTCAATAAAGAATTTATCCAGATGGACAACCCTCCGGCACTCCAACTCAAGAAGTGTGAGAAGCACGGAGCTAGAACCTAAACATCCAGAGCAATGGTTCTTTCTAGAAAAGACATTTCCCCCCAAAATAATTACATCATCCTCTGAACCCCCCCCCAATACAAAACACCAGCAAACTATCACAAATCAACTGAACAGCGGCTTAAAATCCAGCACATTGCACTAACATCCGCCTCTAAAAATGTCTCTCGCAGAAGACAGGCAGAGGGTTCATTTGATAAAAACCAAATGTCTCAAGGAGAAAAAACAATTCTGAATTGATGCAAGTTCACTTTTTATTTTTAAATTTCTATGATAGCAAGACCTCAGTACAAACACCACTGCTGCTGTCTTAAATATTTCTTGGGAAAACAGCGTCAAGGGGAAGGAAATCCTTTGGATTCCATCCACGGAATACCATAGCCCACAAGATACATGGGCTGCATGAACAGAAACTCTGGATCACCCTCCTAGGCGACATAAAAGCTCTGTTCATTTGTAGGTCAGCTTGCTGTGATGATGCCAATTAGTGTGCACTTTTGTTTACAAAATATCCTGAATACAAATGGGAAATGTGGTTTAAATTTACCCCCTCCTGCACACACCCATTCATACAACAAACCATTTCCCCACCTTTGATCAGGCCGAAAAATTTACTCCTTTTCATAATCCTCCTTATCCTTCTCTGATGTATCTCACATCTTAGGCTATTGAACAGGAATGTTTTTCTAGTGTACATCCCACATCTTTCTCAATGTATGCCTTGGTTCCCTGAGCAGTTTCTGGTACATAAATGACAGAGAGGCCACAACTGGAAAATATTGCTTGGGCATAATAAAGTTTCTAGAATCTTCTGTACAATCAGCACATGGAAGTCTACTTTTAAACAAACACTGAGGTTTCCCAAAGAAACACATATTTTATTTCACCTAAGGAAGCCAAGAGGCCCAGATTTTGTATGGCACATAAATACATGTGCCAGAAGTGAAAAGCAAAATAGACAGATAATATTGTTATCCAGAGATGACATGCATTTTTACAGGTTTGTTGTCAGCAAAATGTACTATGGTGAATTACTTTTTCAGACTTTAACCAACTGGTGGCATATTATCCCCATTAAATAAAGATGCAGAATTTTAGAATTTCAATGCTTTAACATAACTGGAGCAGAGTGTCTTGGCTGCCAAAGCAAATTTGGCTACCAGACATGTAATTTGTAGATATTTATTGGTTAAGAGTTCAACTATCACTTCCTGGAGGGATTGGCCTTAGAGTGAACTTTTATTTAAAATATAACACTGCTAGGAAAACATTTCCAATTCCTAGGACCTAGAAGCCAATATTTAGGAATCCAGGATTTTCCCATATATCAGGCAGCTCATATCTGAACCATATTATCTGCTCTTCTCTTCCTCCCTCACCATGCAATTACTCAGAACATCATAGAAGTGGAATGATCTCATCAACTTGCCCAACTCAAGTTATTTAGTACCTAAAATTCAAGACTACCAACTATTTTGATTGTGTGTACAATGTACATTATCCACATAGCACCGATGCTAAGTGTCTTTCCATTAGGATGAACTGGAACTAAGTTACATTTCAGATATAATTCAAAGTCTACTGGTGAAACTATTTCCCCCTAAAACCAATGCCTGGATTTCTACTGCAGTAATTATTTTTTCCAGAAGTGCAGATGTGTTTGGGTTCCATTAATATAGAAAGAAAATTCCAGTTTTAAATGTTCCTATTTGCAATTATTGTACTAATTCTGACTGTGAATAAAATCAATTTATTAACCCCCTGTTCAAAGTCTAGACATGGAGAAATGAATGTGCGCAGAAGCAAAAACATGGCAGTTGTTGCCCCATATATTTCATTTCCAAGAAAACGTTATGGCTATACAAAAAAACCTTTCAAATCTGATAATCCTGACCGAAGAGTAGATCAGACAAAAATCTACATTTTAACTACAATGATTTATGCGTATCAGTTAATGCTCCCAATCCTAACTTTTGCAAGGCTACCACTTGCAAACAACTTTTAACAACAAACAACTTTTAAAGTGATCTTGGGAATAGATACAAGCAGAAGAATCAGCTGGCTGATCTAGGTATACAAATCTTTTCCAAGGATAAAACAACAGGTAGGATTCGATGGAAATCTAGGATGCTCTACAACAAGTCATAGGCAAACTCAGCCCTCCAGATGTTTTGAGACTACAATTCCCATCATCCCTGACCACTGGTCCTGTTAGCTAGGGATGATGGGAGCTGTAGTCCAAAAACAGCTGGAGGGTCAAGTTTTCCTATGCCTACTCTACAAGCACCATATTATGCGATTAAGCAATGCCACTGCAACCTTCTAATGCAGTGGTTCCTACTGTGGATGCACTGTTTTTCAAAAGCCAAGCCATGGACCCTCACCTTTGAAAATTTAGATATCTCTATGGTAGTTTTGGTTATGTGAATGGTGCCATGGGCCCCCCGGGGTCCATGGACCACCAACTGGGAACTGTTGTTCTAATGCATAAGCTAGCCTTTCCAAACTTGGCTCTATCTAGATACTTTGGCCTGTCCCAGCCCACACAGCACTAAATCAGGCATAAGGAAAGCTGTCATTCAGTTGCAACCTCTTACTATTCACCCAACTGTTCACCATTTTTGTTGCTTCACATTATACAAATCTAGATGGCATAGGTATATAAAATTATTCCTGATGTGCAGAAAGTGCTTAGAGAGAGATGCTTTTCTACCTTTCAGAAATACTGGAACCTTGGTTTCTCCAATGAAGATGAATGGTGGGAAATTCCGGACAGGCAAAAAAGATGCTAGTTCACAGAACACATAATTAAAATTTAAGACTTCATTGCCAAATTATGGGGTGGTGTCCATCAACTCAGATATCTCTAAAACGGAATTAGGCAGCCCTGTTCAGGGAAGTTTTTTTTAAATAGTTGATGTTTTATTTTTTAAAAATATTTTGTTCAGAGCAGCCCAGAGTGGCTGGGACAACACAAATGGACAGCACATAAATAATAAAATTATTGTTGTTGTTGTACTATTACTATTATTTTTACTGCTATGTTACCCCCACGAAGCAGCATGACTCTAAACACCAGTGCCCATGCAACATCCGCAGGAGCAACTTATTGCCCTCATATTATATTTGTGGACTTCCTAGTGACATCTGACTGATCCTTGTGAGAAATGGGTGCATTAGTTAGGTCTTGGGTCTGATCCAGAATACATATACTTACACTGTAGGAAATCCCTTTTGTCCCACCCTACCCCATATATAAAATGGAATTACAGAGCGCCTGAGAATTCTGATGACGTCTTTGGAGCTACAACAATGTATTTACTTATTCTCTAGAAAAATATTTTAGGATATAATGTTTTCCCATACTCAATCTTTCCCAAACACCTCATTACAAAGAGGATTTTAATCTGCTGTGCCAAAAAGCCATATAGTGTTCAGAACACCTCTCAACAAACCACAAAAATCCTTTCTGGGAAAGTGCAAGCCTTAAGGGGGGGAAATCTTATCCCGATAACTGTACAAACATTTTAAAACCCAGTTTCACTGCAAACGCTGTTCTAGCATGCAAGTGATGTGTCAAACTCTACCTAGTAATTATAAATGATATCTGCTCCTTCTCCTACAAAACATTTCTTAATCTGTGCTTCTGTAAGCAAGCTACTTTTAACTTTTGAAAGCTTACACTGGTATATCCTTTTTAGCCTTTCTTGAAGTAGTAACCTGCTGTTTTATTCTGTTTTTTTAACCCCACAATTTAGAAAGGGTTAACAGTTGAGCCAGGTTCTCTTAAGGTAGAATTCTTTAGAAACCTCTCCTCTTAATCTCCTTATGTGCAAGTACTGTACTGGCAAAAAACTGTTGACTCGCCTTTTCATTTATTTCTCAAGACCGTTTCTATGGCTTGAACCTGTTAGAATCAACAATATCCATGTTGTTAAAACTGAGAATTATTATTTCTGTAATGACAGACATTGAAAAATGATTTGAAAATAAAAGATAGAATTTTCAGGTACTTAGAATGTACGTTTCTTTTAAAAATCTGTAGTTGTTGGGAAAGAATAAATTATCCATAATTAGAAAATATTTTGCAAAGAATTCAAGGAAAATTTTTAATTAACCAAAATTTGGTTAAACCAAGTTTCCTATTTCATTGGAAAAGTTAGTAATGACTTAGGACGGGATCAAAGTTTAAGTGTGCACAATAGGACTGGCAGAAGCTGATTTCTGTGTCCCTCTCCTTCCAACAGCAGTTGACCCTACAAAATGCTCTCCTGAAAATGAGGGAACCTGCCAAATAGGGTGATCTGTTGTGCAGGAGACTGACAGGTTCCCTGAAAACTGGACGGCTACTGTAGGGAGAAGGGGACAAGAAGTCAGTTTCAAAAAGTCCCCGGATGCACTTTGGATCCAGCTTGGTGTTCCTAGTGAAACCTATCAGAACAAAGTTCAACTTAGTCTGGTCCCAACCCAATATCATTATCTCTAACTTCTGAACCTTTCGACATTTAAAATAAAGATATGATGGAGGTTTCAAACAATAACTGGGCCAAACATAGGCAGAACATTGAATGTATTCTGGAAGCTACTAGGGCTTTTTCTTTTTTAAAAAAATGTTGAAATGACAGTAGGACCACAAATGAATTAGCTTAGGTGCTTTTGCCCCAGCAAGTCTCCAGCTGCAGGGGGGAAATGAATAGTGAAATCTTCAAAACATCACAATTAGCAGCACTTTTTCCAGTCTGTAGAAGGGGAGTACGTTAGTGTCCTAAACACTGGATCACGCTGCAACATGAAAATACAGCACATGTATATTCTTATCTAATATCATAGATTTATAGAATCGTGGAGCCGGAAGAGACCACAAGGGTCACGCAGTGAAATTCCAAGCAATGCAGGAATCTTTTTGCCCAACACGGGGCTCAAACACACAACCCTGAGATAAAGAGTCTCATACTCTGAGTTATCCCTAGTCAGCTCAAAAACAATCTTAACAATGCCTGCAACCTTGGCATTCTTATGATCTGAGCTATCCAGGCTAAATTTTCTGCCCTAAATTTGTTGTTGTGCTTTTTCCTTTAAAAGATTCCTGCCCATGTTACTGTGGCTTGCTATCTTCTGCTTCAGAACTAAGCATGCTCAATTATAGACTACAGGGGTGGATATCTTGCCAAGAAAGGCAGAGGTACTACAATGCTACAGTTGTAGTTTTAGCAAGACAAGATACAGGTTCAGCAGATGTCTACTTTTTACTACAAGTGGTATAGAAGGTGATATTTCAAAGACTGACAATCTTTTTGAAAGTTTCGTGAAAGACAAGGCACAAAGTTTTAGAGATTTAGTTGCACAAGAACCAACATTTATGGCTCTCTTCAGGTTGCAGGATGTGGACTGAGTGTACATAACTTGAACTTTCTCCTCTAGATATACGGTTACGTAATTTTTCACTGTGTGAAAATTACGTAGTGTTTCCAAAACACTAATATCATGGTCACTGGGTGGAAACACATGGTAAAATAGTCTCATGATCATTTCATAACATGCCTGAAAACAAAAAAACCAAACACTTCTCAATCCACATCTTAACATAGAATGATGATTACTTGAATTAGCCTGAAATCAGCACTGAGATTTACAGTAAAGTCCATCCTGTGGTTCATTCTATTACAGTAGTTTGAGCATGATTACTGCTAAAAGATGTGTAGACTGACATGGATGCTGCAGAAGACATTCCACATACGATCTCTGTATCTGCCAAATTGCACGGAAAGTCTCCAAGCCAGCAGGAGGAACGCTACCCCCATGGAAGCATGCAAACTGGCAGATCCAGATAGGAACCCCATTATTCTTGTTATGACATCTGTGAGGAAGTAATGGAGGGCAGCTAGAGTTGGTGGCAAACAAAGCACTGTGTAACTAGTAGAGCTCACTTTATTGACACACGTTGTTCTGTTGTGATGCAACCTGTGTTTCAAAATTTCAAGTAGTGTAATAAGACAACCCAAAAAATAGCAAGTTCTATACACTTTACCAAGGACCTGGAAACTGTCACAACCTGTTTGTAATTGCCTTGTCTGGTGCACAGGCAGTGGGCTTTTTCAGTTCTACTAACAAGAACCTTTGACTAGTCTCACTGGAGTTCTTAAGTTGATATTGCTTGAAAATATCCACCCTATTTGGGGAATGGGGCATATGAGCATACATGGGAGCAGCAATAGTAATCAGTCATCGGGATTTTGACACTGCCTCATATACTATGATTGGTTAGTTTTGAGGATGACAGATCCTATCAAGTTTTGAGACTTGATGCTAATTTATATTTTAAAAATAGCATATAATCTAAGTTAAAAAATAGCCACAGAATTTCCTCAAAAGATTTCAGACAAATTCCACAGATTGATGGCTTTCTGTTCTCTACTGGAACTGTGGAAATGTCAAAAGAAACACAGATCATGTATCTTTACAACGTTTATCAGATATACGTGGACAAAAATACAGACTGAAAAGTAACCAGGTATCACACATGCAGGTGAGAATAGCATTTTAACCAGAAGCATAAATGGCTTAAGCTTCCTTAGTCTGAAACCACTGCTCATCCCAAGGTCAGTAGCATTTTGTAGAAAACAGAAGAAAACACACAATGAAAAATCAGTAACTATATTGGTATTTCACGTGTAAATACAGAAAGCCTATGGTTAAATTTATTTGTAAGAACAGTGGTAGAGATTAGCTCTGTAATTCCCAGGTGTTGGGCCCATTAGTAGACCACACACAGTTGGGGGTGGATTCTGGTGCCCAGGAAAATGGTGGTGGTGCTTATTCCAGCAGAACCAGGAAGTGAGTTCAGAATACAGCAAAAAATGTTCTGCATGGTGCACAGCCTGGTAAAGTACAGGCTACATTGGTAGGTATTTGGTCATCATTTCTCTGCACACTTCCCTAACAACAGAGGGATAGAGGGATTATTTCCCCCCACCATGAACTGCTTGTTCCTACTTGTACTTGCTTTTATCTAGGTATCTTAAAATGTTTCTAACCATGGGAAAAACAACAACTAACCCAGTTGTATGTCTTCTACTAGTGAATGTTGAAGACAAAGCTTTAAGGAAAGATATATTGCATTTCTGGATCTGGGACAGGGGACAGAAGAGTCATTAATAAAATGTCACCAACTGGTCACTTTAACAACATAATGCAATAGCATCTTAATAAACTAAGAGAGCCCATCTATTCTGATTGGAACAGTTTGGCGGTTTGAAAAAAACTATGTCCACTGATACTGCTACCAATGGAATTTCAATAATAGTAGAAAAATCACAGTTAACAACTATTGCTTACAATTCTATTTCCCTCAAGGAATAGATTCCACAACATATCCTGGGAGAGATTAATGAATTCCAGAGATAGCATCACTAGCAGAATCATAGGACAAAAAAACCCCACAATTACGTAAAAATAAATACATTTACAGATGTGCCTTAATAATGGTGTGTTAAGATTAGGAAGGAATTTTATACTGTGATATCTGTGTTTTCCTCTCCTGCACTCTCAATCCTAGAGCTGCTATGGGAGACATTATGCTGGACATGACAATCATATGCTTAAAGTCTATGGGTTAAAGTAGATTAGATATTGTGCCTAAAACTACTGTTGTTAATATAATAAATGCTATAACTTCTAGGGGAAAGGACCATGGTTTCCTAGCCCCCTGTACTCATCTGTTCCTGCCCACTTTCAAATGAGGCAAATAACACTCTTTCTTGTGAGGAGGCTTGGATGGCAGGAAAACTCACTATGCTTAGGGTTTGGGAATATGCTCCTTTAAACCAGATGCAATTCTTTATATGGGGCAGAGAATACAGGTGCCACCGCCTCCCCACTGTATGGCGCACTCTTCACTTGAACAAGACAAGCTGTTTCATTCAATTTATTTCTTGCCCCAGAGGCATTTTGTCTGCTCTTCTCCAGAGTTCAGAGTCTATGTGAAATCAGAATTGAGGATGCCCAAAGCAAGACCTTCTCTACAGTTGCACTACAGAATTTGCTCCCCAAGGAGGCCCACCAGGTACAACTCTTATATTCATTCATAAGCTTGTCAACACCATTTTCAACGGCTGGGCTTTTGGTAAACTGCAAGGCCTGTACCTTTTTATTTTACTGCCAAGGTATGGTTTGCATTTGGTTACTAAGTTTCAAACTTTGACGTTATTGCAGTATTTTATTGCTTTTTAACAGTTATCTTTCTTGTTCATTTTGAACCGCACTGGGCATAGTACAGTACTGTGAAATAGCAGCAAAGAGGCTTAAGAGGGTAATCTTTCAGTATTTAGACATGAGCAGATTCTATCATAATGCAAGAGGTTGGACCTTCAAAACCTTTTCAGCACTTAACGTTTTAGGGCTGATTTTAAAGCAGATTAAGGCATCCATCTAGATGTGTTGACACTGAAATAAGCTGATGCTGACAGGCACATCAATTATCATTTAAAAATTCTGCAGTCTTAATACTAATAATTATCAGGAATTTTTGAAGGGATGCAGCTTCTGGAAATATATTTTTCATGCTGATTAGGATGTCAAAGATCTTGCCTGAATCGCTTCAGTATGAAGAGTCAAAGAGTAAAGCTTTTCTCTAATGCCATCTTATTAAACCTTGCAAAAAAAAAAAGTAAATTAACAACCAGAGAATCAAGGAAACACCCCAATTTGATCCAGCCGGATGGAACACCCCATCAGGAGACTGGTTCTAATATTACAGGGAAAGATAGTGTTTACTATGGGTAAAATTATTTTTAGTGCTTTTAGGCAGAGTTAAGTTGCTTTCAGAAGTAGAAAGTAAGACATCCCAAACCACTTGTCTGATGTATAGTTGGAGGGATGGGCATCTGTTATGCACATGTGAATAGGCAACAATACAGGCAGAGAGAATGCTTCTATAAAGCAGAAATCTAGGCAACAAGAACAGGATATAAGAGGTGTACTTTATATTCAAGTTGATGTGTAGACACATGTACAAAAACATAGGAAAGAGGAAGGTGTATTAAGGAACATGCAAGGTAACCAGCATGGTTTATGAATGCTGAAAGCCTAGATAAAGCTGGAGGTGAATATGCCAATGTTGCAGTCAGGACTTGCAGAAGTTGTGCAGGCTGTTGGGAGATGCAACACAGAGCTCCAGAAGTGGGTGGAATGAAGAACTGAAAGCTCTGTGCATGGGAACAGAATTAAAGATAGGCAAGGCAAGGGCACAGAGGACAGATAGATCTGAAGTAAGACGCCATGTGGATAAAAAAATATATATAATGTGGGTGAACAGGAATGACAAGATTTCTCACCAGGTTCCCAAGGAAGGATGCAGTGTAGGATACTGGGCATGCAATTACATTCTGGCAGCACACAAAGGGCAGGAAATTGGTTGACATACTGAGCAGGGGATGCAGGTTTGGGTGTTAAGAGGTAGGCAAGTCTCCCTGCAGTATTTAGAGAGCGCTACCTGCAGGCAGGGAGGGGGTGAAGCTGAAACAGTCAGGATGTGTAGGATTGGTCTGAGGGATGGTAGGGGTTTTTTTTGCCAGGGCAGGTAGGTTTTGACACCTTAAGCGAGGGCAGAAGGGCCCATCTGGAGGAATAAGGCAGAAGGAAAGGGTGCTGGATGAGGGTCCCGGTCCTGGAAGGCGATCCTCAAGGATGGTAGAGAGCTCCCTGCAGAGCAGTCAAGAGGAGGAGGAGGAGGAGGACTGCTGGGCAACAGGCAAAGAAGGCTAGGTGGGAGCAACGCAGAGGAAACAGGGAAACGCAGAGGAGGCAGGGAAACGGGGATTTGGGTGAGGTTTTTTTAGGGGGGAGAAGCGAGGGGTCTCTCCTAGCCAAGGCGGGGTCTCACCGCCCCCATCCTCACCTCTTGACGCGGATGATCTGGTCTCGCATGGGGCGGATGTCCTGGAAGCTCTGCTGGTTGACGAGGCTGTAGACCAGGATGAACCCCTGCCCGTTCTTGATGTACAGGTCCCGCATGGAGGCGAACTGCTCGGTGCCGGCCGTGTCCAGGATCTCCAGCACGGAGGGCGAGGCGTCCACCTCGATCTCCTTGCGGTAGAAGTCCTCGATGGTGGGGTCGTACTTCTCGATGAAGGTGCCGGTGACGAACTGCACGGTCAGCGCCGACTTCCCCACCCCGCCCGAGCCCAGAACCACCACCTTGTACTCGCGCATCCTCTTCCCGGGCCGGGCTCCGCCGAACCGCCTCGCCCACCGGCCGCCTCAGACGCCGCCGCCGCCGCCGCCTCTTCCTCGGGCGCTCACCCGCCCGCGGCCGCCACCGCCGCCGCGACCTCCGGCGCCGCCATGGCTGTGAGGGAGCGCGAAGGGAGGAGGCGGGTGGGCCGCTCCCGCAGCCGCAGCTGCCCCTGGGCGGCGCTACCGGTCGCCGCGGCCGCCGCCTTCACGGGCCGCTGCTAATGCGGCGGCGGCGCTCCCCTTGCTGCTGTCGGCTGCCAGCCGCGGCGGACGCCCCGCCCCCTCATTCCTCGTAACCAGGGGAACCACCAACCGGGCAGCGCCGGGGCGCCGCGTCACGTGCACGGCAGCCGCCCGTCTCCGCCAATCGCCGCTTTCAGGGGAAGTTGAATGACACACGCGCAGAGAGACACACAGACACTCTCTCACACACCCTCCCCACCTCGTCCTCCGCCCTCTCCCCACGTGACCAGCTCTCTTCGCCTTCCCGCTGTAGCCTAGGAAACAGGAGGCCCGCCTTGCCCTCGTCGGATTTGGGAGGGCACGTGGCTCCGGACCAACCGGAGCGCGCGCCCCCCGAAAGTCGCGCGCGCGCCGCGGCGGCGGCCCAATCGGCGGCCGGGGTTCTGTCGCTGCTGGGAGACGCGGTGGGAAAGAGGACTCTGAGTGGCTGGCGGGCGGCGGGCGGGCTCCTTCCCCTCCCCCGCCCAACGGTCACTTTTCCCTTAGGCGGCCTCTGGGCCTGGCAGGATCTCGTCGGCCGGCGGAAGGAGAGGGGTTTTCCCTCACGGGGGCTCTCAACCCTTCCCAACTGTCCTGTTTTCAAAAGCCCAGTCCTCTGGGCTGCGCCGACGAAAATGAGAGGCTTTTTTGTTCATTTCTTACGAAGTTCCTTATAACTTTAGTTGGTTAGCCCTGGTAACACCCGAGGTTCAATCTCCGTGCATACGCCTGCTTTCACGGGGTTAGGCTGGATGACCCCTGTGGGTCCCTTCAAACATGATGATTCTGTGCCAACTTATTTCAGCATAGGTCTCCAGGAGGGCAGCTCACGATATGAGAATAATAAAGCGCAGTGAGGTAAAATCAACAGAATTAGCGAAGGCGGCAGCTGTCCCTACCTGGACAGGGATAATCCAGCTACTGCCTATGCTCTGGTAACTTCAAGGTTAGATTACTGCACATAGTGCTGCCTCTGAAGACGGTTCGGAATTCAGCGGCCAGGTTGCTCACTGGAGCAAGGCAGGTTGAGCATATTACACTGATCCTGGTCCAACTGCACTGCCTGCAAATTAGTTTCCTGGCCCAATTCAAAGTGCTGATTTTGACCGATTAAGCCTTAAATGGCATAGGACCGCAATACCTCAAGGACCGCCACTTTCCAGATGAACGTACCCAGACCCTGAGATAATCTTCTGAGGCCCTTATTTGTTCCTTGTCCCTGAGAGATCTGGAGGGTGGCAACACAAGAACTGGCCTTCTCTGCAGTGGCTCCCCGTCTGTGGAATGCTCTCCCCAGGGAAGTTCACCTGGCACCTTCATTGATTGACACCCAATGGCTTTTTAAAATGTGTTGGGGAGGGAGGGGGATTATTGGTTTTTTTACTTTTGTGTATTTTGTGTTTTTATATTTTGGTTTAACTTGGAACTGCCCTAAGACCTGCGAGTGTAGGGCAGTATACAAATTTAATAAATAGTAATTATTATTATACAGGGTGATGTACAGACTGACACGTGTGTGTGTGTGTTTGTGTTTGTATGCAACAGGCTAAGCAACCTGTTTTACTTTTGGAGCTAGAATATAGCACATAAGAACAGCAGTATTTGCTGTATTATTTTTTTTCCTTTTCTGCAGGTTTGGTACCTGCTAGAAGACAGAGAATGGAACACAGAGACAGGATCTAGAGAGATCTCCAAGTTTTGGAATCGACCTCTGTTCAACTCCTTAAGCACTGACATAATACAGTATTGCTCTCATTGAGAACCGTTTCAGTCTGGCTTCAGGCCTGGTTTGGGCAGTGAAATGACACCCCGAATGATGTCTTTTACTGGGAAGGGACAGTGGAAGTGTGACCTTGTTAATTTTCCTGGGATTTCTCAGCAACATTTGATACAGCTGACCATGATATTCTCCTGAATTGGCTCTGTGGTGTGGGAGTGAAAGGTACAGTGTTTAGGTGGTTCTGCTTATAGGACTACTTTCAGAGAGTAGTAGTGGAGGACTTCCTGGCCTCATGGTAAGTATGCTGTAGAGGCCCTCAGGGTTTATTCTGCCCCTATACTCTCTATCATGCATATGAAGCTGCTGGAAGCAGTTTGCAGGGAGTTTAGAAGAGTGAGGTGGCATCAGTATGTTGATGACATTCAGCTGCATTTCTCCATATAATTTGAGTCAGGTGAAGCTCTGCAGGTTCTTGTTCAGTTCCTGGGGGTAATACTGCTGGATGAAAGCCAAAAAGCCGAAGCTGAATCCCAACAAGAAAGAGATTCTGTGGATTGGGGGAGCCTAGGTCCGGAAAATAGGAATATGGCCCTTTCTGGAGATACTCCCCCTGAAGTTTAAGGTATGTAGTCTGGGAATACTTCTCAATTCCACTTTGTTTCTGGAGGCCCAAGTGACCTTGGCATTCAGTACCCATTTCTAATTATGGTTATCTTGCCAGTTCCGGCTTTCTTGCAGGAGGACAGCCTGGCCAATGTGAGCCAGTAACATAGTAACCTTCCATTTAAACTATTGCAATGAATTCTGTGTGGGGCTGCCCTTGAAAATAGTTCATAGATTGCAGCTAGTGTGAATGCAGCTGCTACAGAGTCCTGATGGGTCTGATGTATTTGAAAGAACCATGTGATATACTTGTAAGTTCTGTACTGACTACTTGTTTTTCTGCTGGGCCCAATTCAAGACAATAGTTTTGACATATAAAGCCTTGAGCAATTTAGGACTCTGAAGGAGTTCCTCTTCCTATTCTCTCCTGCCCATTCTTTGAGATTGCCTGGATAGGCCCTCTTAGTAATACTATCAGGTGTGGAGGTCTATGGGTCAGGGACCCAATGGAGAGCTTTCTCAGCAGTAGCACTCCAGTTATGAAATCCCCCCCCCCCCAAGCTTTGGCTCGCTAGTTACCCTATCTGTGTTTCAGTACCAGGTAAAAATATTCCTTTTCAGAACAGTACTGTAGTAGTGGCATACCGGTATGTAGTGCAGCTTTTCCTGAAGTGGATTCTGTTTTACCTTTGATTACTTTGTGTTTTGTATGTATTATAGTGTTGTAATCTGCTCTGGACTCTGATGAAAGGTGATATTATTTATTATAAGTTTATTTATATAATTATTATACTTCTTGTGACTGACTCAAATCGTAGGGCACCTTTAAAACTAATTTATCGTGGCATGAGCTTTTAAGTTAGGGACTGGCAGGGTTCCAAAGAGTGTGTGGTGGAGGCAAGGAACCAGAGATTTATGGGGTGTGATGCCACCCACAAGGCAGGAGCCAGGGGAGGAAGGGAAGTCAGGGTAGTCCGAGGCAGAGGAAAGTACAAAGGATGTGGTGAAAGAAGGGGCGGTTCAGGCGAGGGAACACACCTTCCCCCACCCTACTGTCTCATAGAACCAGGAATGGCTTGAAAAGGGAAGCCCAGTGAAGTCTCAGGTAAAGGTATGCAACCCGTCAGAGGAGGGTCATGACATTTTATAAGCAAGAGCCTATTTGATGCATGAAGTGGACACAATTGGTATATACATGTTACATAGATTTCACGCTGTAATATTATGTTGCACATTATCTACTTATCAAAGATGGAGGCAAGCAAGTAGTCAAGTCAGTGCTCAGTAGAAGTTAGGCAGTGTTACTAGTAGTTTCTGAGCAGCCTTGACTACGCTAGCTTGATCTTTTTCAAAATGAGGAGCCTGGCCAGAGTTTGCACTTATGTAATAAAAGGCCAGATGGGATTCTACTGGTTCTTTGTGTTACCAGTTCCCGGTTGGGCTATTTTGTGCCACAGAGCTAAAGCTGGCAAACTAGCCAAGTCCTCTGTAGGCTTCCTAGTGGCATGGAGCTCTGTGGCCAGTCCTCAGTTTGACATTCCCACACAACTTCTCAAAGTATGATAAAATTCCAGGGTACCAGTTATCAGGGACAGTTTCTGTCGTGGCAAGATCACAGTGGGGAGAATTCCTTCTGTAATGAAGTGTGTATATACAAATATACAGACTGAGAAGATTGCAAGCATGTAGTACTAGCCCTATAGTATCTGTCCCTAAAACCATGCCACACCATTGCAGTTCCCTATGTATTGAAAAATGTGAATAAAATTGAGCTGTTCCTGGTTGCCTACAAAGTGCTGTTGCCCCTCGAACAGATACTCTCAGGCAGTTGCTTACCTAGACTGTATATATGCTGTCCTTTATTTATTTAACATAATTTATATACTGTTTAATCACCAAAATATTAAAGAGGCTTACATCCATATTCATAGAATCATAGAGTTGGAAGGGACCCAAGGGTCATCTAGTCCAACCCCCTGCAATGCAGGAATATGACAATATGTCATTTTTGATATAGTCATACCCCGTGTTGCGTTTGCTTCATGATACAGTTTTTCAGGTTGCATCCCACGGCAACCCGGAAGTACCGGAAAGGGTTACTTCTGGGTTTCGCCGCATGCACAAACGCACAAAATGACATCACGCACATGCGCAGACGTTCTGCTCATGTTGCGAACGGGACTCAGGAACGGATCCCATTCGCAACCAGAGGTAACACTGTATATGGTATCTAGGCCTTTTAAGCAAGACACATTTTACTTCGGTCAACCAGCCTCACTTTTTCTACAACTTTGAACAGTTAACCCTCTAATTAACTGTATGTATCATTCTCTCTTGTCACATCTCTTTTATACAGTAACACAGGCCCTCTGAGCAATGATCATGTCATGCTTGTGTTTTGTGCAGTCCTAATTGCTAGTTGTAAATCAGTGGTAGATGGTAGTAAAGGGAGGAATCCAAACCCAATAACTGAAATAGGCAAATATCTGGCTGCTGAAGTCTCAGCTCATCCAGAGATACAATGCCATAAGTTCTCCATTCTGGCTCAGCTGCGGCTCAATCGAAGCCAGAGAGTTTCCTGAAAATGGGATGAGGCAAGGGGAGACTTACCTCTATTCAAACTTGATTTAGCTGGTTTGCATGACCTAGCAACCCAGTGGAAGCTACACTGGTAGAAAGGATGGTGGAAGTTGAACTTTATTTTAGAGGCTTGTTTTCCCGCTGCCAAGTCCGAGCTGGTCCAGCCAGCAGTAGCCCTGCTTCTGAATGGAGATTGGAATAGGGGTAAATTACAGAGCATAGTTTATCCTAGCCGCTTAAAATGGGCATCTTTGGGACTTCCTTCTAGTTTGAATGCATACATAATACAAGTAAAGCAATAGGAAAGTTTGCAGTGCCAGTGGGGAATTTTAGTTGTTTCAGACAACTGTCAGAACAAGTTTCAGACAACTGTCAGAACAAGTTCTTTTTTAAAATAGGGTTGGAAGCCTCTGCTATCTTCAGATAATTTGCTAATAGCTTTCTGCTCCCTTAAGCAAAATGACACATGTATAGGGAAACTTTGAGTCAGTTTGACTCTACTCATGGTAGTCAGTGAGTTGTCTCATTTATACCGTAATTAAGGAACTGGTTCGTGTCTATCTGAGCATACTTTATATTGCACAACTATTCTGAAATTACTTTGGTGGAGATTTTGTATTTATTAGAATTCCATCTGAAAATATATGTGGTTTTAATTAACTGAGGCTGAAGCCACACCCAAAGCATCTGTTTCTTGGCATCTCCTCCAACACCACCCTTAGCTGGTCCCTTTGGTATGTGAAGAATTAGATGGCTTGCCCAAATTATGTAACAAATGACAATACCAGAGCTAGAAAAATACTCAGAAGGAAAAAGGTTTCCCGTGCAAAATGTTAAAGGAAATAAGGTATATTGTATAGCAGATGGGATGAAATAAGATGGCATGTTACCATACTCAGTTGAAACAACTACATACATGCACATTTGATTTCTCTAAAATAACTTATTTCAAAATAGTTTATGGGAAAGTATGAATCCAATATATTCCCTTTATCAGATTATTCTCACCTAGGTATCATGAGATGCTTACTTTAGCTGTGAGTGGAAAGAGGAAAAGCTAAATTCCACTGAAAACAAATTTGTTTATAACCGAAAGTGTCTAATTTTAAAAGCTTATTACAATACTAGGGGCTGCACCCTTGCTTGCTTTTATTACCCAATGCCTCTGGGCCACCCCCCACAACCTCCCCGCCACACTAACCTCTTAGACCAGGCAACCTTTTTGGCCACCCTGCAGGCCAACTTTGACAGTTGGGTGGGACAACCCACCTGTCCGTCATATGATTTACTTATAATTACATTGATATCCCATCTTTCCTCCAAAGAGCTCAAGGTGTCCCGCATGGTTCTCCCTCTCCCCATTTTATCTTCACAACAACCCTGTGAGGTAGATTAGACCAAGACACAGTAACTGCCCAAGGTCCCCTAGTCATCATCATGGGGGAGGGGGAATTTGAACCCTGGTCTCCCAGCTCAAAGGCCAACATCCTAACTCAGTGGTCACCAACCATTTGGACCTGTGGGCACCACAACCCATTATGTTGACTCTAATAGAATGCCTGTCTCAAGCCTAATTTCATCAGGGAACCCTGTGAGCACCAAAGAAGGTCTGTGTGGGCACATGTGCACCTGAAGCTGCCATATTGGTGACCCATGTTTTAACTACTGCAGTGAAAGTGCCAGGCCTCTGCATCAAAAGCGGCGGGAGGAAGGTGGCGGCAGCACCTTTTCTCTAGGCTTCAAGGATGCTGTATGCTTGTAATTTGTTCTCTGGCCCCTTCAATGGCAACTTAATAGATGAGTCGAGAGGGCTTCGCCACGAGACAAGGGGGAAAAACAGAAGTAAAGAGAAATGATTATTCCTTAACAGTATGCCGTTGCTCACCCCAGAGGTCTTCTTGAACCAGAGACATGCCACCTCCTTACCCAAACAGCTAAATTATCTCTGGCCTCACAACCATTCCCAATCATTTCCTCACCTCATCAGAGCCAATCTTATCCATATCCAGGGCATTGGGCCATTAAAAAAAAAAAAAGGATGCTCATTCTTCCAGTCCAGGGTATCCTCTTTACCCTTTCAACAGCACCGCCAAAAATTAAAATGGGTTGCAGGGTCTTCATCACTGCACTAACCTTGGGGCACCTGGGTCCTCCAGGTTTGACAAAAATCTGCCATGAGCAACTTGCGGAGAGTGCAGGAAGGAATTAGACCCACTGAGAACGTGGCTGTGAAAGGTGTTCATGCTTGACTCAGAAAGAACAGGAGGCAAATAAAAGATTTTGAGGAGTATCACTGAATTGTATGGCTTATGAGAGAAGCAGTGTTAGAAAGTCAGATATATCAGCTAGGTGCCAAATGGCTCCTTAAACCAGGCTTACAGTCGCCAAAGCGGCATGCCTAGTTGCCATTTTGGGGCCAGAAGGCTCAGAAGTCATATTTTTCAATACAACTCTTTGGTTCCTGAAATTCATTCTGATTGTACAGATAAAATTTAACAGAAAGTATTGTACAGGATGTGCTGCTAGTTTGTGAAAATAGTCGAGATCCAAGGATCCGCTGGCATGCAGTGCCAGAAGATGGAGATGGCAGGCACCATCCTGGTACCAGAGCATCCTCACTTGGTTGATTTGATTGACATCCTATGCCCCTTTAAAATGTTTTGGGAGGGTATTGGGTTTTTGTTTTTATTTTGGTTTTGTACTTCGTGGTTTTATATTCTGATTTTATCCTGAGACTTGAGGGTGGTATATAAATTCAGTTAATAATAAGAATAAGAATAATTCACTTGGTTGCAAGTCATCCAACGGGATTGTGTCACAATGGGGCACATGCCACTGTTACTTAGCAACCTTGCAGAACAATGTGCATTGTTCCTCTTAATATTAGGGTTTTGTTTTTTACAAAACAGCTTTCAGTGAATTAAGCTTTTCTTTATTCATATTTATTTGTTAGAATTCTAGACCACCCTTTACCCAGTGGATCCCATTGTAGTGTTCAATCATTTTCTTTAAAAAAAATAATGCAATGTAATAATATCCTTCAAACAAAAATAAGACTGAGAGGCAACAAAGATACAAAACTATTGAAGCAGAAGAGCCTACACAAAATCCCTGGGCAAAAAAGCATTTTGTAATCTTATACACAGATTGTATATCCACCAGAACTGTTAGGTATTCCATATTTGTTTTACTAAATACATGTGTTTCTCCTCCCTGAAGAATTCTGGGAGTTATATTTGTCAGAGTGCTGAGAACACTGCTACATGTTTCCGTTTTCCCTTCACAGAATTGTATTTCCTAGGATGCTCTGATATGAGGAAATCACTCTTAAATCAGTTAAAATCTGCAGTGATGAGCCCAGGGATCGAAATCTCTGCTCAAATGTCCTAATAAAAATGGTGAGAGTACCCCGAATAATTACTTCTTCCCATTCAACATACACATTGTCATTTGGGGCTCCAACTTTCCTTGTTTATTTTATTTTTTCAAAAGTAGGTTGGCTTTTTATTTTACCAAAAGTAACGTGTCGTGGCTAATATTAGTCATACTCTGAGTGGACTCATTGAAATCAGTGTGGGTCTACTCTTAATATGACTACCACTAGGTATCATCTTGTTTTCATTTGCTTAGGGCAAAGCTCCCAGTTGGGTGCTTCTCCTGAGGTATTGCACACTCTGTGGTAAAAAGGAAGTCTATCACTTTGCCTCATTTACTGATTAATGCAAAATATAAAGCAAGCAAGCAACTATTTTTCCTGTATAAGCTAACTCTCCATTCTTTTTACCGTGAGAAATGACCGCCAGATTCATGTGTTTTTAGTGCAGACCATTTTCTGTTACAGACATTAAAAACTAGCAATGCAACCATGTGGATGACGCATTTTTTGATCCTACCCTCACCTCTCTCCTGCTGCTGAATGGAATTCTGTGTTTTGTCAGTGACAGAATCGATATAGTTTCTATAGGCATTCAAATCAGCACGAGGCAGACTTTTAAGTCGATTTTTCAGGGTCAGAATCAAAGTCTCAACGCTGCTATCACAGCAGCAGAATATGCTCAAATTGACCACATGATGTTCTTTCTTCTTAAGTACTGTAGATTTAAGCACTGCTGCTTACTGTATACTTTCAGCATGTTGAGTATTTAGTAGTAGCTCCTTAGGATGTCGTGAGTCACCTCCCCTGCTCTTCTTTAGAAACGCACATAGAGATTTTGCTGCTTGACAACAGCATAATTTAAAACATTTGGACTGAGAGAAAATCTACTTTTTAAAAAAAAGCTCTTTAGAAGCATTGCATAACCATTTTTTGAAAACATTTTAGCTCATAAGAGCTTATAGCTCAGTTGTTGCTTTTTTAAATAGTTTAATGCAAAGACATCGCTTTGTAACAGACCCTCAACCATAACTACATCTGGTGGGGAATCCATTTTCAGTCTTCCACACAAAGACAATGCTGTGCAATTTTTAAAAACATGCACTGTCACTCATTTCCCATTATCCATCAGTAGATTGACTGTAACTGAAAAGCTCTGCTTTTTCAGTGTCTCTGTGAAAATGGGTTTAGTTCATTTGGGAGTTGGGGAATCAATTGATTATGGCCTCAGTTGTTTTTTTGTCTTGTATTGGAATGTCTGGCAGTGGTACACCGAAATGGATCAAATTATATAGAAATCTTTGGAATCTTTTTACTGCTGCTATTATGAATGTATTGTACTAAGGACTAAGGCCACCACTGTTTCCAACTCTGCTTACCCTCCCCTTGCAAACCACTGCAATCTCTTTACACCTCACCAGCCCCTTCCCTTTACACCCCATCATCACCCCCTTGCTCCTTGCATTCAAGGAGAATGGTTGCAGTTTCAGACCCTCCAAGCGTCCCTGTTTTCCAGGGACTTCCCTGATTTAGAGAAGCCGTCTCAGTTTCTGATTTGATCCTGGAATGTCCCACTTTTCCTTAGGATGTCCCTATTTTCAATGGAGAAATGTTGGAGGGTATGGAGTTATCCGACCCCCAAGCCATCTGAAGGCAGTCATGTATAGGGAAGGTTGTTTTAATGTTAAATGTTTTATTATCTTTTTATATACATTGGAAGCTGCCCGGCGTGGCTGGAGCAACCCAGTAAGATGTGTGGGGTATAAATCGTAAAATTATTATTATGGAATGGGATGTCCCTATTTTCATCAGAGAAAAGTTGGAAGGTATGCAGTTTGAGGGAGCTGTAAGGAGGGCATGAGCTGTAAGAGGGTTTGGCAAGGTTAATGGAAGTCTGGGTTTAGCAGCAGGCTCACCTGGGCCATCCACTATCCGCGCTACTCAGCTGTGCTGCCTGCTCACCAGTCCATCTTGACTGCTTGCCTGGGCTGCCTGCATGCCTGCCTGTTTACCTGGGCAACCTGCTTGTCCCTTTCTACATCCCCCCACTCCTCACCATCCAATGTTGCTTTTCTGTTATGCTGTAGTTTGTAGCACCACCTGTTGGCAGCCCCACAAACTGCAGCCTGACAACATCCCTACAGTTTCATTAAATATTGCTTTCTATTTTATATGGATTAGAATGGTTTTAAATGCTGTAAGACACTGTGGGAAGATAATTGTGCTGCAAATAGTTGTTCATACATTTATTAAATAAATAAAACCATCCATTGTAGCTTTCATTTGATCCATTAAAAGTGGGTGGGGTTTTATGAAAACTTACAGCCTGCCTTCTCACAAGCTCTCAGTAATAAGTTTGTTTTACTCGGAAGGGTTGAGGGAGCAAAATATGTTAAATGAGAATTCTTGGAAACATAGATCATTGGTCCATCTAGATTAGTATTTTTGACAGTGACTGCCATCAGTTCTCCAGGGTTTCAGGCATGGCTCCTTTTCACAGTTTGAACCAGGGACTGTTTGTGTGTAAAACATGTACAGTGGTGCCCCGCAAGACGAATGCCTCGCAAGACGAAAAACCCGCTAGACGAAAGGGTTTTACGTTTTTCGTTGTGCTTCGCAAGACGAATTTCCCTATGGGCTTGCTTCGCAAAACAAAAAAGTCTTGCGAGTCTTGCAATTTTTTTCCGCTTTCCCCCCCTTTTTCTAAGCCGCTAATAGCCTTTTAGCCGCTAAGCCTTTAATAGCCGCTAAACCGCTAATAGCGCTAATCCGCTAAGCCGCTAATAGGGTTGCTTCGCAAGACGAAAAAACCGCTAGACGAAGAGACTCGCGGAACGGATTAATTTCGTCTTGCGAGGCACCACTGTACTGAACTCAAGCATAGAGCTGCTAAAAACATAGCAGCAGGGAAGTGCTGTTGAGATATTAAGCTTGACTAGGAAATATCCAGCTGTGTAAGAGGCACGGTTCTTCCTGCACTGATGCTGTCCCCAACACCCCCTTTTGTTTCAGCCCCACGTTCTCTGTTCTTAGAATCATAGAATTGTAGAGTTGGAAGGGACCCCAAGAGTCATCTAGTCCAAACCCCTGCAATTAAGGAAATTCAGCTAAAGCATCCATGATAGATGGCTATCCAACCTCTGCTGAAAAATCTCCAAGGAAGGAGAGTCCACAACCTCCCAAGGGAGACTGTTCCACTGTTGAACAGCTCTTACTGTCAGAAAGTTCTTCCTCATGTTTAGTCAGAATATCCTTTCTTGGAGCTTGAAGCCATTGGTTCAAGTCCTAACTTTCAGAGCAGGAGAAGACAAGCTTGCTCCATCTTTCATGTGACAGCCCTTGAGATATTTGAAGATGGCTATCCTATCTCTTCTCAGTCTCTTCGAGGCTAAACATATCCAGCTCCTTCAGCTGTTCCTCATAAGGCCTTCTTGACCTTCCCATGTTGAGTAGGACCCACTGCGCAATTGGAAACCCTGATAAAGTAGCATCTCTAGTTGTGCAGAGGTGTTCAAATGAAAATGGACAGAACCCCCCTTCAGACCTTTGATCAGGAAGGCTAAAGACGTGTGGGGAAGTGTGGGCATGGTGTATGCAGCCACAGGCCTCTTAGTTATTAGTAGATCTCTGTCCACACACATTCTAATACTGGTCTTGCCCCATATCGACTGCAAACAATGCCTTCTGCAATATCTAAGTGAAATTTCAATGGCTTGGCTAAAGGATGAGGGAGTACAGATTGGCTTCTCTTCTTAGAAGCTTTGCAATGTATGTCTCCATCTGTTTTGATAAAAAAGGTAGTAAAACAAGTTCCATCTTGATGCTTTCAGATCTCTCAATTGTGCATAAAGTAATTGATTTTAGAACTTGGGCTCCCTTATGTTTGGTACAAAAAATGAGGCCAATTTTCTAAGACGTCTAGGAGGTGTATGGTATTTAGAAGTATCAGATGAATAGCTTTGCCAGGCTCCTTTATTTAAAGAGCTATAATTATATAGGAGCAGAAATTTTGATTTGAAAGCAGCTCAAAATGATGATTAACCTCAAAAAGCATAACACAGTTGCTACCTTGGCGAAAGCCTGGAGGCTGGTCAAAATGTTATTACTGTTTTCTTCTGTTATTTGGTCTTCTTCCCAGAACTACATAGGACAGTTTTTATGTTGGCACATTCTGTTTCCGTGTTGTTCCATCATACTTTCCCCCCTATACTTTCTGTGAATTAGTAACTAAATACTATTGATGGTGGGTTGTTTGGAGGTTGTTGTTTTTTGCTCCTGGTGAGTTTGCAAATTATTTTGTGTTCCTTAATCAGTATTAATCTCCAGTTAATCAGAAATGGAGATAGTATTGATCATGCTAGCATACCCCAGGAAATCTAACCCATTTTGAAACATAAAGTTAACCACGTCAGCTTTACCGTTGGCATCAGAGTGCCGCAGGAAAGAGCTGGGAACCTGGGCTGCATTGCCAACTGCCAGGGATCAGAAGAGATTGGCACAAATACCAACATAGCCCTTATTTTATGTTGTACATTTGTGTGTAGATTAATTGTAAGCTGCATATTGGGAGCCAACGTCAGCTGAAGTGTGGGGGTGGCATAAATATAAGCCACATCATTTTGAGGGGAACAGGATACAGGGAGGCAGGAAAAACAGGCAAGCTGAAGGCCACCTTGCCCATGCTGATTAATCCTTCTGATGGGAAAAGGGGTGCAGTCAGGGTGGCTCTCTGTAGAGCTCCTCTGCTCATGCTGGGTGCCTTCTGGATCAAGCTGAGGAGGTGTGGCGATATCTGCTCCATGGATTCCGGTTTGGCGTTTGGCAACGCCACTGCAAGCTCCTCTTCCAAAGCTGCATGCTTCCCAGCTAAGCGATGGGGTAGCGGAGGCATTGATTGTTTCCTCGTAGCCACCTGTAAAGAATCTCTAAGGGCCCCTCCAGACTCTGTTCTGCAACGTGACATTGATCCAATAATAGTTCCTTAGTGGTGGATTTACATTGCTTTATTCTATTTTTTTTATTACTGCATTTGTATCATACCCTTTTATCCAAGGAGCTCATTTAATTCCCTCTTCCTCATTTAATTCCCACAAAAGCCCTGTGGGGTCATTTTGGATGAAAGGCAGTGGGTGGCCCAAGGTCACCCAGTTGCTTTGCAATGCTTACTCAATGTCACCACGTTATTAGTATAGGATATATCTAATCTCATATACAAAAAATACTTAACTCTAACTAACGCATGAAGGGGTTAAGACCATAGAGTAAGCTGTCCTGCCTGGCTTAGCTAGATCATACCCCCTCACCTTGGGAGGAAGAGCTAGCAAACCCTTTGTTCTCCCGCTTTCCACTATTCTTTTTCACCATGTGACACCTACCAGTAAGGCTATTGAAGCTGGATGCTCCAAGCCACCTTTCTGTTTCTATACATATAATTTAGAAGCATTTACCATTTACCAACATTTTGAAACTAAATTGTACTGCTTGTCTTTTCTTTCTGCTGTATGGAAAAGTACATGAATCAACTCTTTGCAGAGTTTGTAAGTAAAACATTTTTAACTTGTCAAACATGTGGTCTCTTTCTATGCTAAGGGAAGTGGGAGCTTTGGAAGCAACATAGAAGGGAATATTTTAAAGGTCTAACAGCCTATGATTCTACGCTTTATTTTGCTATTTTAAATATCTGCTGGGGCTCTCTCACCAAAAAATACTTGCCCCAAATTTGGATCTAGGCACCCAGGACATTCTCCTTTTATTGTATCAAATATTTCCCTTTAACCAAAATATTAAAAACCAACAATTGCTATCTGGAGGGGGGCACTATTGTGCTATAGTGCAACAAGCGTGAGACAAAAACAAACTCTTAACACTTGCAAAATACGGGATTTCAGCAGGAAGCTACAGGATACAAAACTCATTGGAAATGAAGCAGTATATCCACCATGAAACTTGCAGGAGCAAAGAGTGTTGAAAGTGGGATCACGTATAACTGCATATAACTGCCCCAATACCATCATGAGCACAAATCATCATAAATACACAATAAACAGAATGTCTGGAGGGGCCCAGACAGGAGCAAAAAGAAAGGGTAAAAAAGGGGGGTCCTCTTTAGTTTGACTTCTTTCTGTGCCACCACAATTCTCCACCCATAGGACCTCAGTACTATTCAAAATGTAAGCACATTTCTTCAGAAAAGAACAGCGGCTGTAATCAGGATACTGCAAACTTCTGCACTGTTCTGAGACCTTGTGAAAACATTTTAGAAGTGTTTCTCTCCTGCCAGCGGCAAAACATGTTTACTGCCTTACATAACCCTTTGACAAAATAGGGTTTTTTTACTTGTGTGAACCGGACCATAGCATTTGTGATGATGAAGTTCAGAAAGCTAATGAGAAACGAGGCTTAATTGCGATGTGGGTTTGTCATCATCTTGTGGCTAAGGGAGTGGGGGTGGAATCTCTTAATTCCTCCTATCATGTTCTGCATATAGGCTGACTATTTTAGAGGGGAATACAGAAATTCCAGAGACCTGCAGCAAAAGAGTTGGCTGATTAGTTTAAATTAATGTATGAAAGCCAACCCACCTTCACTGCTGCTTCTCACTTCTTGACCTCTTAAGCGTTGCCAGGTAACAGAGCTGCAGTGACTGGAAGCCAGAGTTAAGCAGGCAAGTGCGGCAGCCATGCCAGGGTCTGGACAAATTCTGTATCTAGCCATCCTAGTTTTATGGTTCACACTGTGCCCCTCCTGATGCTTCATTTATAGCACTATAGTTCTCTATGTCCCAGGGTGGTCACACTTTTTCTGTCCACACCAGTGACTGGATGCATTCAGATTGCATTGTCTCCTTCCACCAACCAGTAAACGATCATGTTATGAGCATGCACACATGTCACCGATCACCCTTTTGTGTTTGGTATAGAACTCCTGGTATTCCAAAATTCTGTTTGTGGGAGATTTGGTGGCAGGAACTACTCGTGTTCACTGTGTCGGTGTGAGCTGTCCACACATTTGAGAGACTGCAGTGGCAGGCTTCTGTCAAGAGACGCATAGAAATGCCATGAAACCGAAGTCACTTAACATTCCCCACCCCCACCACACACAAAAGTGGGAAAGTGTGCAAAACTTTGCACACCATGAAAATACTGCGGAACTGTATTTCAGAAATGTTGGGATTTGTGTGATAGAAAAAAAAAGTGAATTGAAGGCAATATTGTAGAATAGCAATGGAATGATAGCTTGTATTGCTAGAAGATGCAGATGATCAACAGTGGATTCTCCTGCAATAGCACTGGTATATATCATCTGAGGCATCTAGATATTACAGGTAATACAGGGCCAGACAGGTCACTTGCCTCATACAGAACAATAGTGCAATGTTCTTAAAACTAAATAGAAGACAAAGAGATTTAGCAACTCAACCCATTTCACAGTGTTTTTCTGACACTGCAGTGATTTTTAAATAAGTAGCCCTCACCGTAATTAAAACGCCTCTTGCTACAGCTTTCATGGCTGGCACAAGTTTAGATTTAGTCAAATGGATGATTAGAGCTGTGACATTTGATTCATTTTAATGAATTTTTCTACATGAGCTGTTAGTTCTGGAGGGCGAAATATTTATTCATTGAGCTCCATCCACAGGCAGACACACACACACACACACACACACACACACACACACACAGAAGACAGGGAAGTGTGCAGTATTTTCCATTGCTTATACTTAACCTTACACCATCCTATAATCAAAAGTTATCCCCATGGAGTTAAATGGGGCTTACTATTCAATAAGTGGCAGCCTTAGACTAGGGCATTGGGGCTGGGATTGTGCAAGCAGAATATGGGAAAATATATTTTGAGGAGATACCTGAAATGAGAGATGTGTCTTTACTTAGAGGTATTCTGCAAGACAGCTCCAGCAGTATGTGACATTAGGAGAGAAAGGATGGAATTGTTTGAGGGTGCAGAAGTCTCTCTGGATGGCTGAATGGAACTGGAAGGTCACAGGCAAGCATGTGCTGGGATAGAAGATCAGGGGCCCACCTGGTCCAGTATAACCTGCTGTCAGTGCCCAATCAGATTCTTACTGGAAGCACGCAAGCAGGACATGAGCACTATAGTGTTGCTTCTGTTAATGGAGGAAATATTACTGGTGCACTTCCCCCCATCTGTTATGGAACTCCCATAGAACATTTGGTTGTTCTTCACTTTGGCCACATTTAAGCACAAAAGGTAGAAACCACCTTATCTGCCCAGGCCTTTGGGATGCAAGCAACATTTTTTTTTATTAGTCTGTAATTTTTGCTCTCTACTACTGTTGCCTTGTTCTGTTTTCATATTTGTTAAGTTGTGGGTGAGCATATCAGACGACACAGCGATTCTTGAAACAGCTCTCGTTTATTCACAGGCCAGAACAGAACTGAACTGAAGGGTTCAGCCAGCCTGCTTATATAGAGTTCCACTACAACGCAACTGTAACCATTTTCTGTAACTATCCAATCACTGAATGTCACTTTCAATCCCCTATTTGCATATGTGGACCTGAGTGAAAACTATCTACACTATCCCCCTGCTGGCCCAGGGAGAGAACTTCAGTACATAACACCATTCAGATACGTTTTACTGTGCCGTGCTGCTTACCTGCGATATTGTATTGTTAGTGGCTCCACACTCCCATTCTGAGGAAGAATGGGGTAAAACTGCAAGGAAAGAAATATTTCCTTTACCACCTTTAGGCTGAAGTTGTCAGGAATCTGCACAGGAGACCTTGTATGTGTTTGTTTTTAAGGTGTGAGAGAGGGCCTCAAGGTGGTCTAATATCAAATTAAATATTAAATACAGGATCCCAGCTGTGCTGAAAATATGTAATTCCATGAATCATAGAATTGTAGAGTATTACAGAACTGTAGAAGGAGCAGATCGCTGTTCAGGGATCAGCGTCTCTGCTTTCCGTTTCAAGCCTAGTTCTCAGCTAGGCTGTTCTCAAGGCACAGCAAGCTAGATGCTGTAGGTACGTTTGCTGGGTTCTAGAACTCACCTTTACCAATTGACTACAAGAGCAGTCATTTTTTGTCTGATCATCATTGAGAGGCCTCGGCACTTCCGTGAAGTCAATCTAAGGGGAACTCTGGCTTCCCTTATTTCAGGCTCCCTGGTACAGAGAAAATCATCACCTGTAGGGCGTTTTGAGATAGCTCTTTGTGCCAAACGGAAAAGGGAAGGAAGTTCTGAATTTGTGAAAGAATGATTGTGCCAGCAGTGCAGATCTACCAGTCTGTTCTGACTAAAAAGCATTGCATGTGGATTGAGAATGCCAGGGGTGCCTGGCATAAACTCCTGTCTGAAAAAAGGACCCTAAATTCCAGCATTTCTTCATATATTTATTGCCTACAGCTTTTCTAAACGCAAGGCTCATTGATCCATTTTCCTTTGCTGGAATCGTTTTCTCAGTATGTCACAACAATGAAATAACACTGAGGTGCCAGAATCATTTTAAAATGTTTCTTTTTATTTCCATGGTTGCACATTGGGTAATTAAATAATATTTCAACCAACTCATAAATGAGTATTTAAATCAGGCTCCTAAATAATTACAGTACATGGAATAAGAGAAGGGGTTTATTTAACTGTTAGCAAAGGATGCAGTGTAAATGTCACCATTGATCATTTTGTATGGGCAAATTAAGGTATTTTGGTGAAGTGCTCTTATAGAAAATACAGAGACGTCCCAAGACACTTGAAATTATGTCTCGGCTTCAGTACTTGCTGACTATATTGGCCCATTTCATGGTTGCTTCAAAGGAGTATTAAAAACAACAACAACAACAACAGACCAATGTAAGGTCGATTTACCATCGTTAGACATTCTTTTCCAAAATATAAATGAAGTTTTGGCAAATAATATTTATACAGAAAAATAGGTTTAGATCTTTCCAGATTCAATGTATTCTACAAAACTACTCTAAAATAAATAAAAAATTATGTTCTTGTATACTTTTTTTTTTTAACGCTAGTTCTTTCTTTACTATGAGTACAGATTAAAAGCAGGAGGCACTGAGACTAAACAAAGTGCAGTTGAGAATGGGCAGAAGGAAACCAGGCTTGGGTATCACGTCACATTAAATCTCAGCTTAAAACAAGCTGTGGTTTAATGTGAGATAGTGGGCGCTCCTCTTCCACTCCTTCCACGTTGTGGATCAAACAGTGAGTCGGCCTTGTTGTGTTGTCTGAACCTGGGCTCATTGTCATTGCTCTCCAAACCAGCCAAGATCTGTTTTTAGCTTACCACTAGAGGTTTGTTTGGGGAGAAATGAACCACAAACCTGGGTTTGAAATATGAGACAAGGCAGATTCTGGCCTATTTTGTCCACAGGGTGGCAGCAGTGGAAAAGCAGCGCCGAAAACCTTAGCAGCATGTGCTTGCAAACACACCATAATTTGCTTTAAACTATGGTTTAATGCATGGGTAGGCAAACGAAGGCCCGGGGGCCGAATCCAGCCCAATCGCCTTCTAAATCCGGCTCGCAGATGGTCTCGGAATCAGCATGTTTTTACATGAGTAGAATGTGTCCTTTTATTTAAAATGTATCTCTGGGTTATTTGTGGGGCATAGGAATTCGTTCACCCCCCCCAATATAGTCTGGCCCCCCACAAGGTCTGAGGGACAGTGGACCGGCCCTCTGCTGAAAAAGTTTGCTGACTCCTGGTTTAATGTGATGTACAGACTGGGCCAGTGATTTTGCTGTCCTAGAGACAGGCATCTCTGAATGCATTTGCGTGACTTCTGCTCTCCTAGGTAGCCCTTGCTGAAAAGGGCAGGGTTAGACTTCCTTTGCAGGTGAAAATGAGAAGTCCTTGTTGCTAGTTCTGCTGATGGGACGCATTCTGGTAGAAATGGAAAACAGGATTAGGCTTGTGTTGCGGGCTGAAGATGGAAGCCAAAACAGTAAAATGAGGCAAGCAACAAACAGTGGGACAAAGTCCTGTGTTTAGATGCCAAGTGGCTGAAAGCAAGCATTAAAATGCATATCGCTTTAAGGGTTAGAACATCAGGTTGAGGCTGGAATGAACACTATCTGAAGACCAGCTGGGTGGCTGGAGCAGAGATAAAGGAGGAATCGGTTCTGGAGTGCAGGGCTGACATGAGGGCCGGCCCAAGACGTTTTGGCAGCTGAGGCCAGCCACAAAATGGCACCCTGCCCGCCCATCAGGGAAGAGGGGCTGTGTGAAGTTCTACACTGGGAGCAAGAAGAGGAATATTTCGGGAGAGCATGAGACTCTTCACGGTTGTGTGTTCGAGCCCCACGTTGGGCAAAAGATTCCTGAATTGCTGGGGGTTGGACTAGATAACCCTCGTGGTCCCTTCCAACTCTGCAATTCTACATTGGGAGTAAGGGGTGAGGGAGTAAATATCTATATTGGGAATGGGGGGGCGGGGAAGGGGCATGCTGGGAATCACACGGGGTTGGTTCAGAGCCCAAAACACCCCAGAAGGCAGCCCCTGCCATTTCATCCCTAGGGATGGGAGACTAGCAGAGCCTTCTACTCGATGACTTCTACAGTGGCACTGGAGGCGGGAGCTGCTCAGGAGGGGTAGATCCTGCCCCCAAAGCATATGTAGCAGCAGAGGTTGGCGACAAATTCCGTGGAGGCTGGATCTTGCCTTGCCTCGCCTCAGGGTTGGGCCAGCCCTGGCTGGCACAGTATGTAATGAGCAGGGTTTTTAAAAGTTGCAAGTGAGAACGTGCCAGGGATGAGTGGATTAATATATGTTGTTAATAATAAAATTATAAATTACTTCAGAGCCAGAGGCTGTTGAAGCAGCGTAGACCAAAGCAAAATGGGATGATGCAACAGACTCGGAAAACAATGCAGGTTGAAAGCTTAGTCAGGGCTCCTGGAGGGCAGTGGCGTTCAGGGAGTGGTTTGTGTGGGCCTCCTTCTAGCTGCCGCTGGTTTCTCTGCCTGTGCAACCTCTGTGACTCATGCTCTTAAAACTGTGATTCTCAAACCACTTAGTCCAGCCTAGCCCCATTGAGACAACACAGCTATTTTGGAGCCGAAGGATTGTGGTTTGACATAAATATTTTTAGAAATGTAGAAACAGAACAAACTTATATGTCAATACAGTGGAACTCTCTCTTTTTAAAAATAGGATCTCTCTTTTTCTCTTGGTTCAGGAGGAAATAAAGATAATGACGTTTGATCATTAATGAATAGAACATAACATTGCAGTGATTCTAAGAAAATAATTGTTTAAACATAATGTCCGATAAAACGTTCTTTCTACAGTTTAAATATTTAAACAACATACATAAATTGCCATTTAGTATTGTCCAATAAACTATCAAATGTTTAAATGCATTTTTTTTAAAAAAAGAAAGAACCCAAACTACAGATGTAGGTAAACGGCCATATTCTCAACCTAGGTTAAACATCTGAGAAAATTTACAAGTAAAGATAAAAGAAATACATATTCCTCACAAATTAAAACTAATGCAAGATTACAAACACTATGTTTACCATCAGATTTTGGGTTCTTTGTCCCCTCCCCCCTTCTTTTAGGTGATCGAAGCTATCGTTTGAATATAAACAGATATTAGACATTTGAAAAGCAAGATTAACACTGAAAAATAATTTCATTAACAAAAAAATCAATTAGTGCTTCTGGTCTTTCTGAGTAGGCAGTGCTGCCAGAGCTAAGTAGCTTAGAATCAATCTGAAAAGTCCAAGTTAAAATACTGCAATCATTTATAATGTTCACATGGAAAAAACCAGATGTTTCAAACAATTATACATATTTCCATAGAACAGCTGCTTTTTTGTTTTATAAACAATAATTTAAAAACTATGTACTTGTCTGATATATGTGCAACATATAAAATGTGAAATGTGACATATTTGGTACAACAGTGTAGGAAACAAATCTTAAAAACAAACCTCCTACATTAATCAAATGTATATAATTACCTTGTAAATCAACACAGTTTTTAAAAAAGTAAACATTAAAATCTGTTTTGTCCATATATATGTATGTGTATATATAATATGTATATAGCTGTATTAAAGATATCTTCATAGTTCTGTGACATAAAATAAGCTTTTAAAGAAAAAAAGGTTAAAAGAACTAGTTTCTTTCTCTGTGCTGTAATCCGGTTACAACTTCTTAAACCTGATTTTAAAAATACGGCAACAGTAACAATGGATTAAACTGAAGCTCTCTCTACATTTTGTTCAGTATTCTCCTAGTCATCTAGATTAAAGTCACTTATTAGTTTTTTCAATGACTCAGTTTCAATTATTCCGTTTTGAGTTAAATTAGAATATCTTGCTATCTTTTCACCTATAGACCCATTTCTTTAATTGGGAAGAAGTTATTTCATAACAAGTTCTTATTTTTGGTAACCTGATTGCAAATCTGAAAGCTTAATCACTTGGTGTAAATTCAATTATAGACATCAGTGTCACATAGTTTCAAGTCTGATGTGGCAAAATTTAGGCACTTTTGCAAAGGCTTTATTTTAAAAAATATCCTCTCTCTTTGTAAAATAACATAGTCAAGACTTTGTTTGGGGTATGGAAACCATACTGTGCAAAGGTTTAATTTAGTTCTAGAATGCCACGATTCCAGTACAGCTTCTCCGCACCTGCCCAAAATCAGCTCGTGTGCATCTCCGCAATTTGTGCTTTGCCTTGGAGCTTTTGACGGGTGATGTTCAGGGATACAGGGTTCGGCTTTCACATCACCTCCTTTGCCTTGGCATCAACTGCCTAGTAGAGAAGTGAGCTTTTTAAGAGAGTACAAAGTGGTCAAAGGGTTAAAAGTTAAGTCTGCAGTTGGTGAAGATTGGCCAAGATCCAAAGGGTGACTGGGGTGGGCACCCGAGGGCTTGCACATGCTTTGATCCCCCCCCCCCCCCCGCTTCCTGTGAGCAGGAGAACCCCCTTTGCCGTCTCACCTACAGCTTTGAGAACTCTCCACAATTTCTGAAGCAGTTTGCCCTGCGAAGTGGCCGGGGCCCTCGCCCACGTGGAGCTAGTTAGGTGGTTCTCTGGACCTTGGGCTTAGTGGCCAATGTAAATCATTTATTGCTAACATTGAAAGATTCATAAAGTTGTGAACCCTACAATAATATATGAATAGGACTACTTACATTAGCTATAATCATGGCGGTAAGACGATATTTCTAAGAAGTAAATGGTGCTGTATAAAACCTTTAAAAGTAAAATGTTACCCTTTTTTTAAGTCTTGAACCATCACAGCTGGCATCAGATAGTTAACTAGATTAGTTTGGAATATACTAAGCATACCATATTTAATATTCATTTTATGATATAGCAGCACTAGCTCTTTAGTGTTTTTGTGATTTGTCCAGACGAACAAACTCTTTACTCAGCATGCAGTTTGTGGCAATTCTATTGAAGAGACAGGGTAGTATGTACAGTAACAATGCTTTGCTGTCCTCATCGAGGCCTCTTGACATTCCATCCCATTCCTGTTGACTATTTCAGGATTATCTGTTAGAAGAAAAGAAAAAACAGCAACAACATGGTTGGGTGTGCTATTCAATTCTGATGAAGCGACTATTCCCCCCCCCCTTTTGCTTTTATGTTGCCTCAGAATGAAGCACACATATGATGCGCCTAATGTTCTTATGGACTAAACTTGCATAGTATGCGAGCTTTTTAAGAATAACGGTGCTCATTTGTCACAATTGTGTGTGTTCCCAATAATTTCCTGGACATGCAATACAGTCGTACCTCGGATCCCAAACGCCTTGCGAATCAAACATTTTGGCTCCTGAACGCTGCAAACCCGGAAATGAGTGTTCCGGTTTGTGAACCTTCTTTGTCGAACCTTGAATGTCGAACACAACTTTCCGTTGGCTGCAGGAGCTTCCTGAAGCGAATTGGAAGCTGCGCTTTTGTTTCCGAACATTTTGGAAGTCGAACAGACTTCCAGAACGGATTCCGTTTGACTTCCGAGGTAGCACTGTATTCAGAAACTCACCACTGTGCCCCCAGCTGTGCCCTGTGCCTTTGCCCTCTGTCTTGACAGATGTTGCTGAGAGCTGGGAATACTCTGGCTGCCATCTCTGAATGGCGCCACCCCAGCACCATGCTCAGCTGGGGTTCTCCTGTGCCACATCATTATTTCTTCCACAGGCACCTTCCCCTATGCCGGGGAAAAGTAGTCTCCAATTAGGGAATGTACTTCAAGCTTGCCTTTAGAACCAGAGACTAACCTGGAAAGGGAGATGTATCCATGAATATTTGCCCAATATGTCACCTAGGACGCAGCTATACAGCTGCAAATAAAACATTGTAAGAGTGTTTTAAGTGCAATATACAATGTGACACTAGATGGTGATGGTGAGCCTTATGGAAAATTCAATGTACAGTGGAACCTTGGTTGTCAAACATAATCCATTCCGGAAGACCGTTCGGCTTTGAAAACGTTCGACAACCGAGGTGCACTGGGCGATCATCAAAGTGAATGGAGAAAGTTGAGAAACGCACCTCGGAAGCCGTTCGACTTACGAGGCGTGTTCGAAAATGGAAGCATTCGCTTCTGGGTTTACGGCGTTCAGGTTCTGAAATGTTCGGCTTCTGAGATGCTCAAAAACCGAGGTTCCACTGTATTTTTTAAAAAAGCTTTAAAAAACCCCATTTTTAAAAAATGTGTGTGCAGATTCCACCCTAACCTGCTTAGTAGTAGTAAGAAACCAGAAATCCACAAATCCTGAAAAGTAGTCTCCAATTGGGAAATGTACTTCAACCTTGCAAACAGACACTCTCAGACTGAATAAAAGGGAAAACGCCTCGAGGTAATTGGATAAGGAAGAATTGGTGGCTTTTTTCTTTCAGGGTCGCAAATTATTAATTTAAGCACCGTAAGACTAATGAAATGGGCTAGTAATTTTTGTGGACTTATTTACAAGGCTGATTTATTATTAAACTCAACTGCTTGAAGCAGGAGCTGCTTGCCTGGTGGGGTGGAGCTGCAGCAATAGCCTTCAGGCAACAGTGTTGATGCCATTCGGCAACCGCTGAACGGGCATCTCAGCAGGAACGCTGCATTGGCTCTGCCAGTGCACCCACACAGCCGCAACCATGCAGCTGCCCTTCTTGGAAAGAAGCAAAGATGCTGCTGCCAGGAGACTCTTGCCGCAGCTCTGACCCACCAGGTGAGCTGCTTGAAAGTAAATTTCTCTTGGTAGATCCTTGAGGCCTCAACTCCCAAATTCTAGCACAGGCTCCCACTTATGCAGAAGTTACATTCTGGGCCTCCGCACGTGTCAGTGAAATGCACATTAAGTGGGGAAAACCCTGAAGAGTCCTAGCGGCTTGCAAGGAGACACTACCTGGAACCTGAAGAGGATATCCTCTTTGAGCTCCGGGGAGGGCCTTCTTGCAAGCCGGAGGGGGAGCGGGGCTTTGTTGAGGCTGCTCAGCCTCCCTGCCTAGCAGCTGACATGTGGGGTAGAGCAGCAGCTGCTTCCCCGCACATCAGATGAGCATCTCAACAAAGCCCCACTGTCCCTCCAACTTACGAGGAGAGCCTCCCAGGGGACCAAAGAGGACGTCTTCTCACTGGGGAGGGTTTTCATGTGAACCAAGAGGATTCTCCAGGGTGCTCCCCACGTCCCGGCACCAGATGTGTGCACGGTCGCGTGCAAGTGGGGAGCTGCCTGTACACAGTTTTCCAGTTAAAGTAGAAGATGTAAAATTTATATGCATGTGCACACCACAATTTAGCATGAGATGAACAAGTTGCAGCAAGCTTCAGGCTTGTGCACTGATTTCCCGGCATGGCCAGATATTCAAAAGATTCCGCTTTTGATTAACCACAGCTTGCCATGTAGTTTGGACCCACAATTATAGTAAGCATTAACTATGGTTTGTTTGAACAAGCCAGCGTCGGTTAACTATGGTTTGAAGGTAAATATTATCATAGTTAATATTAAACCAGTTTGTCAGTCAGAATGACACAATTAGGATTCAGAAAAAGTGACAACTTCCAAATTACTTCTCCCTGATTCAACAGCATCTGGGGATCCAATGTTGAAGAAAACTGCTATGGGAAATGCAACCACTATGAAGATCTAATTGGGGACACTTTAGGATGTTCCTGCTTGATTTTTAAAGTTCAATGTACAGTCGTACCTTGGAAGTCGAACGGAATCCGTTCCGGATGTCCATTCGACTTCCAAAACGTCCGAAAACCAAAGTGCGGCTTCTGATTGGCTGCAGGAAGCTCCTGCAGCCAATTGGCAGCCCCATTGGACATTCGGCTTCCAAAAGAACGTTCAAAAACCGGAACACTCGCTTCCAGGGTTCGATCGTTCAAGAGCCAAAACGTTCGAGAACTAGGCTGTTCAAAAACCAAGGTACGACTGTTTAAGGTTTGAATCCTATATCATCACCTGAGCACCATGAGACACTACACCAGCATGGAGCCTACAGTTCCAAAATATGCAGCTGCTACATTTTTCTACATAACTTTCAGAACATATTTCTGATAAAAGTTGGCAGTCTTCATCAGAATGGTGGGTGTATTTCATATCCTCAGGGCAAATGGATGTATTCTGTATGATATACATGAACTACTGACTACAGTGAAATACTACCTCTGCCCTGCAGTCTAAAACTAAAATGCTAAAATACATTACTAAAAACTAATACAAAAAGCTAAAATAAATTAGCCATTAGGAGGCTTATTTCAGCCACATAAAGAATCAACTCCTTTATCAATAAATAGTTGCTGGAGCCAGATATGAGAATATAAAAGACTAGTGAGAGACCAAGCTTAAACCACAGGATGGACGATTCATAAAATAAGCAAATAATAATTTCAAGTTATTTTATCCAGCTTCCTGCAGATAGCTCTACAGAGTTTCATTTATTTATGGGAAACATATTTTTCAATCACAACACTATTCTAATAATATTAGAGTGAGAGTACAAGAATCTGAGGCCTTACACTAATCCACAGATGTTCCCTGCCATAGCTTCCTCCTTGCTGTAGCTGCTTCTATCATTTATTTATTCAAATATTATTTATTTTTAATTCTGTTTTTAAGACCAAGAAAAAGGCTCCCAGAGCAGCTCACAAATCACTAAAAATTGACAGTCCCTGTCAGCAGCCTTACAATCTAAACAGACATGACGCAAAAGGGAAATGGATTGGGGAGAGGAATAAATGAACTTAGGTTCAAGTTCATGGTTAAAAGTTGCTCTAATGACTAGCTGGGAATGGAGCAGGGCAGGAAACGGGGCAACTCCCCACAACTCTTCCTTTCCTCTGCTGCAACTAGGGGGGCAATTTAATCACAGGAAGCTGGTATGAAGCCAGATCCAAACCCCATTCAGCAGTGGGGCTGCTGCTGGAAGAGGGAAAACAGGCCTTAAAAATAATGTTCTCTGCTGAGTTGCCCAGTCCTGTGGCCAAAAGGAACAGGTATAGGCGCTGGCCAAGTGCCATGCCCCTGGAACACCCATTTTGGGGAATTTGTAGCAGCCTCGGCTCAGCCCTAAAAGAGCCAGGATGACATTACACTGGCTGAGCTGGGGTTGGGGACTTAGCTCTGACTGCGTGGGGCGTCAACCAGCCAAGCCAGAGATCGACTGCATCCTAAGCTGCTCACCCCAGCAGATCTTGCCATGGGATTGCATCCTTCCCCTGCTGTTATGTTATGCCCCATACCTTTATTTAGAACAAATACCTTTGGGATTTGGCCGTGGCAGAGCAAGGGTGAGGTGACGCTGTACTCTTCTGTATACTGCAGCACAAGCTAATGTTCACAACCGAATGCAAGAAACCTGCTTCTCATTTAAATCAAAGGGCCAAAATAAAAAAAAAATGGTGCATTCGGGGTCATTCCAGGACAGAGATGCCCTTTACAAAGCTATATCTGGCCCAGTGAGATCTGTTTTGGGACTGCAAGCCATATTCTATAATTCTTGGTCTACTTGAATGAACGGGACTCTCCAAATACATATGTTTACATATTTTAAAAATATTATCAATGAAAAACTGGCACATCCTTTGGGAATGACAATCTAGGCACCTCTTTCACAATCAACACTTCACCTCTACCTGAGGTTACCTGCCCAAGGATCAAAGTGCATTACCTTAAGGGTTCTTTTGCAAGAGATTTTGAAATTTCAAACAAACAGCGTCACAAACTACTTTTCAGTGCCAGAGAATTTTTGCCTCTGGGAGAAGTACCTGAATGCTATACCACAGTACAGGCATGCAAAACCCTTTTGGCTGCACAGGCCAGATCCTTAACAGGCCAAATTTGAAAGGGTTTAAATCCTGCTCGGGAAGGGGTTTGCATTGGAACCGCAGCTAAAAGGAAGGGGGAAACCCAAAGTTATAACAAGGGGTTTTATCTGGCTTAGCACTGGGTTTGGCCTCACAGCCTGCAAGCGCAGGCAAGCATCAAAACAAGTCGGTCAGATCCCTCAGGCTGTGCTTTTATTTTACTAGAACCCCAAGTCCCACCAGTCAGAATTTGGTGCAACACAGCGACTTGTCCATGCGCATGTGGTGGCATAGGGTGGGAGTCAATGCTAGTTCCGCTCACAGCTGACTCACTGAATTTAGTGGGCATGGCTAGCATAGGTTTATTAATTGCAGTGGGTTTACTCTCAGTTGGACTTTGTTGAATACAACCCATACACGTTCTCTTGAGGCAAAGGGTTCCCCTGAGCATGTGTTTAGCCAAGAAATTTGTTTTCAAGACTGGAACTGAGCTCATAGTCATAGTTAACTCCTGGTCTCCCCAACATTTTATTCATTTCAGCAGCGTACTTAAGGAAAGAAATAAAGTGCACTTCTGTTGCTATTGTTGAACAATCAGAACACTTTATTGATCTACTGCAAATCTTGCAAAGATCTACCACTAGAGATCCTGATCTATAACGAATGTGTCTGTTTCTCCTGCTGCTACATTGTGTGGGTTTCCATGATTAAAAACACACACAACTGAAATATGGTGGCTGGCCGCGACTGGCGCAGTGGCCGCCTCAATCAGCTGAATACAATGAACAAGGCAGCTGCTCTACTAATTTAAATCGACCGGAGGAACAAGATGGTATAACTTAAATCAACTTAAGAAAAGGTATAGTTTGAAATGGTAGCAAATTCTGGTTTGGAAGCATATGCTGACTTACTCATCTGGCTATTATTTTTGATTGAATTGATAGAAAATAGAAGTGACATCTCCCCATTATCATACCGCATAGCCAACTTCAATTTGTGTTTGCAAATGTCGATCTCACGATAAGAAAGCTGGCACTGTTTTTTATTTTGTTGCAAAGAAGAGCAAGAGCAGGAGGTCCGTTGCTCTGGCTCTCCGAATGCACTTTAGATTCCACCTCTCGCCCAACTGTTTCCATCCCAAAAAGTTCTTATAAGAACTCTGAGAATTTAAGAGTAGGTTCCTGAGTCTGCTTGGGTTCCCTTTCCCCCTCAGTTTCTTCTTCCATTGGTGCCATGCCTCTTAGATTAAGGCACAGACTGTCCTCCTTTTATTATTGATCTGTAAACTGCTCTGGGAACATTTTTGGCAGAATAGCAGGGCAAAATACATTGCATTAAAAAATAATAAATATGTATTTATGCATTTACTGCAGTTCTCAAGCCCGGCAACCAAATTTCCTTCTCACTTTCATAACTAGCACAAAAGGAGTGGGAATAGAGAACATTTTCGGGGGGAGCCATAACTCATAACAGTACTCTCATTCCTTATCCCAAGCAACTGATGTTCAGAGCCAATACTGAAGGTAGGGCGTAGTCATAATGACTAGAAGCCATTGATAGCCTTATCTTCTATGAATCTGTCCAATTCCCTTTTAAGGTGGACAAAGTTGGTGTCCCTCACTGCCTCTTGCTAGAACAAATCCCATAGTTCCAGCTATGCGTTTACTGCCTTTTCTCTGCCCCGAATCCTCCGACATTCAGCTTCAGCGACTGACCCCAGTTCAAGTCCTATGAAAGAGAAACTCCATCCACTTTCTCCACCCCATGAATAATTTCATATGCCTACATGATGTTTCACTCACATGCCTTTTCCCTAAACCGAAAAGCCCCAAATGCTATAAGCTTTCCTTACAGGGGAGCTGCTCCAGCCCACTGACCCCATTGCTTGCCCCTTTCTGAACTTTCCCCAGCTGAACAGAGTCTTCAAAGTACAAAATATATCTGTATATTGGCAGTTTTACATGCCGAAGGTCCCAGGTTCCATCCTTAGCAGAGCCTTTGCCCATGGAGGATGCTGTGCTGGCAAAGGAGAGCTGCTGGTGGTCACAACGGACAGACCTGAGCTAAATGAGCCAGTGGCCTGAAAAAGGCAGGTTCATCTGCTGCTATTTGTTTCCTGCTTGGCAGGGGGTTGGACTCGATGGCCCTTGTGGTCTCTTCCAACTCTATGATTCTATGATTCTGTTTCTCCTGCCACCAATGTAAGTGTTTTTAAGAAGTCTTGTGATGACAATCCTGGTACAGCTCAGAAATCCCTCCATAAATTAGTTTCATTTCCACCATTAGTTTCATTTTCAGCATTAACCAGGAGAAAACGTCCACATTTTTAAAGCAACAAATTGCTCCTCAAACGTTTTCTTGAATGTAAAATATGATTTTTATTAAAGGTACTAAAACAGCTTTCTGTTGAATTGAGAGGATACTGTATTCCAAAAAGTTAATGGTTTGAGGAAAGAATTATTTGGACTTCCTGATATACCCATCCGTCCCCATGTCCAACCAGAGTAATTCCTTCCCACCCTACATTTTGGAGCCATCAACCTTTGGCTTCCTTCTGGCGTAGTGCAATAAATGAACAAATATCACCTGCGCCGAAGTGGTGTGAATGGAAGGAACAAAGTAGCACAAGGTACAGCGGTTGGCAAGAAACTGCTCCAGGTGGAATTGCCAAGTGGGACTGAGCAGCTGACATGCTCAGATTTCAGGACACTGACTTGAAGACAGCATAGGATACGAATAGCACAGCTGTGTGTGTGGTTAGCTCTTCTACCTCCCACTTCAGATAATTCATGGCACTGACTACCAGCCTTACATTGCATCAAGACTATTGGTCCATCGGGTCAGTAGGGTCATTGGCAGCAGCTCTTCACTTGAGGGTTTTGGGCAGGAGTCTCCCAGCAGAAGCTGGAGTTGCCAGGGACTGAACTTGGGACCTTCTGCTAAACATGTGCTACATTGTGGAGTTATTGCTGTTTCCCTAATATTTAACATTTGGCATAGCAATCAAAGAGTTCAGAGTCTTCACCTACATTACCACACTATAATCCTTATCAGAACCCTGTAAGGCAGGTCAGCAGTATTATCCCCCAAACTGCTGATAGGGGATTGATGGTCCTGATGAAAGTGCATGGTATTTATTGAGAGGTACCAATTGTTGCATGATCTTCCATCGATAAATGACAGAAATAAGAAGGAATTTTGGCCACTTGTGAAAGGTTTTTGATTAGTCCTGAGATTTACAACTCACTTTTTACTAATTTTCTAGACATTTATCATAAGTGTGTGTGTGTGTGTGTGTGTGTGTGTGTTTTACTGTTATGGACTGTTAAGAGGACAGTCTTTGGGTAACAAGGTGTTTTAAGGAGGATTTTTAGTCTCTAGTTTTAATGTACAGCAATTCACATACTTGCCCAGAGTGGCATACACTGTGAGCCTATACAGACAACAATTTTGCCACACATACTACCACATTGGCTGCTGATGTGTGGCAGTGTTGAGACAGATTGAAAGATACCATGGGCTGCTCTACATAGACTCAGTGATGTTTAGATGCACGCATCCTGCTTTGCAGAGGGTGGGACTAGATTACCCTCAGGGTCCCTTCCAATTCTACAATTCTATATATAATTGTGATCTATTAAGTCTCTCTTGAGTTTTGGGATTTTTTTTTTTTAATTACTTTTTTCTTAAGAGACTATGAAGATGCCTTTTCAGAGTTCATATATTAAATGCTGAATAGGTCGCAGTCTACAAGTTGCAGAAAACTGAAATGGAAATTACGTTTAGTGGCTGAAAGTGCTGTGAATAGGATGCTAAACACTGATATTTGCAGGCAACAGAGCTTCCTTTTAATGAAATGGCTTTTTAAAGCAATCCTTTGCACGTGAGTGGCATAGCAGGTAAATATGATTAGAAAGTACATTCTAGAATCTAGATATCTTACAGAAACTCACAAGATTGAACTTACTGGAAACAATTTTTTTCCTACAAGTTACATAAAAAAATTGAACTCAACAATTCTTATGTGTATGTGGTGCATTCTGGCCAGTTTGTTCATCAAAGCCATCACTGTGTTCTTCAGAAGGCATTTGCATGCTCTAAGTTATAATGTTAACCCTTAACTCTCCACTAATAATAAATAATAATAATAAATTTTATTTATATCCCGCCCTCCCCAGCCGAAGCCGGGCTCAGGGCGGCTAACAGCAATCAAATAATCCAACATTCTAAAAACATTTCATTATAAAAATTAATTAAAATTAGTGGCAACTGTTAAGCAAAATTCTATGCAGGTTGCCAGAGGAGGGAGTCAGGCTGTGCCCTGACCAAAGGCCTGGTGGAACAACTCTGTCTTGCAGGCCCTGCGGAAAGATGTCAGGTCCCGCAGGTCCCTGCTTGCTGAATTTATTTTTACATTTGCAAACTAAAAAAACTATCCAAAGCAAGCTCAGGGAGTGAGACACTCCATCCCAAATTAGTGGAATTAAAAATCAGCCATACTAGCACCTCCCTTATTAGGATAGTTACACAAATTTTCCTATAACTTAAAACATGACCTGTACCTGAGAAAACTTTAATCAAAATACTGCTTCACTAACTTATTCCCAAACCTGAAACTGAAGAATACAAATGAAGTCTCTGGCATTTCACGAAAGTTCACTTTCAGATAGGCACTGGTATTTCACACTTCTTAAAGTAGTGCTATCACATATTGGAAGGCAAATGTTAACTTTGAATTTGTGGCTGTAGCTGATGCAAAGAACCTTTACCGAAAAACAACCTGCTTTGCAAAGTTCTGTTTTGAGACAAGTTTTAAGTGCTGGAAAGCAATGTGACATGTGGAAAATTAAGAATAAAAAGGGCATGTGAAATATGTATTAATGAGTTTACTGACTGTGTGCTGCAAAACTATTGGACAGCCATGTAAAATGGCATCTTTAATAAGAAGGAAACAAAGAAGTCCTAAATCATTCTAGTAATGATGTATGGAAGTGAGAGCTGGACCATAAAGAAGGCTGATGGCTGAAGAATTGATGCTTTTGAATTACGGTGCTGGAGAAGACTCTTGAGAGTCCCATGGACTGCAAGAAGATTGAACCTATCCATTCTGAAGGAAATCAGCCCTGAGTGCTCACTGGAAGGACAGATCCTGAAGCTGAGGCTCCAATACTTTGGCCACCTCATGAGAAGAGAAGACTCCCTGGAAACGACCCTGATGCTGGGAAAGATGGAGGGCACCAGGAGAAGGGGATGACAGAGGACGAGATGGTTGGACAGTGTTCTCGAAGCTACCAGCATGAGTTTGACCAAACTGCGGGAGGCAGTGGAAGACAGGAGTGCCTGGCGTGCTCTGGTCCATGGGGTCACGAAGAGTCGGACACGACTAAATAACTAAACAACAACAACAACAATTGTTCTAGGCAGCCAAGTAGGTGGATGCTTTTTCTATTGCTGACAAAATCAACATCCTACAGAGAACAAAGCTTTTTACCTTTGGCAGCAGGCTATGTCTTGTGGACGATCTGTAGGGTGGGTTCTTCAAACACAGGTTTATGTTGCATCTGATCAGGAGGAGGTGGGGGATACAGAGCTAGGACATGGTGTCTGGTTTAGTCTGGCCTGCCTGTTGTGCTGCCTGGTTTCTGGCTCTGAATGCTAGAGTCCTCACCCCCGCCTCCAAAAACACTTCACAGCAGAGCGCATTAGAGTGGCACAGTCTTCTGTAGCTTGGACTTGATTTGTGGCGCACTGACCACAGTGCATGGCTACTGTTGCTCTGTACGAGATTGTTTTGATTTTAATAATGGTCTGCCAGCTTTTGCGACATGCTCCGGTCGGCTGCCGTAGTGCTAAGTGCTTTCCCATTAAGACATTTGTGGCTATGCATGTACTATTTATTTTAAACTGGGTTTTAAAACCATTTTAAATGGTTGAATCCTGGCCTGAGACCTTATGGTGAAGGGCTGGTAATAATAATAATATTGGTAGCATGTTTCCAAGCAGTGTGCTCCTAATGTGCCATACTATAACCTCCATGCCATTACGTTCCCAAGTATAGTCTAGGTCATCAAGGCTCGTGGCAGATATATGAACCAACCCCAGGCCCAGGTATGCAGAAGCAAGCATAAGCTTGCTCAAGATAGGAAAGTGTGTCAGAGGCAGCTTAGATATCAGGGCCAGGGCTTAAAGAAAGAGATAAATAGCTGTGCCTTTGAGATTGGTGCTAGTGGACTGGAGTAGTCTCTGAGTAAAAGGGCTAGTAAATAATACTAAATAATACTGTGTGTATGTGTATTATCTATCAGCATTTTAGGTTCCTTTTACTCGTTTTTATATTTGGTTTACTGTTCGTGTTGTAAGTCACTTTGAGTCACTTTGTAAAAACAAAGCAACTAATGCAATCCACATCAGGGTGTTCACTGCAGAAAGATGCCTTAAAAAACAAAGAGCTCCAGGTGATATGAACAAATAAACTAAGCTCCAAGGAAAAGATGAGAGAGATCCCTTTGAGAGTACCACTATTTGACCTGGAGTGGGGGGGTGTATTTCTTAATTCTCTCAAATATGGTGATCAATCAGATTCTGAGTGTAAGCAAAAAAGGCTGATTCATAATCCATATCCATGCATTATTAATGCATGTGTGAAACGGCTATCACAAATCAAACACTGCAATATAACTTTCCTGTCAATGCACATGGATTTCAGGGGGGGAAATATGCTTTTAAAAGAGAAGAACTGTTCATAGTTATACACATAGGTGAGCTCCACACCTCTGTGCTGTATGGAGTCAGTCTTAAACTGTTGCTTTCATCTATTCTCCTACTGCTTCTGCTTTCCCCCTCTGCTCTATACACTAGGCAGATTTGAAGGACCGTGTACGAAGATAGCAATAATATGGGGCACACAGTACAGAGCTTTCCAAACTCTGTTGCGACACATAGGTTTGTCGCTCCTTCTGGGGGCTGGAAAACTGGTTTGCTAGTAAAACTGAATTACTGTATCGCAAAAGGATGCATGTCTAAAAAGTGTGCCAACAACATGAGAAGTTTGGAAAGCTCTGGCATAGTGCCTGAAGGCTTGAGCAGACTTGCTCATTTAAGATCTTGGTTGAAATCTGGCCATTTTACCAAAAGCAAAAAAATAAAATAAAAATATTATGAGGCTTCCTAACATCTGCCACATCTGTTTTGGCTTAGACAAATTGTGCTTAGACAGTTCTGAAGTTCACTATTAGCACTTAACTGATGCACACATTTTGCCCGTGAATGTGAATATACAAGCATGCATACAGATAAATTAGAGAAGCACAATTAGAACAGTAGAATGGTACCTCGGTTTAAGAACAGCCCTGTTTACGAACGATTCGGTTTACGAACTCTGCAAAACTGGAAGTAGTGTCCCAGTTTGCGAACTTTACCTCAGTCTAAGGACGGAATCTGAATGGTGGAAGGGCACCAGCGTTGGGAGGCCTCATTAGGGAAAGCACACCTCGGTTTAAGAATGGTTTTGGTTTAAGAACGGACTTCTGGAACGGATCAAGTTTGTAAACCGAGGTACCACTGTAGATGTAAAATTCCTGGGGGGAAAGCGAGGCAGCACTCCCTGAGTAAGGTGGCAAGCCAGCTGCAGGTGTGCATGCAGGAAGCAGATTATATCGTCCTATTTTGGTCAGCCTTCACGCCTGGTCTTAGCACTGAAACAACCTTAGTTGCCCTGACCGATGAGAGAGACTGCAGTGTGACCCTGTTGGCTCTCTTTGCGGCATTCGACACCACTAACCATGCTGTCCTTCTGGAAAGACTCAAGAGTGGAAGGGGAGAGCACTGCCCTTCTACTTGCAAGGCTGCAACCAGAAAGCAGCACTACATGACTGTGGCTTCTGAGCTAGGGGGGTCCTGCAAAGGTCTATTCTGTCTCCTTTGCTATCTGACATGCAGCTGTTGAAAGTTGTCATCAGGATTCGGAGCACAGTGTCACCAATATCCTGATGACACAAAACACTCTCTCTCCCCATTCCATCCAAATCAGAAAGTTCTATGTTGAACCAGTGCCCAGAAGCAGTGATGTGCTGGATTAACGGCCAATAACCTGAGGCAGAAACCTGATAAGATGGAAGTGCAGTGCATGGCTAGGTGCTGTTTCTAGGAACCTACTCAACCCGTGAAGGAGCAGGTTCTTAGCCTGGGGGTACTCCTGGATTCCTGTCAATGGAGCCCCCGGTTGCTAGGACAGCTTATGCCCAGCTTAGGCTTGTTTGGCAACTGTGGCTGTTCTTGGACTTGGGATAGCCTGGCCTCAGTAGCCACTGCAATGTACTTTACGGCAGGTTGCCCTTGAAGAAGGCATGGGAGCTTCAACTAGTGCAGAAAGTGACTTTCAGGTTGGTGGAAGTACTGCACCGACTCTCTGTGAATTACCGGGGCCAATTCAAGGTGATGTACTGATGCACACAGCTCTAAATGGTTTGGGATCCAAAGGTATGCACGATATCCCCCACAACACACACAAATCAACCATCTTGGGCTTTATGGTGGACAAGGGAGACCCTGTTACTGGTGCTGCTACTGTTGTCTGGCTGCTGCTGACTTGACACAGGGCCTTCTTGGTAGTTGTTCTCCGATTGATGGAATACCCTTTCAGACATATGTCCCCTCCCTTATTAACATTTAGGCAGAACTTGAAAACATTTCTCTATACCCAGCAATTGATGGATACTTGATTCTATTTTTTAAAAAATGAATTCCTTTTTCTGTTTTGTTGTTTGGTACCCAGGTGACTTTAGGAGGAAGGGCAGGAAAATAAATATAGATAGATGATAGATAAATCCTCCAGCTGTTATTGCAGCTGACTTTGTCCTTTTGGAGTTTGTTTCAGCCTTAAGAAAAAGACTAGTTATTTATACTTGCTGTGTGGAGAAAAGGTAGTTAGCATTTGAAAAATGATTTAACACATTACCCCCCCCCCCCAATTCCAAAAGTTAATTGGATCATTCCAATAGATCACCACTAAAATGAATGTATATGAGTTGGGTTAATTACACAGTGTTAGAAACCAAAAACAAACAGTGCAACATTAGACATAGCTATACCATTATTTGCAATAAATGTTAACTCTAAATAAGTGCAACCTGTCCACAAATACTTGCTAAAGGACTACTTCAAAATAAAGTTTGATGGGTAAAAACATGAAGAAAAAAATTCTCCAGGAGAATTTTTTTTTTAATAAGTACCAGCACTCATTTAGAGTTTGGGATTTGTGAAAGAAAGCTTTAAAAGGAGCAAACCTGATTGGCTGTGGCTGTTGCGGCGAAGGGGACACTTGTTGCAGGAGTTGTTGCTGCAGAGACAGTGGCGGACGTAGCGCTGTGCATCATGGGTACTTTCAGGAGAGGGGAGCCATGGAAGCAATGAACAGGAGTGTGTAGCATTATGGCAATGGCAGCGGAATTTTGGCATGGTGAATATCAGAGCAGCAGCAGCAGCAAGCCATCATGGGTTAAACCAACAGATGGCATGCAATCACAATGCAAAGCAAGAAAGCGTGGCAGAGAAATAAAACAAAAGGGAAAATAGCTTATTACAGGTACAATTTAAAGGAAGAATGTCACAGTTATCAACGATTCCCAGAAAAGAATTATTAATTCGTGGTTTTGGTATTTTTTATTTAATAATGCTTTCATGAAAATGGCCAGTTCGTTTATGGAAAAGCTGGCGTGGTTTCCCCCTAAAATAACAAAGGTATGCTAGTAGGGGTTCTCTGTCAAAGTTTAAAAGCCAAGGATGATATCCAGTGACGTCAGCCCCCAGATTTCCCCTTCCTTCCCTCTTCTCTTCAGTGCCTGCCCCCCCCAGTGCTCCGCAAATCTGCTCTGGAAGGTTATGGACCCTCAAGAGCAGATAGAGGGCACGGGGGGTGGGGGGTGGCAGGGAGTGGGGTCCAGGAGAAGATGGGAAAGTCCTGTCACATTCATTAGGTATCACCCCAAATATGACAGAACTACTGGTATTTGGAATTCATTTGTTTTTTTTAAAAAAACAAACCAACCTAGTTTTCTAAAAACCCCAATTTGCAATAGACACCTCTATCTGCAGAATGAAGGTTATTCCCCAGTTTCCCCTTCCTGCCTAAGGCTGTTCCAGAAGAGTCCCTAACCTCCAGAGGGACTTTTCTGGAGGAGTACAGGAGGGATGCATTAAGAACGAGGGTGCAGAAAAGCTCCGTTTCCTCACATTTCTCCAACCCTCTGCCTAGCAAACTTTCCTGACACTGTCCTAGAAATTACAATCCTAGAAACTTAATTTTGGGCCGATCTGCTCTCACCTTCTGCCTGCCTGCACGCATAAGACAATGTTCTGACACCTGCTTCTTGTCATCTTTACCAAAACCTGCTGTTATATTTGAGCAGCTGGTACTAAAATCCTTAGGCAAGCCATAATACTCTTAAACTACTGGATTCACCTCTGTGTCCATTTCTGTCACCTCTTCCCACTTTGGAAAGAGAGAAGTCTTCCAAAATAGGTGCTCCTCCCAGGTGTTATGACCACATCATTACTCTGTTTTAGGCTAAAAAAAACCATACACACTTGAGGGGAAGCCCCAAAGAATATAGTGGAACATATTACTCCTAACTGCATATAGGATGGTGGTCCCTGAAGTAACCCTCCGTCGTTTTCTGTTGCTACCTCTGTCCCCCAATATCTGGTTCAGGAGCAATACCGATCATGTGGGTCTTGCTCAACTTCTGTTCCCATCAGTTTTGTCCTGCAGCCTTTTCTGCTTTATTGGCCGAGGAAGCCGGCATACAGCTTCCGGGTCATGTGGCCAGCATGACTAAGCCACTTCTGGCGAACCAGAGCAGTGCACGGAAATGCCGTTTACCTTCCCGCCGCAGCGGTACCTATTTATCTACTTGCACTTTGATGTGCTTTTGAACTGCTAGGTTGGCAGGAGCAGGGACTGAGCAACGGGAGCTCACCCTGTCACGGGGATTCAAACCGCCGACCTTCTGATCGGCAAGTCCTAGGCTCAGTGGTTTAACCCACAGCGCCACCCGTGTCCCAATATTTCTTTAGGGTACTGCAAAAATGCACACACAATGTGCAAAGTCTTACTTTCCGGGGCTTCCTAACACACTCCCTCACCTATTTCTACTTCAGGTCCTGGCAGGGTCCTCTAGCCATAGCTGTCAACGTTTCCCTTTTTCTAAGGGAAATTCCCTTATTCCGAATAAGATTCCAGGCAAAAAAAGGGAAAAGTTGACAGCTATGCCCCTAGCTGCCTTATTCTCTCATTCCTCAAACATTCTTCACCTCCCCTCTTTTAAGTCCCTCAAAACACCTTACTTGCACTTCACTACATCCTTTCATCCATCTATATAAAGTCAGGGTTTGGATGATTTAATCTTATTATAGAAACACGCATTTTAGCTACATGAAAGATGCAGCCCTGCAACCCACTAGCACCATATGCATGGACAGCTGCTTATGCAGAAAACTGGCAATCACTGGCCATTGATTGAGACTAATATAAAACCTGAGGTTTAGCAAACAGAATGAGTTTATACTATCAAACCGAAATAGGAGCGCAACGTGCTTTATTTCCTTCTGAAATGGGAAAGGTACAATTATGAAAATGAAATAAACTTAATTCTGGTTTCTTATGTTCTTATTTCAAGCTTACATGTTTTGTCTTTTGAAAAGACAAGCGGTACTAATTTACCCCTTTAGATGTATCCTTTTGCTTTTTATGACTCTCGGACGAAATCTGATTTATTTCGCTGTCTGTAACCATTTTCTGAGGGAGCTATTCTACACGAGAAGCTGGCATAAAGAAAGCTGGTGCGAGTTAAGCTGTTCGGCAGCTAAGCCAACCTTACCTGGGCAGAGGGAAAACAGGCCTTTAAACCTTTTTTGTTAGCTTAATTTATGCTGGGTTGTCCAGTCCCATGACTGAGCTAGACAGGGCTTAGGATTCAGTCTAACTGCCCCCTCCCTGGTCCTGCCCCCAGAACCCCTCTTGTTCAAAAGTTTTTGCCAGCTTCAGATCCAGCCGAGACCTGGATGAGTCAAGGATGAGGGAATTAGGCTGGCACAGCTCAGCTGGAGATCTTGCTATAGGATTTAGCTAGTATATTATTTGATCCTGAGGAGGAAAGCAGTTATTCTGGTAATTTATTTTGGTTTAGTTTTATAGATAAATTGATCTCTTCTCATAGCACATAGCAGAAGTTTGATTTCAAATCAGTAGTTCAAAGGCAACGAACATAATGAATATTCAGTATTAATTTGGGGAAAGTCTGCTGGGCAAACCCTAATTTTATTTTTTTTAAACCAGAAAGTGAAAACTTTTCATATGTTTCAACTCTTAAGTCAGATATATTTTCAATCAAAGGAAAATATTTTTTAGGTCTAAATACTTTTCACTACTTTTTATTGCAAGTATTAAAATTAGGATTTCTGGGAAACACTGATAAAACTTTCTCACAACACAGCAAAAAGAAGAAACAGGCACGCCACTATGAAACTTTAGAACACTAATGAAATTAGACTGCTTTTTCAATATCTTATGGTTTAATAATGCTAGCAATATAAAATATAGAAAAAGGTTTTTTTTCTTTTGAAAACAGAAAAGCAGCTTGGAATTCATGGTGTTTGTGCTTTTTGCAGTGGGATTGTTATAGCAAGTGATGTTGCATCTAAGCAGCAGGGTTTTTTGTTTCATTTTTTAAAAACAATTAAGTTGAAAATTTTAACTGTTCAAGCAGAAGTCCAAATGGATCATCAGATTGAGTCAATTGTCTAAGTTATGTTTCAGTTCCTCAAAACAAAGGAAACTACAGAATACGATAAAAAAAGAGATCAATAAAGAAGTTTGAAACCTACCAATATTGGTAGCGGGTGTCATGCACAAAACTGACCCTGGGTGTCATGCAATGATAGGTGGAAAAAGTGAATAAAGGGAAGAAACAGGTTAGCTGTTTAGAGTTAACATTCAAAGTGAGATTCAAGCATCCCCAAGATAAGCCAAAGTTCGTTAAATACAATTTCAAAGAGATCATTCATAGCTTCTTTGCTGTTTTAAAACAGTTCTTCTTATAGTCACTCAACACATTGTGCACATTAATCAAAATCCATATGGCAAAGCCTTTCTTTAGCATTTCCTTTCAGCAACGGGAACTAACTCTTTAAAAAGCAATCACTTTGAATAGTCTAGGTTATCCAGCAATGGTCTGCAACACGATCTACAACTCGCAGCTCTGTTTTAAGCCCCCAAAATGTACTATTAAGATAAACAAGATTACTCCAGAGCCAATATAGTTAATACTGCAGCCATGACAGACAGGAAATCTGTGCAGACAACACTTGGGAGTAAGTCCCATTGGACTCAGTGGGACTTCCTTCCAAATATGTATAGCACTGAGCTGCCCTCCATCATTTAAACAATTTGCTTTACACAAGTAAGATAAATCAGGGTCGTCATCCCCCCCCCCCCCCGTTTCACGTTCAAAGATAGTTTTTAGCTTGCAATGCCATGCCAACCATGCCTACTCAAAAGGAAGTCCTACTGAATTTAATGGGACTTACTCCCAGTTAAGTGCACCCTAACAGTGCAATTGTATAAATGTCTTCTCAAAACGAGATTGCACTGAGTTCAGCGGGACCTACTCCCAGCTATAGGATTGCAACCTTGAAGTATTAATACTCTACATTAACAAGGCTCTTAAGTCTGCTTCACATTATACTCCTAAATACACTTACTAGAGAGTAAGTCCCACTGAACACAACGGAATACACTTCCAAGTAAACATGCATAGGACTGTGCTGTTAGTATGGGTGGGTTTCATTTCTGACCTGACGCAGTGCCTGGCGTACCAGTATATTTTTTGTATATTCTTTTGCATCTTTGCAATAACTCAAGTGTTCCCTGGGGCCCTCATAGTTAGGAGAAAATAGGCAGATGGGGGTATATGTAAAATGTTTTGAAATCCCAGCACGTCCTGCAGTTCCATATACATTACCTACAGGTAGCTAGCTAGCTATGAATGACCTTGCCTTGAAGGAACAACCTCCAGTGAATAATTCAATATTTCTATTATCATGTTCAATTAAAAACCCCCAAAGATACTAGTATTTGAAGAAAAATACTACTGTTCCTTTGCAGATCATAAAGCAAACCAGGCACCAAATTACCAACTTTGCCTATAGCCACAATCCATTTACTTTAATTCTTCTTACTGTGGAAGAATCAATGAGATGACTCTAGCATTTGTGGGCAGTGAATGGCAGCAGTAGTGGATCATGCAATATATGAAATATATGAAATACTGAAAAATGGAGGCGGGAGCTACTCCGTATTTTTCACATGGCTTGGTTTAAAAAACAACAGCCACAACCTCATATGTATTTTCCCACATTCCCCCCAAATAGAGGTTTTAGGCGTAAAAATTCCCATTTTCACATGGGACTGATATACAAATGTTAACTGGTGTTGTGTTCCTCTAGGTGCCCCTGGAGGCAAGCTCCTTCACATTATTATTTAGATTAGGGCAGTTCATTGTGCAGCCTAAGGGCTGCATGTGGCCCTCAGAAATATTTCATGCCCTCCTGCTATCTTCCCAAAGGCAGGTAAGTGGGGCGCTGGGCTCCAGGAAGGAGGCGTGAGGGCTCTGGTGGGGTCCTAGAGTCCTCCTGTCTCCTTCCCAAATCCTAGTTAGTGCTTTCCCAGCTTTGGGAAGGAGCTGGAAGGCTCTAGGGCCTGACCAGAGCCTCACACCTCCTTCCCAAAGCCTGATGCCTTGCTCAGCCAGCCTTGAGAAAGCTGGGGACGGTCAAATTTGGGCCTCACTCCCACCTCCCCTGCAACAAGGCAGTGAGCAGCCTGCAGGTTCATTGTTCAAGTACCCCACTTGGTATGAAACGTTGGACCACCCTGATTTGGATCACTGTAAAGGAGGCATACTCTGTTCAATAAATGAGAGGTATGGAAAGGTAAGCCATAGCATTTAAGGAAGCCCCTGTCAGAGTCAACAGAAAAGTGGCTGCCTATTGGGAGAGTATTGTTGAGGTGTGTGAGCTCCAATCACAGCTTGATGGGCATGTAGTAGGCCCAGCTGAAGCTGTTCATTGCCTCTTCAGAGAAGAGAACCTCAGGCATTGCTCCTCCTCCCCCCCTCGGCATCAGTGCTCACCTGCTGCCTACAACCCGCTCCTTGCAGGAGCAGCAATGTTCTCCTGATCGCAGTCTTACTGCTTTCCCCAGGGATGAACAACACATGCACAAATAATGCCAGGATTGCATGAAGCTAAAATCCACTTAGTGGGAAGATGTGAATGAGAACCGAAGAAAGCTGACCATGGTTTCTGTGTCTTCTTAAATTTTGTTTGCAAATGCAGGAAGCCACTTCTCTGTACTCCCCTCACTGAAAGGCTGCTCAAATGAGTCTGTGCAAGGGATACACTCCTGTTTTCCTTGTGTTAGCAGCAGCAGACTTGCAGCCTTCTTACACCATGTGAGTATCAACTCTCTCATGGCATCTAACCCCTAATGGAGGATTTTGGAGAGGAGAAGTGCCTGTGCCGCCTCTTTTCCCTCTCTTTGGCACATCACAAGATTGGCTCCAGGTTGTACCAGACACAAGCACTTCTCTCAATTGACACTTACACTGACAGGCAATGACTGGTGATTCCCCTTAGCTGGGAACGAAGTACAGGCCACATCTATATCTGAATTTCCAAGTCACTACATATTGGAGTTAAGTTGTGCCAAAAGGGGTAAAGTTCTGCGGAGACATATTAAAAGATCTTCCAGTCCAATTGTCTTTATGGACGTCTTCACTAGTGTTTCAGGTTGTTGTTTTTTGTTAGGTGTCACTACATTTCCCTACCTCTCTTCATAACGGAAACAAATGGCAAAATCATTTGTTACTGATCTTTTGTGGAAAGCTGCAGAAAACGGGTGCTTTCAAAGTTCATATAGTTTACTGGGCAAGATACCTCTGCATTGCAAACAAACTCAAATACAAAAATTTGCTGTAATGCAGGTGGATGCTATTCATGCAACTACTCTTTAGATCTGTGCCATTTTGTAAATGCAGCTGCTGGAAACACCAGGCAAAGGAGAACATCTTTAGCTCCTTCACAGATGTAATTCTTATTCCAATAACATAAGGCAACAAAATATTTTCAAAATGTAGAAAGCAACCTTTTCCAACAAAGAAGAATGAATAATCCTGAAAATGTTTTAGCAATAAATTGGTGGTGTAGCTGCCTGGGCACTATGAAATTTTCTTTTTCAGGTGTTAACACTGACCTACAGTTTAGTGCTAGATTCACCACCACCACCAGCAGGAGCAGCAGCAGCAGCAAGTCTCGGGCTCTACACTCTCCCCTTCTCTAGTGAACCGTGAGGAGAAGCTTTGCCTTCTCTTTGCAGTCAAAACGGGGAGAGAACGCTGATTGGTTTAACCTGTAGTTTGTTCCAACAAGCCAGGATTAAACTGTGGTTTGTGCTCCTATCTTGCTTGAACAAACCATAGTTTGATCTAACCAAAGTCCCCAAAGTCTGGATGCAATCAAAAGCTCTGGTTTAAAACAGAAAGCAAAAGCTTCCAATCTCCTCTCTTCTTTGGGCTTGCAGGAAGAACAAAGGGAAGGCAGGACTCCTCTAACCCAAGCTGTTTGGGGCTCTGACGGGCCACAGATTCCTCATGCCTAGTTTAGCATTATGTCTGAACTAGGCCAAAGTCTGAGATCCCATAAGCATTGTTTTCTTTATAACAGCTTCTTCTAAAGTTAAAAAGTATGTTTCAGAGGCATGCACGTGCAAATCACAGCAGTAACAAAATTCATGATATTCAAAAGACTGATAAGCATTTGTTGTTGTTGTTTAGTCGTTTAGTCGTGTCCGACTCTTCGTGACTCCATGGACCAGAGCACGCCAGGCACTCCTATCTTCCACTGCCTCCCGCAGTTTGGTCAGACTCATGTTTGTAGCTTCGAGAACGCTGTCTAACCATCTTGTCCTCTGTCGTCCCCTTCTCCTTGTGCCCTCAATCTTTCCCAACATCAGGGTCTTTTCCAGGGAGTCTTCTCTTCTCATGAGGTGGCCAAACGTATTGGAGCCTCAGCTTCAGGATCTGTCCTTCCAGTGAGCACTCAGGGCTGATTTCCTTAAGAATGGATAGGTTTGATCTTCTTGCAGTCCATGGGACTCTCAAGAGTCTCCTCCAGCACCACAGTTCAAAAGCATCAATTCTTCGGCGATCAGCCTTCTTTATGGTCCAGCTCTCACTTCCATACATCACTACTGGGAAAACCATGGCTTTTACTATACGGACCTTTGTTGGCAAGGTGATGTCTCTGCTTTTTAAGATGTTGTCTAGGTTTGCCATCGCCTTTCTCCCAAGGAGCAGGCGTCTTTTAATTTCGTGACTGTTGTCACCATCTGCAGTGACCATGGAGCCCAAGAAAGTAAAATCTCTCACTGCCTCCATTTCTTCCCCTTCTATTTGCCAGGAGGTGATGGGCCCAGTGGCCATGATCTTAGTTTTTTTGATGTTGAGCTTCAGACCATATTTTGCGCTCTCCTCTTTCACCCTCAGTAAAAGGTTCTTTAATTCCTCCTCACTTTCTGCCATCAAGGTTGTGTCATCTGCATATCTGAGGTTGTTGATATTAATTCCGGCTTGGGATTCATCCAGCCCAGCCTTTTGCATGATGAATTCTGCATATAAGTTAAATAAGCAGGGAGACAATATACAGCCTTGTCTTACTCCTTTCCCAATTTTGAACCAATCAGTTGTTCCATATCCAGTTCTAACTGTAGCTTCTTGTCCCACATAGAGATTTCTCAGGAGACAGATGAGGTGATCAGGCACTCCCATTTCTTTCAGAACTTGCCGTAGTTTGCTGTGGTCGACACAGTCAAAGGCTTTTGCATAGTCAATGAAGCATAAGTAGATGTCTTTCTGGAACTCTCTAGCTTTCTCCATAATCCATCGCATGTTTGCACTTTGGTCTCTGGTTCCTCTGCCCCTTCGAAATCCAGCTTGCACTTCTGGGAGTTCTCGGTCCACATACTGCTTAAGCCTGCCTTGTAGAATTTTAAGCATAACCTTGCTAGCGTGTGAAATGAGTGCAATTGTGCAGTAGTTGCAGCATTCTTTGGCACTTCCCTTCTTTGGGATTGGGATGTAGACTGATCTTCTCCAATCCTCTGGCCACTGCTGAGTTTTCCAAATTTGCTGGCATATTGAGTGTAGCACTTTAACAGCATCATCTTTTAAATTTTTAAATAGTTCAGCTGGAATACCATCACTTCCACTGGTCTTGTTATTAGCAGTGCTTTCTAAGGCCCATTTGACTTTACTCTCCAGGATGTCTGGCTCAAGGTCAGCAACCACACTACCTGGGGTATATGAGACATCCATTTCTTTCTGGTATAGTTCCTCTGTGTATTCTTGCCACCTGTTCTTGATGTCTTCTGCTTCTGTTAGGTCCTTTCCACTTTTGTCTTTTATTATGGAAATCTTTGTACGAAATGTTCCTTTCATATCTCCAATTTTCTTGAACAGATCTCTGGTTTTTCCCATTCTATTGTTTTCCTCTATTTCTTTGCATTGCTCGTTTAAGAAGGCCTTCTTGTCTCTCCTTGCTATTTTTTGGAAATCTGCATTCAATTTCCTGTATCTTTCACTATCTCCCTAGCATTTTGCTTGCCTTCTCTTCCCCGCTATTTGTAAGGCCTCGTTAGACAGCCACTTTGCTTTCTTGCATTTCCTTTTCATTGGGATGGTTTTAGTTGCTGCCTCCTGTTATGAGCCTCCATCCATAGTTCTTCAGGCACTCTGTCCACCAAATCTAAATCCTTAAACCTGTTCCTCACTTCCACTGTGTATTCATAAGGGATTTGACTTAGATTGTATCTTACCGGCCTGGTGGTTTTTTCTACTTTCTTCAGTTTAAGCTTGAATTTTGCTATAAGAAGCTGATGATCTGAGCCACAGTCAGCTCCAGGTCTTGTTTTTGCTGATTGTATAGAGCTTCTCCATCTTTGGCTGCAGAGAATATAATCAATCTGATTTCGATGCTGCCCATCTGGTGATGTCCATGTGTAGAGTTGTCTCTTGTGTTGTTGGAAAAGAGTGTTTGTGATGACCAGCTTGTTATCTTGGCAGAACTCTATTAGCCTTTGCCCTGCTTCGTTGTGAACTCCAAGGCCAAACTTGCCAGTTGTTCCTTTTATCTCTTGACTCCCTACTTTAGCATTCCAATCCCCTATAATGAGAAGAACATCCTTCTTTGGTGTCATTTCTATAAGGTGTTGTAAGTCATCATAGAATTGGTCAATTTCAGTTTCTTCAGCACCAGTAGTTGGTGCATAAACTTGGATTACTGTGATGTTTAAAGGTCTGCCTTGGATTCGTATCGAGATCATTCTATCATTTTTGAGATTGCATCCCAGTACAGCTTTTGCCACTCTTTTGTTGACTATGAGGGCCACTCCATTTCTTTTACAGGATTCTTGCCCACAGTAGTAGATGTGATGGTCATCCAAACTGAATTCGCCCATTCCCGTCCATTTTAGTTCACTGATGCCCAGGATGTCAATATTTATTCTTGCCATCTCACTTTTGACCACATCCAACTTACCCAGGTTCATGGTTCTTACATTCCAGGTTCCTATGCAATATTTTTCTTTACAGCATTGGACTTTCCTTTCGCTTTCAGGCATATCCGCAATTGAGCGTCCTTTCGGCTTTGGCCCAGCCGCTTCATCAGCTCTGAATCTACTTGTACTTGTCCTCCGCTCTTCCTCAGTAGCATGTTGGACGCCTTCCGACCTGAGGGGCTCATCTTCCAGCGTCATAACTTTTATATGCCTGTTGTCTTTGTCCATGGAGTTTTCTTGGCAGGGATACTGGAGTGGCTTGCCAGTTCCTGCTCCAGGTGGATCACGTTTGGTCAAAACTCTCCACTATGACCTGTCCATCTTGGGTGGCCCTGCACGGCACAGCTCATAGCTTCTCTGGGTTATTCAGGCCCCTTCGCCACGGCAAGGCAGCGATCCATGAAGGGGCTGATAAGCATACCCACCTGTAATTCAGGCACAGGTATGTTAAGCTGCAGCTGGGATGCTCAGCCTAATTTACTTGCACTGAATTTACAGTTTTTGTTATGAGAGTGAAATACAACAATAATGTAGCTTTAAGCACCATAAAAATTAACAGAGCCTGCATGTGCACGACAGCATCACACCCAAGCTGACATAGATTTTTCACTCTGTTTTTAATTATAGTTTGTAAAATATCGGCCCATTTCAGACTTAACACTAAACACTAAACCATAGTTTAGCATGATGTGAGCCTCACACTCACAAGCTCTTCCTCCCTTCCTTTGTGAGGAAATGATTGAAAGTCCCATTTTAAACTAACTGGAGTTTATCATTACATCTAAACTGGGGTTGTCCAAATTCTATATTGTTAATAAGGCAGGACCATAAACCTTACTTTTCTATAGTCAAAGCTTGCATTTCTTTTGAACTCTTTAATGTATGTGCATTTATTTAACTGCACAGCGAAAACCTTCCAAAATTATACTAGGGGTTACATGTGGGTGGTCATTTTAAATTACTTCAAAACAATCACTCATCCATGTCTATCAATTAAATTAAATACTGATGTTGCCCATGCAGTGTAAACACTACAAACTTCAGAATCAAGCATTGATTCTGTCCCTGAGAAACTATCCTGTCTAGTTGTGCAGTGATCCTTCTTTCTGAGAAAGAAAATATATCCCTGCACTATTATCTGAAATTATAGATGGTGCTTGCCAGGGCTAATGTGACATGCTGAAAGATCTTCCATTTCATTTTCCGTGAGTAAGTTATCTATAGCTAAGCACACTGAAGATCTCAGCAGCTACTTTGGTGACTAGGGGTTTTTCTAGTCGCGGAGGTAGCCGCTGCAATCTTTTACACATCTCTGCATCCGGTGTCATACTGCTCATGCGAGTAGACCACTCATGTGAGCAGTTAATTACAGTAATCTACCAGCTGCAATAACATGTGCATTGGCTTCAGTGTTCAAAGGGGCAAGGAAACTCTTATTAGGATTCCATTACCGATTAGAATAGCCCTGTTCAAGATTTCACACCGCACCACTAACTATTGTTTAAGGGTCGAGCAGAGCCACACTCATGGGTCCTGCCTTGCCACGAGTCCCCGTTGTCCAGTTGTCCATGTACTGAGGAGGGAACACCTTGGGAGGGTACAGAGGGAGCTTAGGAAGATACAGCAGGTTGCCCTCTCCAGCAGATGTCCACCAAAGCATGGACAGCAGGGAAAGTAGAAAATTCTCAGGAAGTCCTGTTCTCTGCCACTGCCTGATCCCACCTGTTGCCTCTGGGTAACTGTACAGAACACATGCTCTCCTTGCCCATGCGAATTAGCTGCAGAAAGGTATCGTCACTTTGGTTTTTTATAGCAATAGCGGAAGGAGTCTGAATATTAGCAAGCAGGTTGATGTTAAGTAGGAATTTCATTCTGCTTGAGAAATGTACAGGTAAGCCATGCAAGATATACTTGAAGGACAGAGGAAGTTAATTGCAAGTACTTAACATACTCTTAGTGAAACTGAATGTCTACTTTGTCCCTCAAGGCTCTTTCTCATCAGTTCCCAAAACACCTGTGCAAAGAGGTGTATTGCAGAACATGCTTCAAGCTGACAGAAAACAATGGAGACGAGAACAGACTGTGTTCCGTCCCAATGGGTTGTTGTGACACATATGAAGAAAGACCAAAAATAAGCAGTCCTGTAGATTGTTCACATTCAATGCATTGGGTCCAGGCCTAGTCACCCTTAGATCAGACCCACTAAAATCTCCATGGGACTCGTAGATTTCAATGGATCTATTCTAAGAATGAGTGGGTCTGGATCCAACCCAAAGTCTTTTCACCGCACTGACATGTTTCTGAAATCCTAATGCTCTTCAGAAGTAAAATATAACCCCACGTAATATTTTTTTGGTCACAAAAGAGGTTAGAAAATGACGGATTTGTCCAAGGGAAAGCACAATGAATGTGATCACAAAGAGAGTGATCTCTGCTGTGGAGATTTAAAGAAACAAAACTAAACTCTCAAAATGACCTACCTGTTGGAATAAATGCTGCATGTTGCTGCAACTGTGCACTAGCAAGAGCCTGTTGGTAGTGCAAGAAACTGGGATTAAAAACAGCACTGGCCCCATTGCTTTTCTCAAGTGCTTGCCTCTTTGGTAAAGTGTGAAGAACACCAGGAGGAAAGGCCTGTAAATGAAATAATAAGAGTAGCAGTAGTAAGGTTGACAGAAGCTGTAACAGGTTGTTCTACTCTTAAAATATTACATTTGGTTGAAGATGCCTTGCCATGCACATTAGTTCAAAACAGAACAATGTCAAATGGATGGCATTTTTTTGTTATTGATAGTAAATGCATGGCACAATTAAACTAAAATTATAGCACCACAACACTTAAACTGAAACAAAAACCAAAAAAAAGCTTTTCAAGACTGAAGGGGTTTTTAAAGAAATCCAAAGATCTTTCTTTAAATATGGCTAAAAATAGAAGAAGAGAAACAGCACTTGTCTTTCATAACATTTTTAAAAAGTTAAATATCTTTGCATCGTTAAGTATATTAATTAGCATAGAAGAAGCATCTTCAATTACAAAAGCAGGATTTTTAAAAAGCTTTTAAGGGAATATATTTGAAGATGAAACTGTGTTAGGAAAGGCGGAAAGTTGCTTTGCAATCACTACATGTGAAAATGAAATGGCTAAAATACGGAAATTATTTTTGTAAAATTAATAATACAAGAAAATTCAGTTAACATTAAAAATTATTTTGCATCTCGGAAAAGCTACATGCAAAGCAAAAGGTGAAAGGTCAAAGTACCAGGTCTACAGTTGCTTCGAGAGGTCGCTTCATTGCTTTGGCAGTCGACTGAGTCTTTTAATAACAGGCAGCGAGCACATGATGGCAGTGGGCCAATGGGATTCAAGCGAATTAACATACAGGTAAACAGCAAGCAGAGGTGCATCATGGGAACGGCATTGCATTGTGGATAGGTGAGAAGGAAAAAAATATTCTGAATGCAATATACAACATACAAAACACTAGGCATGCACAACAACAAAAATGTTTTGTTTTCTAAAGAAATGAATATTACATCTTGAATTAGTACTGAAGCAAAAAATGCATCTACTGTACCTTAGTTAAAAGCATATAAGAGAGTAAAATATAGATGTTTGAAATTTAGGAAAGTTGATTAAAACAGCAGCTTGCAGACACCCTTAAGCATTTATAAGCACCAGTAAGCTTGAATGCTACATAGGAAAGCATTATTTTAGGGGGGGAGGTGTTCCTAAAAGAATTTTTGATAAGTTAGTTATGCCATGTTAAAAAGCACAAGTTAATCTCCAAATGCTAACATTCAAATCTAAACAACTGAAAACGTTTTTTTAAAACGATTTAATGGAATGAGCACATAAGAGGTTTACCATGTTATTAGGAACAGATCTTCTATTAGCAAAGTGTAAAAATTTAAATCTGTTTTAATTTTAAAATCTATTTCCTTTTTTGGTGTATTTAGTAAATGTTATTTAGGATAATTAACTTATCAGCAAATTCAGCACGGGCCTTTTTCTTTTTCTATGCTGGGAACAACAGCTTAAAGGTTTTTTCCAGTGAACTTACCGCACAAAGCAGAGAAAAACTGCACATTATTTTGAATTAGTACTTTCTATGTTGTTGTTTTTTCACCTTTAGTCAAATAATCTATATACCAAGTTTTAACAAAACACAGTAATGGAAAACACTGCTCATTGTGAGTCAGAAGTTTTATTTTATGCTCAAAGCGGAAATGGCAACACTGCATTGTATAATATTTTAAAGACATTACGTCCTGTGTAAGAACAAAAAGCATATGAAACTGCCTTCCACAAAGCCGTATCATTTATCCATCTACTCGGCTATTTTTTACCCTGTGTAGCAGTGGCTTTCCAGAGTCTCCTTTACCAGCCTTACTAATGCTGAACTGGAGGTTCTTGGGACCTCTTCCATACAAGTTTGGACCGTCAATATTTCTAAGTAACAAAGAGGGGTGGGCTTGACTGCACTTCCAATAAATGTCTGTGAAGTTTTTCTTCTAAGCTAAAATTTTGAACTCTCAGCACAATAGGTTTCTCCTCTGGAGACAACGGTATTTGGGGGTCATACTTTCTTGTCGTGGCGCCACACTTGGAACAAGAAGAAAGCCTGATCTTTGCAGCATTGCCAGCACATAACTCTCCAAAGAGAATGGAGTCACTCAAAGATCATACTTATATACAAACAAAAAAAGGAAGAGGCTCTGTAGGTACCAAGTTTGAGTCTGTGGGTGCTTGGAAGGGGTTGTTGCTGCATTTGTACGAATGAATATGTTTATTCTTAATACTTAAGAACGTTTTGAATGACATTTTAAGCGGCAATCAAAAAATGTTGTGTGTGCATGTTTTGGAAACCCTCCAACCTTGCTTCTTAAGACAGCTGTCCCAGCAAGGGAGATCTATGAGCAGAAACAGGCTAGGATGTAATTAGTCAATGCACATGTTGATGCACATCTGAATTTGTATTCTCGTGCTCATCTGAGTCCACTGAAATGAATGTGTCTCTTCACAGAGGTGGAAATGCATAGCATACCACCAGCTGTTGCGTACGACTGGTCGCACATGACAAGGTGTGGATCAAGGGTAATGATGGCCACAGAAGCTAAGAAACAAGTAAGGTAGCTTCTGGGCTCCTAACCAAAGATAAAATTATGTTCCTGACCCTAAGAAGTAAAGGATATAACTGCTAGGCCAATGATTCTGCATTCCTATAGTCATCAATGAAACACACCATCCTTTTCAAATGTTCAGTCTGAACACTGGATTATGTAAATTTAAAAGGAGGTGCAGTTCCTATGTGCTTCAGAGGCATTTTTGCTCTGAGCCGCATTCACACCCAAACCCTAAACTGCTTTTTAAGTTAAACAAACATTAGAATAACTGTGATGCTTTAAGATTATTCTGGTGTGCTGCAAACATACACTGAAGTGGGAGACATCCTCCTTTCTCCCTCGAAAACAAGCGTTTTCTTTGACCTTGAAATATTTCTGTTCTCTTGGTTAGCATATCAAGTCTTTGCAGAAAGTTGGCTTTCATTAAGTATATTCTGTAGTGTGCTGTATTTCTCATACTGCATACAGTGGAAGTCTCAAATATTTGCCAATGAGGACAATGCCTCTTTGACCTGTGTGTGGAGTCAGCTTATCTTCCAGATAGGAAAATTCTGCTTCTACTGATACTAATTTGCTACCAATATAAAAGTTTTCAGGATGATAAGTACCCACATTCCAGAAGTAGTGAGAAAAATGTGAGGGCAAAACCAGCTCTTTCAGCACTTCTTTTGAACTAAAAGAAGCCACTTCTGGAACGATACTTTCTCTAGTATCAGTATGACATTCCTGGCAGTCTTAAAAACAGCAGCAGAGAGTCATGTGGTTAGCTCTGTATGCACCTGAGAACTTTCAGTGTACACGGGTACTTTCAGCATTCCTTTTTTAAAACTCAGTACAGTGCAATGAGCTTTATCAGAAGCCTGGGTGTACCTGCACAAACCCTTCTATGCACTTAAGAGCTGTTCTTGGAACTGTGCAAAAATGCTGTGGCAAGTCAGTGTATTGAGCTATCCATCAACCTTCTGAGATAACAGCGTGTTCTTTTAATTTTTTACTTTAAGGAAAAATGAGGCGTCCGTTCAAACAATCATGGTGGTAACTGATGGCATGCCAAGGGCACTGAAGTCTGCCACGTCCAAGTTCAATCCCCATTTGGTAATTTTCTGTAGGAGATCTCAACCCATAGCAATTCACAAGATGCCACACTGGTTTCTGCATGTTCACCATGTTACCTCCACATCAAACTAGTCAGGTGAATAGACCCTAAATCAGGGGTAGGCAACCTAAGGCCCATGGGCCGGATGCGGCCCAATCGCCTTCTCAATCCGGCCCACGGGCAGTCCGGGAATCAGCGTGTTTTTAAATGAGTAGAATGTGTGCTTTTATTTAAATTGCATCTCTGGGTTATTTGTGGGGCCTGCCTGGTGTTTTTACATGAGTAGAATGTGTGCTTTTATTTAAATTGCATCTCTGGGTTATTTGTGGGGCATAGGAATTCGTTCATATATATATTTCAAAATATAGTCCGGCCCACCACATGGTCTGAGGGACGGTGGACCGGCCCACGGCTGAAAAAGGTTGCTGACCCCTGCCCTGCACATAAATTTAGCATTCTATTCTCTCCAGTCCTCAATACCCGCATATATAAAGCATTTTTTCCTCTTCTCCTTTGCTAGCCTTCATTTAACAAGTTTTATATACTGCTTAATCAAAAAGCAATGCTTCCAGTCACTAAGATAATGGCAATCAACTTATCAGAGACTCCTATACAGCCACATCAAAACTATGGGTCCCAGAAACCACTATGCAAATGTTAACTGCATGTTGCTGTTAGACGAGCCTATCCAAATTTCTGAACATCCAAATAGACTCCTCACCCAGCCATTCCTAAAAAAAACCGTCCTAAACGATGGCAAATAGGGCATTAAGTACGCTGTTCTCCAAAAAGATGCCTATTGTGCTAAAGGTACAAAGTGAAAAAGGACCTTGGATCACTGGATTATTTCATTAGATCAGCATTCGTAAATTAATAGAAGACCATATTCTGGTAAAGGCTTTAAGCTAAATTACACTCTTAAAAGCAATGCTGGCTTCACAAAAGCAGTAATTACGGATCCTGCATTCTTGCACTTACCATCACTGTAGCAGCTGCAGCAGCTGCCTGGGCAGCCACTGCAGCCTGGTTGGCTTGGTGCTGAGCAGCTTTGATTTTGGCCTGCAAGTGAGCAGGAGGGTGAAAATATTTGCATTTCTCCCTCATGCAGCGCCCCTTTATGTAATCCATACAAACAGTTACGGTGTTGTCATTTGTATCAATCATTGTGCTGTCTGCAGGATGTGCAAAGCGGCAGTCAGTTTCGCCCCGTGCACAGTTTCCTCGCTGGAACTCCCTGCAAACCTGGTGCGCAAAACAATACTCATTATGCATACTAGATCAGGAGGGGTGGGGTGGGGTAGTTGCATATACTGAACAAGAGAAGACATTCAAAAATGTAACTCCCGAAGGCTCGAGACCAAATGACCTCCAGTGCTTTTCAAACCAAACTTCCAGCTTCAACCTACAACCGCTCTGCAACTTATGTATCTTCAGGCACACAGGTCTGGATGATAAGATAACTTAAGGCAAGGAAGTTCACTGAAGGAATGCTTCCTGTCTCCTTCTTCCCCCTTGAGCCACCTGTTTCCCCTGAAAAGCCTTCCTTCTCTAGAGGACTGTTTAAATCATGTGGCCTGGTGGCTCCTGGAAAAGAGGGGAATTGGCTAAAACGGGACTCGAATGCTAGGGTGAGTTATCAGAAGGAGGTTCACAGAAGGAAAAATGTCTCATTCCTTGTTTTCACCCAGCCCCCAGCCGCCATCTCACATTGTTCAGGAGGACCTTTCAGAGTAGAAGCCCAGGGGGCTGCAAGAGGGACAGGTAACTTTCCTTCCCTGAACTTTTAAGTTAACTTATCTCAGGATCCACGCCATGCCCTCTCGCTTCAGATTAGCCCTTTCCCCATTTCCACCTCTGTTACTTTGCCCTTTTCTCCTTCGCTGCAGGATAGTTTTCCTGCCATTGGCTCACCCCAACTTAGCGAAACTCACAACCCACAAGATGAAGACCAGCAGCCTAGATTTTCCTTGTACCTGCCTGCAATCACCTTTGAGGCATTAGGAGAATAAGTTATCTTAACCCTTAATGCTTCCTCACAAATCTATAAAGTCGCCTAAGTGTGGTTCGAGATGTACATGCACCTTCAAAAACACAAGCAAATCTTGCTCTTCTGCCCCTTGTTTATAGTGGTAGGGGTCACACAGCAGCCATATTGTCTGCCATCAGGAAGAGAGCAAAATGATGGAACCCTCACTTCCGACTTAGCATAGAGCACTCTTGTTATCCCTCTGGCCCATTTTGTGCTAGTTTTCATGTGTTACAAGGTTAGGATAGTAGCTCAGCTTTCCCAAAACACATTGTTTTCTTTTCATTCAAACTGGTAGGTTACTTAGGACAAGCAAACAATTGTGCATGTTTAGTTGGTAACAGACCTATAAATAGCTGGTGCGCAGAGTCTCTCTCTGGGTTTATGTTCTGGATTTATTAGGTCCTTTCCGTGTAAAACTGCTAACAGCCTCAAACCCACACCATATAAAAACACAGCAGCAGTAATATAATGATGTAATTACTTCTGTTACTCTGAGCTGATATCTGCTGTAGTATCTGCAATGCCTCTGCTCAGCGGTAACTAAGGTTAGGGAACTGCTTCACTGCACTAACCCCCCCTCCTTTCCAGAATCCTAACATACGAAGTACGCATCAGCATAATGGTGCTCACCATACCTCTAGCTTATCGGTCCTGAGGAGTTTCTGGGTCGTGGTTGAACCAGGGACTGAGACAGGGGGGCTTCCAGGAACAATGACAGGCTGCGTGGGGACAATTTCAGTAGGAACTAATCCAACCCCAGGAGTGACGGGTGTTAAATATGGTGCAAAGCTAAGTGCTGTGTTGGATCCTATTGTTGGCCCTACAGGAAATGAGTGCTGAGGAAAGGGGGGGGGGAGAGAGAGAGAGAGAGAGATGAAAAACAAACATGTAAATCCTATGGGCAAACATGGTTCTATATTAAAAACAATAAGGGTCAAAATTGGCTTCAATTTCCATCCAGATGCACCACTTTTTAGGAGAACCACAACTACACTGGCCAGCCTCCAGAACGCTGCTCCAGACTTTGCAGGGAACTTTGAAAAAAATAATTTCTCTTGTTAAGATATAAACCGAGTCGACGTTCATGTGTCCAGAGCCTACAGTGATGGGTAACTCACATTCCAGACAAACACTGCCACAAAAAACAGGTTCATATCAGGGAAGCAGCTTGCCTGCAGAAAATTATGACAAAAGTCAATACAGTATGGTTCTACCCTGCATGGACTGTTTACAGCCTCCTCAGCACCTGAATCTGGAGTTAGGCAAGTTGCAAGGGGTGTGTGAGTGCAGGTGAGTGGGTTTTAATTATTTCATTAAAAAGAAATAGTAAAATACAACCAAGCAGGTCCTAAAAGTCAGTGTTTACTACAGAGTCAAACGATTGCCAGGGTGGAAAGACTATGCTTGAATTTGGTCAAAAACAGCATGGGAGAACAGGGAAGTTTCCAGACATCTGAGCAGTTTCTTGAAGCGGGGGAACGATTTAACCATGTGAGACTGAAATATGTGGTTGTAGTTTGAAATTATGGACCTGAGGCTGCTCAAAGAAAACACGGGATAGTATGTGTAATGTATGAGGGCTCACAATGCAAATAGATGGGTGTTTCCAAACACATATCATTTCATTGTTTTTAAGTGACTCACCAGTCTGAAAAGCATTTGTGATTGTGTCTAGAATATATTACGTGCTGCTGAGGTAGCTTCTACTACAGGCCTCAGCCTCAAAGGAAAAACATGGCTTAGCCTCCATAAATTAGACCAAAAGGGATAACCAAAACAGACATTAAGAAGCAGAAAAATTGAAGTTCACATTTTATAACTGGCTCAATATGAGGAGTTCTTAAGTCATTTTTGTGTGGGAGGATATATGAGTACTGCACATAAATGCATAAGATAAAGACGGAAAAAAGCAGCACAATCAACCAGTAAATGGCTGGGTGATTTTACATCAGTAAAATTAACTAAACTATAAACCTGCAAATCCAGTTAAAGGCATACAGTATATATTTGGCATGATCCTTCTGGAAAACAGTGAGGGGTACGCAATACTGTTTCAGGAAAAGGAAACCTGTGGTTGTCCAGATAATGTTAAACTCAAAATCCAAAAAGTCTCAGCCAGCATGCCTTGCTCCCAAGTGTGACTGCAGAGTACAACCATCTGCATAACCCTTCTGAAGTCCAAAAAACAAATCTGAACCACAGTTTGCTATACATTATGGTATGGCCTACTTCTAGTCGGACTAAAGAAGGGTAATTAGAAACTGTCAGTTACAGATTAGGAAATTCACAGGTATTATCTGAACCTATAAAGGAATAGCATGCACCGGAAACTGTGATGACAAAAATGCTAAAGGACAATCAACAAGAATGCTAAACAAAAAGCTGCAAGTTCATAATATGATTTCCACATTATAGGTTAAACTTTCAGAACAAAGCCATTCTAGAATAAGAACACCCCCAATAGCCCTGCCTTTAATGAAGAATGCATACAAATTATGGTATATAAAAATAATTTTATAAACTATCCAAATATAGCTCTACAGCTCAGACTTTCACTTATTGGCCTAATAATCAATAAGCTGCCTAGTCCTGAAACTGAAACGTTTCAAAACAGCTGCACAAATCTATTTATGTATATATCGATATAGATATATATGAATTTAATTTACAAAACTGATCTAGGCATTTTATTTCAGAACTTCACAACAGCAATATTGTAATAACTACGTAAGTTAAGGTGGAAATGTTAAAGGGCTTGAAAAGCATTTGTCAGTTTATCTGGAAATGACTTGTAAAGTTAATACAGACAGCTCTTTTGTTAAAGGTACTTACCATTGGCTGAAGAGGCGTTCCTGGAAACATAAATTGCATCTGCTGTGCAAGCATTGCTGCTGCAGTTTTCTGTTGGATCAGGTTGTTCCTTCCATTAATTTCTAGCTGCGTTTTCAAATGTGTTGGTGGATGAAGATATTTGCAGTTCTCCCTTGTGCAACGGCTCTGAAAAATGTGAAAATATTACTTAGTTCTGGAAATTTAACTATAGTCTGGTGTTATCACAGAAGCATCTGCAATGGTTGGCCTTTCTCCAAGGCATTACATCCCTATCCTAATAATATTGAGCATTCCATTGAAATCAATGGGAAGTATTTGTATGTAGCATATTTAGTATTGTGGTCTGATCACTAACGGCCTTGCAAAATAATACTTCAGCAGTTAGGTGGAGCCTTGGTGCTGCCCTTTGTGGATGGAATGAAGGGAGAAGTTGAAGGTTTAGGAGCAGCATATCCAGCGAAAAAGGCACAGAGACATGCCCTGCTCTAATTCCAAACACACCCCATGACATATGCCACAAGACTGGACGTAGTGCTCACAGAACTGCATTTCTCAGCAGACTCTAGAGCAGCAGTTCTCAACCTGTGGGTCCCCAGATGTTGTTGGACTACAACTCCCATCATCCCTGAGCTCTGGCCTTGCTAGCTAGGGGGTGATGGGCGTTGTAGTCCAACAAGATCTGGGGACCCACAGGTTGAGAACGGCTGCTCTAGAGTCAGCTCCAGGCTCAATCCCACCCCAGGACACATCTCAGGGTGGGCTAATTACATTGCCAAGAGAGAGAGAGAAAAGGCCAATATAGAAAATAGGGACCACTTTTTATATGAGGCAGTAACTTGGCCATACAGAAGTGAGAAGGATGGGTTGTTAAGGCCTCTTAAAGACCCTTGAGTGCCCTGCAATGGAGAAGGGTCAAGAGGCATACTCCCAGGACCAACCTTTGCTTGACACCATTCTCCTCCTTCCAGCAGATGTGATGAGAACTACCATGATTACAGTCTTCCATTCACCCACCCGTTTGGATATTCAATAAAGCTGCCGCCTACTTCATGAGATAAACCATAAATGTCCATACGATCTTAATTGACAGATATTCACAGTTCAAAAAGTAATAACGTACACATGACATAATGGGTTGGATCCAAAGGTCCAAAGCAGAACTCTCCACTCTTCCAGAAGCCAGTGTGATGTTGTGGTTAGAGAAACGGAGGTTCAAATTCTCACTTAACCCAGAAGCTCCTTAGGTGATCTCAGACAAGTCTCTCTCTCTCTCTCTGTCAATATTATTTTATAGGGTTGTTGTGAGGACTAAATGGAGGGGGTGAGGAGAACCAGATATACTGCCCTGAGCTTACTGGAAGAAAGGTAGGATAGCAATGTAGTAAATAAATAAGTAGTAAAAATCTGCAGAGACCGCTGCTAAATTACAGCCCCCTCTGAAAACTTTAGAGCTGCTTCAGTTTACAGAAAGGCCACCTGGGATGTAACTCATTATGCCACATTTGAAATGTTTGATCTCAAAAGGAGATCAAACAACCCTTTGTTTTGATTTGTTCAACAATAAGAAACAGGCTTCATTTTAATGGCCGTGTGTAGAGAATCCTATCTCAGCTTAATAAGCTTTATATAAATGAGATATAAATGAGCTCTTTGTCTGTGTTTGCAGACCCTTCACCAGCTTGGGGACTCAAACCAGGAAGTCTTTAATGAACCATGTTTTCTGTTTTGTGCAAACAGGGAAGCTATGGTTACCAGACCTGGACCAAGACAGGATATTAAACCAAATTCAAACAGTGGATTAACATCCTGGCTGGTTCTGAAGTCAGGTTTCCCAGTTTGGGCAAAATGAGAAACAATGGTTAATTAGAGACTTAATGGTTTGAATGTCTGCACTGCAAAGAGAAGAGTGAAGGGACTGTGTGCACAACTAAAAAGGCCAAGATACAGTTGTTAGAACTGAGCCATTCTATTTGATAAGAGAGTAAGGGATTCAATTTTTTGTATGTAGACTTCCATTTGTTTTGTTACATTAGTCTCAGATTTCAATTTAACACAGTTATTTTACATTTGATCAAGTTAAAAAATAAAAAAACAGCATCCCTTCTTACATCCAGAAAGAAAACCTGTTTGTTTTTTGTTTGTTTTGAAAATAGGGATATTTTCTACTACTGACAAATGGGGTGACATTTCCCCTAGAGATCACATACAGAGTGTCTTGAGTATCCTTCCTTTGATTCCGCCCCCCCTTGTCTCTAGAACTACCCAGTGCAGTTCTAACCTTACAAAATATCTGCTATTTTTTCTTAAATCCATATATAATCATTACCTCCTACAAGCCTAAGCATAACACATTATTGACACTAAATAAATGTTTAGAAGCTGGACCCCAATGTACTTTGCAAACTGCGAAGAAATCCTGTTTGTTTCAACTGTCTTTTAATAGGTACAGTCAAACCTCGGTTGTTGAATGTAATCCATTCCGGAAGCCCGTTCAGCTTCCAAAACGTTCGACAACTGAGGCGCAGCTTACGATTGGTTGCAAGAACTTCTTGCACTCAAGTGGACGATGCGTCGGACATTCAGATTCTGAAAAATGTTCAAATACCGGAACACTTACTTCTGGATTTGGGGCGTTTGGGAGCCGAAACGTACAGTAACGGAGGCATTCGGGAACCGAGGTTTCACTGTTTTGTGTAACTTAACGTGTTTTTCTGTACTGTAATGTCTGCTGCATGGTTATTTTTTAAAAAAAATAAATATTAAAGATTTTCTTGGTTTACAAAAGCACATGCATTGTCTCTTTTTCAGGTTGTTTTTTTACAGATCAGTTACATTTGTTGTGAGACTTTAGTGTTGAATAACTTGGGAAGAAAGGAAGGGGGAAGAGACACATACACTAAAGTAGAAGAATATAAGCTTTACCACCCCACCCAACCCTTGTATAATGTTTGTGATGGAAGAAGTCTTCTATCTGGTCAGATGAAAGTCGGTTTGTAACAGTCATTGGGGAACCCTAACTGACAGCTGGGGAGGGGCTGGAGAAGGAACTCTCAGTATGCAAAAGAAGGAGAGAAGGTATGCAAATTCTGGTTGGTGGGTAGCAGATTTAGAATTCTTAGTTGGACAGTGTGATTGGCTGGAGCTGGATGTGGGGTGGAGTTGGAAGGAATGCATATATGGCTAGGTGCTAGTCAGGATAAATCAATGTAGGTTGGTGCTTGGTCCTTGTGGTGGACAGCCAGAAGAAGATGAAAAACAGATCCTATGCTTGAATACGTGACCCAACAAGGGCTTTTGCCAAAGTCCTCAGTTACACTGTTAGTAAGGCTTAACTGGAGTGGAGCAGAAGATTTTTAATACTGTAACAGATTACATCCTCCAAGTTGTCTTGGTTGGTATTTCAAGTTCCAGTAACAAGTTAGAAAAGTGTATAAGAATTTAAGGAGATAGAACTACCGTATTTTTCGCTCTATAACACGCACCTAACCATAACATGCACATCGTTTTTAGAGGAGGAAAACAAGGGGGGGGGGGAATTCTGAATGAAACAGGGGATGTATCATTTTTGTGCTTCATGCTGTGGCCACAGACATGTGATCTGATAGTGAATTTGGGGTGACCCAATGCAAAGATCCTGAGGATCCATGTGGATCCATGCTTTGTAACCACATTTTTGCACCATTGCAGCCCCAGGCAACAGTGGATGCATGATTTTTCTGGTGCAGGCTGTAGCCATGGACATGTAATGTGATCTGATGGTGAATTTGGGGTGACCCAATGCAAAGATCCTGAGGATCCATATGGATCCGTGCTTTGTAACCACGTTTTAAGTGGGGAGGGAAGGAAAAACACAGAAGGGACAAGGAACACGAGAGGGGTGTGCAGAGAAGCAGCTTGCTAAGAATGCAGGAGAGGGGTTTAACGGGAGGGAGGAAAGGAAGGCAAAAGTTTTCCCCTACCCACCAAGCCAGCCCTCTCTTTCTCTCTCTCTCTCTCTCTCTCTCTCTCCTGCATGTTTTCCGGCTGCCTGCGAGTCCCTAGAAAGCATTAGAGCACGGAGAGGAATTAGAAGGAAGGACGCGATCCTTTCCTTTCCCCTCTGCTTGCCTGGAGGGCAGGGGATTTCCCTGCTCTTTGTTCCACAGCAACGAAACATAAGAGGGTGGGCAGTAAGACCCTGAGGCAGAATGCAGGAAAGCAGCAGCTTCCTCTCTTCAGGCTTCCCTCCTCCGTGATGCGCGATTTGATTTTTGCCCCTGCACTCGCGCCAGTCGGCTCCAGGGACCACACATTCGCTCAATAACACGCACAGACATTTCCCCTTACGTTTTAGGAGAAAAAATCTGTGTGTTATAGAGAGAAAAATACAGTATATTAAAGTAACCACATAAGCCTGTGTACTACATAATCTTGTAAGAAATAAACATTAATATCATAGTTAAGTATAGCAACTATATCAGATTGGCTTTGAAGCACGTCTATATCCCACTGGGCTATTAAGGACAGAGGTGGAATTAAATTGTGGCAGAAGTATGGGTTTAAGAAAACCATTGGAATAGAAGTTGGGTTTTGTTAATAAAGTAAGGAAACACCCCCACCTTTCCTCCACACAACACTATAATAAAGCCATCTGCATACTATAGTGAACATACATTATAATTAATAAATTATCTGCTTCTGTTACATATGTTAATCCCATCCTTTTGCACTAATTACATAAATGGAAACTCAATTACTAAAGGGGCAAGTACAGCAGAGGAAATTAAAAGGACCTAAATTCTATTATTCTGACCATCTAATCATCCATAAAACCTGCCTGCTTGAGACCATGGCCTCTCCTTTGCTGGAGAACAGGTTGAATTCTTCAGATCTGGGAACTAACTAGATGACACTGCTAATTGGAGAAATGGAAATAGGAGGTTATTAAGCAACTGGCCTGCAGAACAAGATGTGTTAAGAACGTATCAGGAAGGTCACCCAGGGCAGGATCCAGCCAAAGTTAAGTATTATTTTAAGCACTGGTGATTTCAATAGGAATTAAATATGCTAAACTCTGGCTGGAAAATCAATACCAATGGTTTACATATTACTGTCTCTCTGAGGCAAGGTCTACATTTTTACTACATATGCCCCAAGTGCCTGGCACAATGCGAGTCTGATATCACCAACCGTCTCTAAGCTTTACTGTATTACGAACAATATACAGAGGCTTTATTTTATTAGTAGTCTTCATCCTTCATTGTCCAACCAGAAAAGTGGTTTTCCTAGAAAAGGGCAAAACGCAACAATCTTGCAAAGCATTCAAGTAGATGGATGAAAATTCCACCACTATACAAAGGCACATTCTCTTATCTCTGTGTGAGGCTGGCTGGCTGGGTTTCATTGCTTAATGATACTGCCAGATCTGCAACTGTGCCATTAACAATGCATGTGTTTAGGGGGGCAGGATTTCCCAATGAGAGGGCAGCATGATAAAACATTTCCAGTTCCTTGGGAAGGTGACAAAAAATTATGGGGAGCAGATTAAAAATAAACGCAGAACTTCATTTGCCAAGTCATTCATTAATCTTGATAAAGCAGAGCTTGAGGGGATTAAAGAAAACAAAAGACAGTCCAGGTTCCATTCACATTTATAGCTGAAATGAATACCTCACATGCCAAGGCAGAGTTTGCACGCATCCTGTATTATTCCTGCAAAAAATACATTAAAGCAGGGTCTGCTGGTGTAAACACGGTTTATTGGGAATGACCTTAGAGGCTGTGGGGAGGGGAAATTTGTCTTCTTCTGCCAGGATGTTCCTTTTCCTCCTTTGAGACTGAAAGTGCTCACCGTGCCATGGGGTAAACAAGCACAATACTTTCATTATCCACCTCTCTCACCTTTACAAGATCTAACCTGCAGTCTAGCATAACAGATCCGTCTGTTGGGTGGACCGGGTGTTGCTGCTCCTCCCAGCCTCAGTCAGCCTTCCTTGCTTGCCTTCCAACCTCTCCAGGTGATGGTGCTCCCTGTCAGCTTTGCCCTTCTCAGTCTCATTGCTGCTGTTATACAAATCATTGCTGAGAAGGGTGGGGTGGGGGGAACTGGAATGAGCTGGCTCAGACTCTCATCAAGTCATCTTCTTGGTTACTTGAGTTCTACAACTTTTGTGGGTCCTCCCATTAGGTGAGCCTGAACAAACTTAGCCTCATCGTCAGGGCCCTGCAGGGCCTGCAAGACAGAGTTGTTTCGGCTGGCCTTTGGCTTGGAATCAACTTGATCCCCTCCCCTATTTGGGGACTTCCCTGGCTTTTTTCTGGCCCACGTAGGACCATTCTGGATAGTTGGCCTTGGTGAAGATTTGACGTTTTCATCCCCAAAAAGTTTTTGATTTGAGTTTCTACTGAAATGAGGCTGCATTTTAAATGCTGTATTTTAATCTTGTTTTTAAGTTGTATTTTAATCATTTGTTTTGATACCTGGTGTTAGCAGCCCTGAGCCCGGTCTTGGCTGGGGAGGGCAGGGTATAGAAAAAAATTGTTATTGTTGTTGTTGTTATCAGATGAGCCGCCCAGAGTGGATGGGGAAACCCAGCCAGATGAGCAGGGTATAAATAAAATTATTATTATTATTATTATTATTATTATTAGGTGCTATGCAAATAAAACACACCAAGAGTGGTAAGGGAATCAGGGAAGCTAGTCAAAATATGATTAACAAAATTAATCTGTCTCTGGCAATATCTGCAAAGCTGCCTAGCAGAAAAGTCAGAGTACGATGAAGGACATAGGTGGCAATTATTCTGAACAGACAACCCAAAGCAAATATTAGCTTAGTTCAGAAATCTGATTTCACTTGATCGAATTCTGGCATTCAAGATGGATATTTTTACATTCAGGATGACCACAACATTGTAATACACAGCAAATGCATATTTCTAATTATCTCCATGCCACAGTCCCAACCACTTATAACAAAGATGACTGAGTTACTTGTTTCAAGCTTTTCTTCCTGACATGTACCTCATACCATGATTAAAATCACCATGGCACTTCAGATCTGAAAGATATTTAGGTTAAAAATATAACAGAGCTTAAACTGTGCTCTATCATTAGTCCTTTTCAAGTTTAAGATTTTTCCGTAATGCTTTTCAAACGACATGTATTCTAAAAATAACTGATTTACTTGAGTGAAGTCTTTTTCTTTTTCTGTCTTATATCAGTGCGTGACAGTAAAATTATGATGGATAAGTAGCATTTTGTCTGAAGAAAATTCACACAGCCAGATCACTAGGCAACATCTGAGCTGCAGGGCAGAAACAACCCTACTTTGGTAAGGATTTCAAGTTTACTTTATTAAAAGAAATTAATAATTGTATGCGGCTGTTCCTTGAGGAAAGGGGATGAACAGCTCTCATCAACATGTCACTGCAAATGATTGCTACAGATTATTCCTATCAACAGAGATGTCTGAAATTAATTTTATACATACAGAGATCTACAAATTAGAACTGGACTTGCAAATCTGGTAGCTAGCTGTGATATCAAATCCTGCCAGAATTTTAGTGATCCTCACTTCTAAGCCAGGATGTTAAGGATCACATCTTAAATAGCAGCTAGTTTATTTAGGACTTTATTAAGTAATTGCTGCCTTCAAAATTTAGGTTGCAGTCCTACCTCCCTATGTTGACAACAAGAAGGTACAGTGGTGCCTCGCAAGACGAAATTAATTCATTCCACGAGTTTTGTTGTCTTGCGATTTTTTTCGTCTTGCGAAGCACGGTGTCGGAAGTTTTGGAAAAGCTTCAAAAATCACCAAAGTCTTCAAAAACCTCAAAAAAGGCTACCACACCGCGTGCTATGAGTTGCTCCTTGAAGTCAAGTCGCAACTGTATTAACGGTGTTAAGAAAAAGGAAACAAACTTGCAAGACGTTTCCGTCTTGCGAAGCAAGCCCATAGGAAAAATCGTCTTGCGAAGCAGCTCAAAAAACAAAAAAACCCTTTCGTTTTGCGAGTTTTCCGTCTTGCGAGGCATTCGTCTTGCGAGGTACCACTGTAGTAACAATGCAGCAGTCATCTCTCCACCGGCAGAGGTGAGAACTGATATGAAGGTCTCTCCTGCCAACAGTAGTCAGTGGAAGCCACAAAATGGGATGTTTGGGCGCAAGGTCATGGAGACTTTGGACCAGCGACAGCAATAAAAAGGAGGGAAAGCCTCTCATCACTTACCAGGGCTTCAGTTGGGGTGGTATATCCATCATTCTGCACTGCCCCAGCCCTTCAGTATTGATTTGCCCTGGTGCAATCCTATACATGAGGGGCTGCCGTCCCAGAACCCATGAAAGCTTTCAGGGTGCTCCTAAAAAGACGCCCCAGTTTCATGTTTTAAAAAAGTATTTTTCAAAGTGTGTGTGTGTATTGCACCTCAGAAGCTAATTCCAGACCCAGCTCTAGCCCTCTTGTCCCAAGAAAGTGACTCGCACCATGTGAGACTAGTAACAACATCCCACTGGAAATCTCAAGAGATGTGGTATAAAAATATATGGATTATATAGTTCTCAGAACATCTAACTTACCACCATTATTTAAGGGGGGACTGAACTTGTAATCTTCATAGAACTCCAGCCCAATGGTTGCCATTAATTTGATTCTGAACTGATTTTAGAATGTGTTTCAATTAACTGACTGTGATTTTATGTAAACTGTGCTATTTTTACTGTTGCTAGCTGCTCTGAGCCTGGCTTTGGCTGGGGAGGGCGGGATATAAATAAAATATTATTATTATTATTAATGAATGGTATCCCTTTTTAAGTGTCTTAATGAAGGGGGCAGGTTTAGACAGCCTCCAGCAATTCTTGACAGGAGAATTTGAAAATTCAGCAATGTTGCTTGGGCTCTTAGGTGTATTTGTACAGCAGACTTAACATCTTATGTAATTGTGTTGTACTCCATTACACCAAAGTTGTTCTTGATTTTTGTGTTTTGTTACTGTTAAAGAGATTTATAATAATAATCTAAAATAATAATAAAAAAGGTTTTCGCCCACTTGGAAAGCAAGCTATAGGGCAAAATGTGCATATAACTTCTGATTTCTGCAAAATGAGAGTGGTGTGGCTACCTCATATATTTTTCCTGGTACTGATGAATGCTCTCTGTTGTTAATAGACAGCACCAGCATTAATGTTTGTATGTTTGATCGCCATTATCAGGACCAGCAGGACACAGTGGACTTCCCACAAGAAGCATAAAGAAGGGGACGGTTGCCCCTCTCTAATTTTGTAATATGCCCCCCACCACCACGACACAACAGCCATTTTGTGACTGGCACCCCATCACTTGCTCAATATTTGAAATTTCCACACTAGTTCTCGAAAGTTGGCAACTCCTACTATAAAGGTTTACTCAAAATACACACTTTCAATGGGGTTTACTGTAAAGGAGGAAACATGGGATGGTTTTAAAATATTTAACCTGCAATGATATACACTGTCAGTCAAAAACCTTAAAATTTTACTCCTGGGTGTCTTCCCTTTGTAATCATGAATAGATCAGTACGGTGATACCTCTGGATACGAACAGGATCCGTTCCGGAGCCCCGTTCACATCCTGAAGTAAATGCAACTTGCATCTGCGCATGCACAGGTTGCGATTTGCCGCTTCCGCGCATGCGTGTGACGTCATTTTGACCGTCTGCGCGTGCGCGAGCGGCGAAACCCAGAAGTAACGTGTTCCGTTACTTCTGGATCACCGCGGAGCACAACTTGAAAGCACTCAACCTGAAGCAACTTCAACCCGAGGTATGACTGCAGTTCTAAATTAGAAATTCCTGGCTCATAATATTTCTAGCATTCCCAGATAAATCAACAAGTCTCATATCTAATTGTTTAAATAATAATAATAGTAGTAATAATAATAATAATAATAAAATTTTATTTATACGCCGCCCTCCCCAGCTAAGACTGGGCCCAGGGCGGCTAACAACCAATAAAAAACAAGTTGATTGAAATGCAACTTAAAAAACAAGATTAAAATACAACATTAAAACATTAAAATGCAGCCTCATCACAGGAGGAGAAAGGAAAAAGAAAGAGGGGGAGGGAATCAACTTGACTCCAAGCCAAAGGCCAGGCGGAACAACTCTGTCTTACAGGCCCTGTGGAAAGAAATCAGATCCTGCAGGGCCCTGGTCTCATGAGACAGAGCGTTCCACCAGGCCGGAGCCAGTGTTGAAAAGGCCCTGGCTCTGGTTGAGGCTAATCTAACTTCCTTAGGGCCCGGGACCTCTAGGGTGTTGCTATTTATGGACCTTAAGGTCCATAAGGTCCATATACCGTGGGGTATACCGGGAGAGGACATCACACATTTTTCCTGGCATTTTTATTCCCCATTTCTACTCTCTCTGTTTCCCACCAGTTCAAGGTGGGGGGCACTAAATCTTGATTCTTTAAAGCTATAATCCTTAACACACTTACTAGAGGGGAAAATCCCCAATAAACACAGTGGTGCTTACTTCCAAGTAAGCATGAGCAGGATTGTACTGTAAATCAATTACCATCTAATAATTAGGAAACTGCGCTGAATGGATTATATAATTTCTCTTAATGAACATTCAGCTTTTAAAAATGTACAATCCCAAACTTAAAAAGGAGAAGCAAACAAACATATTGTATTTTGTGGTTCTCTTTAAACAAGCAAATATATTACAAGTTGTACACTTAATTGCTCATTTCAATGTAAGATGACAGACTCTTCTGTTAGCAGAAGGCTACAATTTGAAACAAATCTATAATTACTAAGACAAGCTATTACAAGCCTGTGAATGTGTCTTTATATCTTGATGTTTCTACTTCAAGAGATGCTACAGCTGCAAAAACAAAAAATCCCTGAAAACCTGAAAAACGAAACCCAGTCCTAGTAAATATGTTGGTAAATATCATTGGTTGACCTATTCTTCCAATTATAAGGCTGAGTGGTTTTTTTTTGGGGGGGGCTGATTTAAAAGGAGGTCTGAATACAATACAAATATGCTAAATTCAAACATCTTAAAGCAAAGTCATTTACAACTGACTCCATGACCCTCATTCAAACATAATGAGAAGATCTCTCTATCTATATACAGAAGTAGTGCATTATTATGGTAACTAGAGAAGGAACAGGGACTAGATCATCATCAAAAGTATTGTGATCCAGCCCCTAGGTCCAAGAAGCCAATCTCTATTCATTCAGAACAATCCATGAACAGAATCCAGTTTTATACCCTCCAGCTACCTCAGCAGTCAGCTCAGCTCTAAAAATAAATAAAAAATACATTATTCTCTGCAAAGAATGTGAACTCTTCTTCTGGGATTGACATGTGTCTAATGAACAACAAGCAGAAGCCCGTGATTTCAAATCAAATCACGGTGCAATCCTATAGAGGCATACTCAAAAGTAGTGTCATTAAGTTCAGTAAGGCTTACTCTCAGAGCATGCAAGTATAGAGAACTGTGTGAGTTTGTGGAGGCAGTTAGAGGATGGGATTAACAGATTGAGCCTGAATCTCGACAAGACAGAAGTACCGCTGACAGCAAGTGGGCAGGTGTGGAGGACTCTCTGGAACTATGCCCCTAGGACCAGGTGTGCAGCCTGGGGTCATGGACAGCTGTCCATGGAGGCGCAGGCCAATTATGTGTCCGGGAGCTCCACCCAGTACGCCAGCTGAGACCCCACTTGTCTGCGTTCTGTCTCACCAGAGTGGTATATGCTTTGGTTGTCTCTCGCTTGGACTACTGCAATGTGCTCTACGTGGGGCTACCTTTGAAGGTGACCTGGAAATTACAATTAATCCAGAATGCAGCAGCTAGACTGGTGACCGGGAGTGGTCGCCGAGACTATATAACACTGGTCCTGAAAGACCTACATTGGCTCCCAGTACGTTTCCAAGCACAATTCAAAGTGTTGGTGAGGACCTTTAAAGCCCTAAACGGCATTAGCCCGGTATACCTGAAGGAGCATCTCTACCCCCCCCCCCATCGTTCAGCCCATCTGGAAAGAGAGGTCCAGTTTTCAGAGCCTTCTGGTGGTTTCTTCATTGTAAGAAGTGAAATTACAGGGAACCAGGCAGAGGGCCTTCTTGGTAGTGGCGCCTGCTCTGTGGAATGCCCTCCCCTCAGATGTCAAAGAGAGACACAATTATGCAACTTTCCGTAGTCATCAGGATGTTTTTAATGCCTGATGTTTCATTATTTTCTATTAGATTTTGTTGGAAACTGCCCAGAGTGGCTTGGGCAACTCAGACAGATGGGTGTGATACAAGTAATAAATTATTATTATGTTGTTGTTGTTCTGACGTACAACCAACTTTAGAAAATATCTGACAAGTAAAAATGAAGTCTGATTTAAATCATTTTAAAGCAGGATTTTTCTTATTTATATAGTATGAAAGCCTTAAAAAGAGGGGGTTATTAGATTATAAGAATCCAAGGGAAGCTGCACTCACTTAAATCATTTTTATGTGATTAAGGTAAAGGTAAAGGTACCCCTGCCTGTACGGGCCAGTCGTGTCCAACTCTAGGGTTGTGCGCTCATCTCACTTAAGAGGCCGGGAGCCAGCGCTGTCCGAAGACACTTCCGGGTCACGTGGCCAGAGTGACGAAGGTGCTCTGGCAAGCCAGGACCAGCACAGCACACTGAAACGCCGTTTATGTGATTATTAAATTCAAAAAATTCTAACGACATATATACATTAATGGGGTCTGAACTGGTGATGACTGGCCAGGAAAGAGATACTGGGGTTGTGGTCACTGTGTGTCAGCTCCACATTAGGGAGTATTAGGAAAGGAGTTGAAAAGAAAATGCTAATATGGTAATGCCATTATACAAATGTATGGTGCAATTGCAGTTGGAGTGCTGGTTCAAATCTCACCCCTGCCATGAATCTACTATGTGTCCTTAGGCATGACATTCTCTTTCAGCAACAGTCCATTCATCTGAAATATGGGGATAATAATGCTTGCACACCTTGCAGAGTCAGAAGGATTACAACCACAGAAAGCACGTGAAGCACTTTGAACAAGTGAAAACGCTTTACAACAATTAAGTATTGTTATACTACAGCCTGATTTAAACGGTACCTTTCAAAATTACAACTAAGGTTTTGCCATCTCCCTTAGTAAAAATGAATATTGGGGAGGGGGGGATAGCCTGCATTAAATCTGTTTCAGCAGCAAAGATATAATATCAGATCCAGTATCAACTTTAAACATTAACAGGCCATGCACATCAGATATGCTCTATTATATGGCTGGCAATGTGGTGGTGTTCCCTACTGGAACTGAGATATGTATTTGCTAAGTTTAGTATTAGTACCTTGCTCTCAGGCAGAGAACACTCAGGCACAGGGCTAGCTATTTGTGCGACTTGTGCTTCTAGGTAACAATTCTTAAGGAACATGATGCATTGAAGTTCCAAACGATTAAGTCTCAAACATTTGGGCCCATTTTATGCGTTTGGAATGGAAAAATTAGCATGCATGTTTTCTTCAAATATTTACCGGATTTTTCGCCCCATAGGACGCACCGCCCCATAGGACGCACCTAGTTTTTTTGGGGGGGGGAATAAAGGGAAAAAAATTATCCCCCCCCAGGTGCGGGGCTGGGGAAACCTGAGCTTCCCCCAACCCCAGCCCCCAGAACAGGCTGCTATCCGCAAGCCGTGGGAGAGCTGCGCGAAGCCGGAAGCCTGGGGCGTGCTGAGCTTAGCGTGCCCTAGGCTTCGGGGTGCAGGCAGCTCTCCGCAAGCCGCGCAGCTCACCCACGGCTAGCGGATAGCTTCCTGAAGCCTGGAGAGCGAGAGGGGTCGGTGCGCACCGACCCCCCTTGCTCTCCAGGCTTCAGCGAAAGCCTGCATTCGCCCCATAGGACACACACACATTTCCCCTTCATTTTTGGAGGGGGGAAAGTGCGTCTTTTAGGGCAAAAAATACGGTATCTCATTATAATCCATGTGATTACTCCAGTATTCATCTGGATTAAATGACTGAAAAGTGGAGGGCCACAATTTTAGATCTGGGATTAGTTACTGTTGAACTCCTGTCACCCCTAGGTAAGATATAAACATTATGTATGTATTCATATTCTGGTACAGAAAACAGATGTGTTTAAAACAGACAAGGTGCTTATTTCAGGGACCAGATGATGACAACCAGCTCTAGTTCTCCTTTTTGCATCTCAGACAAGTGAGGGGTAGACAATGGGATGGATGAAGGCTACTAAACAGAAACTCAATCCTGACAAGATGGAAGTTCTATTATTTTATTTAAGGCATTCATGCCCCACTTTTCACCATATGTCCAAAAGTGGCTATGGGCAAGGGGTACATCTGGTCAGGCAGATGGTGTTCAGCCTGTTCTGAATTGATTTGCACTCCCCCTAAAATGATCAGGTTCCTAGGTGTGGCCCAAGTGACCTCTGTTCATGAAGCACCTTTTCATCAGCTTCAGCTTATGAAGAGATAACCCAGCCACTGTTATCCAATGAAGCTGTCTTTCAAAACTGCACAGAAACTGTAGTTCAAAATACAGCCTCTAGGCTTATAAAGGCCAGTTGCTGGGCAGACATATTTCAAAATATTGCATTTTTAAAATTATTATGCAACACCCCCTACGAACATTATTGATTATAATGTTAAAGGAAAACAAAAACACCTGGTATCTTGCCAGTCAATACAGCTAACAAATATTAATGTGAAATATGGGTAGTAATGTTAAGCTGTCTTTTGCTTTGGCCCTGGCTATTCAATAATTTGGATCACCTCATGGTGATTTTTCTGTTCCTATTCTCCCTTTGTGGAGCTTTCGTGTTGATGGGTCTTCATGCGTTCAGACTTTTAATGAACTGCACCCAAACAAACACTAGCCCTTAGACAGCGGCTAAATCCAAAAAAATATTGATGCATATTTGCAATAATACTTCCCCACTGGAAAATTACAGAGATGATGATATACTATGTCTTTGGCTTCACTGCAAGCCTTCCTTCTAAGGAAGACTTTTAGATTAGTGTTTAATTCTGCTGAAAACTGTCTAAGGCTATTGTCCATATGTATGTGTGGTAATTCTCTTCTGAAAGTTTGCAAATATATTATATCAGAAATGTTAACTTGGTATACCTGGAATATAACTTCTAGGCAGGAGAAAGGCGTAAAGAAGGAGTGAGGTGGCAGAAAAGTTGGCATGATGAAAACACAGCACTGGCTCCGCTAGTGCATCTACACTGTGCCAACTTCCTGTAAGCAATAGTGACCCACCTAACAGGATGTCAGCGTGGCATCTCTGCTACACCCAGTGGGTCATTTCTGCTAGTAACCACTGAGAATCTGAAGCAAATTTGGCCAAGTGATTGGTATCACAGTTAAGGATTTCATGAATATGGAATAAAAGTTGTAAAAATATATGGCCGTCAAAATGCTTTCAATTAGGAATTTCCTTTTCTCTAGAACCCTGATACTTTCATGCACATGCTCTGCTGCAGCCCCTCTGGGGTTATGTCTCTAGTAAATATGAACTAGAAGGAGAGCAGATTCTGGGCAGCAGGCAAGAAGTTTTCATCCCTGAATCATTTTACAGTTCTCCACCTTGTTCATTCATTCAGCTTGGAGGGAGGTGCCTAATCTTTTACTGAGATTGAGAACAGAGACTGAGATATTGTGACTTGCCCCAAATCACCAAGTGAGTTAATGACAGAGTGGTTTGGGGCAGCTGTGCTTGCTGTTCCCATATCTGTCCAATCAGACAAAAAGCAACGGATAGGTGGGTCAAATTTTTAAGAAAAAAAGTAGGGTGCTGGCGAGAAATGAACTTTCCACACCATCATTGTGAGAAGTGACAGGTGTCCCCCCCCCTTTCTTTCTTTCTAAACCTTCACTGCTCACACTACCTGTGAATAAGGGCAGATCCACGAAGAAACAAATGTCTTTGCTTCCATCATGCTGAGTTTGTCCCTGTGCTGTGACTTGCGAACAAGCCTCCCAGCCCCCAGGGTCATCGTGCAAACTTGCTTACATAAAAATTTAAGCAAAGATAACTCTGCTTGTATGAAAAGCATGGCAATGGTGACCCTCACACACGTTCAATCACTTGGACTCCTGTTCCTGCTGCTAAATATTTAACTGCACATAGCGCCAATTCTTCCTTGGTATTATACAAATTCACAAAAGTGGCAAACAGTTGACAACGGACACGCAATACAGCGATTGAGGAGAGGTCAGGGACTGACAGTGAATAATGGGGATGAGCAAGTCTGATGTTAGGAGCTAACCCAGGAGTGGGTTACGGTAGGAAGGCAAGTTGCGTTGGACATAAAATAGTTTATATGCAGCTCATATAGACTAAGAGAGCAAAGGATGTGCATGTAACAATAAAACATGCATGCTTCCACTGTCCTAAATGAGCTAGAACATCTCTTAAGAAGCTATTAAAACACAATATGATAATCCATGGATTAAGGTCATTAATAGTGCACAAAGACAATTGTTTGTGTGAAGGACTTGCATGATATAAAGCGAACAGATTTTCCTGAAGGGGCCTTTCTTTTTTCTACAGTTACTTCTCTCTCCTCTCCCCCCCACCTTTAGCATACATCTCTCTCCAGACCAGACACAGACCAGAAATATCCTGAAGGAAGGTTATAGTGTGAACCTGTTTACTGCTAAGATGTACATTCGCAGACTAACTTCCATCTTGGTGGTGATGCAAACACTTCCTCTTCTTAAAGGGTATGCATACATCCAAATGTCTTAGATTTAAGACGTGCAAAGTTGAAAAACGTTTTATGGAAGGGGGCTCTAAGCCAAAGAGAGAATGGGCATGACAGACAAGTACTTACCATTCCGAGAAAGAGAGCATAAAAGTCTACACACTAGCCAAGTACCACCACTAAGCCAAAAATAGCCTTAATCATTTAACCACATCAACGTTTTAAAACTAAACAGGTCTTTTGAGTCTCAGAACTAAGCATTTGACTCTTAATACACCTGTATAAACCAAACCAATTACAATAAAAAATGCACGATAAAACTTTTGTTACACTTATGCTTTATACAAACAAAAAGTTTCAAGAAGCCGGACAGACTTTCTCAGGCTGATCCCACAACTTGACTGTGAGGAGGAGGGCTGAAAAGCCAATGGGCTCCCAGAAACCCTGCTGCCCTTAGCTTAGGAAGGTAGTGGCTGAAGAAAGAAGACATGTGCACCTTGTAGCATCAACTGACTATCAAACAGCTTTGGTGAAGCTCTACAGCTTCTGGGATGCTGAGTATGCTAATTGGAAATGTTGGGGTTTATAAGAGAGTGGGTTTAGGGACGCAGTCAAGAGATACTGGGCTCTGACTCTCATACACCAGGCCAGCTGACTTGGGTAGGATAGAATAAGCAAGGAAAGAAGTACCTCATCTAAAGGTCTAGTTTGTACATCTAGTTTGTACATTCACATTAGAAGTTTTCAAAACATAGCCATTTAAGACTCATTTGAGAAAGTGGCCTTATGGACAAGTTGTTCACAATGTATTAGCCTGTATGTAAGAATTACCTCCACACTGTGGAGGCTGACAGGAGGGAGGTAAGGCCAGAGCAATTAAAGCTGCAGGAACAGTGGGCAGCCTCTTTTGGTAGTACTTTGGGAACATAGGAGCTTATAATTATGTAAATCAATTTATTACTCATGGCATACTAGGTGACACCACAGACTTTGAGATTCACAGCTACAAGGAAAATATGCAGTCCCCCCCTTTTTCTTCTTCTTCTTCAAATAACATACAACACAGGCTGAATTCAGACAATGCCTCAAATAAAAGGAATGGTGATCTAGTTTGGATGCAATGGAAAACCCATGTTTGGCTTTCGTTAATAGTTTCAGGCTCATGCGTTCCCCTTCACCCGCCTCCATTCTCCTATTCCCTCCTTGACTTCCTAGTCCCTGCATAGGCAAACTCGGCCCTCCAGATGTCTTGGGACTACAACTTCCATCATCCCTAGCTAGCAGGACCAGTGGTCAGGGATGATGGGAATTGTAATCCCAAAACATCCGGAGGGCCGAGTTTGCCTATGCCTGTCCTAGTCTGTGGAACACCATAGTCTGCTGTTCTATCCAGACCGGACTTTTGAAACACAGACAGCAGTGAATTTAATTAAGCTGGGTATAGAGAGAGGTTGGGAAACAAAAAGAGGCAAGTTCCAATCCATGGTTTGCCTGCTGTACGTTTGGAAGCTCACATCGTAGTCTGGATTCTAAGCTGCTGTTAATACAAACCATACTTTGTATTTAATTTACACTGCAACTATTAACAGCAGCAGTATCTTTAAAATTACTTAATAAACCATTATTTCTTGCCTTAAACAAGACACATAATGTTTAGTTCTTACCTTTAGGGAATCGAAGCAGGCAATAACTCTTCCATTTTCAACCTGGCAGCTTTTGGGTGGATGTGCAAATTTACATTCCTCATCAGAGCGTGAACAAGTTCCTCTCTGAAACTGCCTGCACACTTCTAATGTCAGCCATTTTGTATCTCTTACAGGAGCAACATTCAAAGCCATGATGTACAATTGATTTAGTTTTTGAGAGTTGCTGTTAATGAAATCACCTCGAGTTATGAATTCCAACAACTCAGGGAAACCCTTTCAATGTAAATAGCTCCTTGCAGCAATGGTGTAATAAATGCTTCAGAGAGTCCAATGCGCACAAAGCTGAATGAGACAACTATTTATCAGCAAGCATGTCAATCATCAATCAATATGTGCCACTTGTAGACTTTTGGCTGCACAATATTCATGCTCGGTAGCATTTCTGGCTGTAGAAAATGTGAGTCCCTCGATGGTTTTGTTGACACCGTTTTGTTCAGCAAGTTTTATTTTCATGCAATGGCATTCCTCAACAACATTTAAGCCCACTGTGTCCTCTTTGTTGGCATTGATTACACAGAAAGAGCTACACATTCAGCAGTTTTCATGCCCAAACTAATATTTTCCTCAGGCTCTGTAAATGCAGGAGTCAGTTTTGCATCAAGTGGCTGGCAAACTGCTGCAGATGACACATAAGGTAAGAGCTGGCAGAGAAATCGTTCTGGAAAAAAGCAGACGAATTGTTTCTTGTACGAGTGACTTCAGAAAGGCACTTGCAATGCATGGACCTGTGAAAATAAAGCAGAAATCTTATTCAAACAACTTTCAAATTACCTGTGGTTTTTCGCCCTATCTAAGTAGCTTTATGGCATTAGTTGCTTCTTACAATGTGCCACAGATTTTTAAAGCCAAGGATATGTAAAGGAAATATAGCACAAACTGCACAATGAGCTAATCTCTTCATCCTTAAATGACAAACACAAGTTTTGCAGGAAACACTCCTTTTTTATTATTATTAACTAGTCACTTTCACTATCAGTATCAGTTGTAAGGTTTTTTCCACCTCAGACCTGCTAACACAAATGAGCATTTTCCACTGTTACTTGATATTTGTCTGTCTGGGCTGACTTTGGGAGGGAAGGATTAAGCTGGGAGACGACAAAGTTCTTAATGTTTTAATGCATTTGACACTCAGTCTTGGGGCTAGCTACATATTTTAAAATTAAAAATATAAAACAAATTACTGATCATTCTAGTCCTAGCATAATGCAGATGAACATGCTTACTATTCAGAAGGCTCTATAACAATTTCCAGTTCATCATTTTACTACTCACAAGGCAATCCTATGCATGCTCAGTGTTTAGGGCTGCAGTCCCAGTTTGCATTATTTAGCAGCTATCTCCAAGCAGTCTGTCCTCATTTCCTCAGGAGGTAAAGGCCTTCTCTGAATGTGCCTTCTTCCAGGAAAAAAATAGCGTTCCTCATCTCTTAGCAGAGACAAAGTCTGTAACCCTAAATAGATTTCATTGCAAAACATCGTGACTGGCACCACAGAATGTAGCAAAAAGTGTACTAGGAATCAAATGGATGGAATTATTTTGCAAGGCTGATCAAGCTTTGTTTATTTGTTTTCTTATTTATAATGTTCACCTTCAAGTAACAATTTCATTAAAATGAACCACATCTTCCTTGCCAGGATTACTTAACCTGATCCACTGATCCACTAGCCACTATAAGGTAGGTTGGGTTTTTTTTAATGTGCCTCATGCTATTTACAGGATAGCAATGAGCTTATTAAGAAAATCTATTGGGTTACTCCAAAGCTGGCTTTATATTATAATAGCACGGGTGGCGTTTAGGCCATGTGGGAAAGCGGGAGGAAAAATCTACCACCAGCTGCAAAGGAAGCAGGGCCCATGTTGCTACAACGGCAAAAACTCTCCAGAAAAGAATTCCTTTATGCAAGGCTGGATAATTGTGTATTGGGTCAGCTTAGTTAATGTATTTTGAAATCTGTTGGTGACAAGAGCAGGCACCCCTTGTGCCCCGATAATGGCAGTGAGGATTCATCACAGCTTGTTGTTCTGCCAACATCATCTCCCTTCCCATCATGGTTAAATCCTTGAACTGGTCCTTAAGCAGCAGGACAGGGCGGCTGTACCTCTCCCTACAACGCTGGGACCTTCCTGGGTGTGGTGGGTTATCGTGCTCCTCTGTATGGTGCTGCAGACCATGGGCTGCAGCAGACCCTTCAAAGGGTCTGAAGGATTAAGGGCTTTGCAGACCCTCACATCAGCTGCAACGTTCTACCAGGTGAGCTGGGAAGAGCAAGTCTGAGGGTCTTCGGACTTTGTGGAGTGGTCATGGCTTAGCCATGGCCTTTGATGCTTTTGAATTATGGTGCTGGAGGAGACTCTTGAGAGTCCCATGGACTGCAAGAAGATCAAACGTATCCATTCTTAAGGAAATCAGCCCTGAGTGCTCACTGGAAGGACAGATCGTGAAGCTGAGGCTCCAATACTTTGGCCACCTCATGAGAAGAGAAGACTCCCTGGAAAAGACCCTGATGTTGGGAAAGATGGAGGGCACAAGGAGAAGGGGACGACAGAGGACGAGATGGTTGGACAGTGTTCTCGAAGCTACCAACATGAGTTTGACTAAACTGCGGGAGGCAGTGGAAGACAGGAGTGCCTGGCGTGCTCTGGTCCAGGGGGTAACGAAGAGTCGGACACAACTAAACGACTAAACAACAACATGGCTTAGCAACAGAGCACATCCAAAGGGCCCCAGGTAGGGCTGGAAAAGAGCACTATCTGAAAACCTAGAAAGTTACTTCCAGGCAGAAAAAACAATACTGAACTAGATGGACCATTAGTCTGACCAGCTTCCTAAAGTCACTTCCGTGGCAACTCCACCCTCTCCGGCAGGCAGTACAGCACCAAAGTGGTTCTTCTCCCTACTTGGGACAGTCATTTGCAAAACGGTTGTGCTGGGGGTTGGTTGCTCTCCTCTGCAGCAATTATGCCACGGGGATCCTAAAGGCTCCATTTTATCCCCCATGCTTTTCCATATCCACACAAAACTGCTTGCAGATCCCTGTGGGAGTCCAGCAGCACCTTTTTCTTCTTACACAATTCTTAGATCATTACTCTCTTCCTTTTCGTTATGATTTTCTCTGCTTCATTCAGAAATGAGCTAAAACTGGTCAACCCCATCAAATGCACATAAAATAAACTTCTGTACGCAGCACTTGTTGGGGATATACTAGCACTACACCAGTGTCTTGACTAACACACATTAAGTATGAAGGGCAGATGCACACCAACAGCTGTCTGCACATGCTAACAGCTCTAGCTGACTGAAGGTCCCCTTCTGGTGTGCATTCAGCATTACAAGTCCACAAATTATACCTGCTTGAGAAACTGAGCAGCAAACGCAGGTATTGCATGATGTGTGAGGCTGTTCTAAACAACTCATCAGAAACAAATCTCAAAGAATCTGCAGTGTATCTAATGTTAAGAACAGAAGACACAATCATAGAATGAAAGAGTTGGGAGGGACCGTGAGGATCATGTAGTCCAACCCTCTGCAATGAAGGAATCTTTTGCCCAATGTAGGGCTTGACCCCACAACCCTGAGATGAACAGTCTCATGCTCTACCAACTGAGGTATCCCTAGCTGAGATTCCTGTATTGCAGGGGGTTGGACCAGATGACCTTTGCAGTCCCCTTCAATTCTATGATTCTTCCCCTCCAATTCTATGATTCTAAGATAACTCGCCTAAGAATAGGCCGAAATAAGAATACACACATATTAAGGTAAAAGTTAAAGAACTTCAAAGTCACTACAAAGTGTATAGGGGCTTGCTTGTACACTGAATTCACTGCAGAGAGACACCCATTCTTTGTCGGGATGAGCTTTGAAAAGCCAACAGGCCAATTACGTTTAGCTTACCATACAGGTTCACATGTCATGCTCACCTAATCAACAAATGATTGGGAATGTTCCACAAGTTTGAGCAGTCCTTGTTCTGCCCCATCCCCCTCCCGCGCAGCAGCTTCACCCCTCCCTTCTGTGGTTTGCAATAACCAAAGCTTGCCAATGCCATGCAACTTAAGGCCAGCCCTAACCAGGACCGCTTCCAAACCTACGTCAAACTAGGATTTCAATTTCAAACAAGGATTTGGAAGCAGTTTGTGAAATCTTTAATAAAATCTGCTGCCTTAGGTCTACTCTGCCTGTGGGTTTGTCGGTCAAGCCCAGGCAAGATGTAATGGATAACAACTCTTGCAAGTGGAAAGTGATCAGGCCAGTCTGGTTAGTTTCAAAGCCATTAGTAACTCGCTGCAAAAAGGCACATTGCTTAAATGAGGGTGTCTTTCCTGATGCCACAAAAGCAGGTTAAAAGAGTAAGTAGGTGTATGCTATGTTAGCAAATGCAAACTTGCAACAGCTCTGAAAGTGGAAAGATTCTATAGGACGCCTTAACGCTGAGGTCCGATTTAAAGGTTACCTTTGCTGGGCGGGAGCTGCCTCTCTGGCTGTGTACACACCACATGTTTAATGCACATTGAAAGTACATGACTCCCCCCAAAGAAGTCTAGGAACTAAATGCTGGAAACTGTAGCTCTGCAATGGTTAAACTACCGTTTCCAGGATTCTTTGAGGTAAGTCATGTGCTTTAAATATACAGTGTGTGTGTGTGCTGTCTCCAGATCTCAACTCCCTTGAGCCGTTTCTTCATCCCAATCACGTGGGAGAGTTCAAACTGCTTAGCTACTATCTAGTAAGTCCCCACAGAATCTGGTTTCTGCTGTTAATGTCAGCAGTACTTCATAATTCTCATAGGATTTGGACATACGGAGGTTTTTTGGTGGTGTGAAATCCCATTGTGATGAACTGGCTCAACCATCAAGAAGGTAATATTTCAACTGAGCCGGGAGATAAATAAAAACCAAAGACTTCAGTATAAACACACTTCCTAGGAAGTAAGACCTGCCAAAATTATTGGAAATTATTTTCCGTGTAATCACAGTTAGGATTAGGATCAGAGTGTAAAGTATCCACAAATTCTCCAAGCCAATAAACCCAATTGAAATCAATGGGATTTGATATATTGGGGTTTTAATATGCGTGGTTATTAAATTACTAAATGTATATAATGGTCTGCATCCCTTGTCAACTATTGAAACATGTTTTGAATGGGTACATATGTAATGTTAATTCGTGCTTCACTCCAGGTAGTAGGAAGGAGTGAAGGGAACACAGGAAAGAATTTACCATCAGAAGCTAAAATTAAATTAGCAAAAGAATGGCAATTAAGATCAATACACTCAAGGGAGCAACAGCAGAGCACAGTATATCAAAGAGATGATATGCGGATATTAATTAATTCATGCAGGAACTCAAATTGTAGATATGCTGTTATTTACCAATTACCAGATGGATGTTTGCGGAATTCGAGGACATAAGGCAAATTTCAAATCTTATTTTTGCACGAGACTGTCCTCTCTGCTTAATAGTAGTTTTATTATATCAATGTCATTCTTAAGTATCCATATATTGTATTCTAAATTCAAATACCACATCAGCAAATATCACCTAACAACAACTACTACTACTACAACAACTCCAACTAGTATCTTTATATTAAATGTATTTTTGTGTTTTTATACTGTAAACCGCCCAATGATCCTTGGGCTGAAGGGCTGTTAATTAATTAACTGATTGGATTGATTGATTGATTGATTGATTGAATGTAGGTGCACATAAGCCCCATTAAATTCAATAGGGAATATACACAAGTTATGTTTATTAAGCATTACCTCTTCTTTGTTTTCCAAAAAGCTAATGCACTAATGAGATATAAATCAAAAGGCCAAAGTCTTGCCAGACCAAAGATTTTAAGCATCTATTGATTTCAGTGCAAGTTATTTAAACACATGGTTAATATTCCCATTAAAATCAGTGGAACCGGATCATGCCCCAAGAGTCAACACGATAACATGCAATAGCAACCATACCAATTTCCACCATCACTCCCTCTAATATCAGTGCATAAATGAAACCTTCATGGTTGCTAACGAATTCTTCTTATACCTGCAGGTGAATACGGCACCTGGCATTTGGAGTACCCTTCCTCCCTATTCTAAACATAATGTATTCTGCTAGCAGCCTCAGGCAACATCCATCACGAGTAAAAGCAAAGAGTGTTAAATACTTCTGGAACAGTTTTTTCAGGCTAGCATGCCTTACCTCAGTGTCCACATGTATATTTAGAGATGTATATACTTCACATTTTCCTCACACTACTTAAAGTTAAAAATATACTGCCAAGTTCTCTTGAGCTGTGCTTTCTGCAATGAGAGCATTCAGTGCCCACCCAATGAAGGGCACACACCTTGGTAATCACAGACTTTTTGCCACAAGCGTTCTAGCACAATTTCCTGCCTAACAGCAGGACTATCCATTCACAAGTCTTGGCAGTCCAGAGCACAATGTGCCACAAGCAGAGAGAGCTGACGCACTGCACAAAACAACTTAGAAAGCAAATAGTTGTTGATGTCTCAAGCAAAAGGACGGAGGCGCATGCGACTCCTGCTCAGTGGTGTCCAGCCTATATGTACAGACAATTCTTTTCCAAACTAGTCAGATCCCCAGAGGATCGTGCAAAAAGGAAATTATGCATGACGCAACTCCATCGCATCCCAAGTACTGTGGCATAGGGCCAATTCACAGAGTACCATCATCCTATAAAGGTTGCCTCGACCCAAAACTGTCACTAGAAGAATGAAAAAAGCTTGGGTTTTAGGTAGCTAGTAGTGCAAACGTATGATTCAGGTGCACTATATCTTGCCTTGCCCAGTGTCCTTCAAAAGGGGAGTGCCCCAGCTACTATTGTTACAGCGCATTCCCACACTTCATGCTCAATTTTCTTCCCATTTGCTATCGCAGTGGCTGCTTTCCTCCAAGTCTGCTTTCCATTATTACTGTTGTTGTTTTTGCTGCTGCTGCTATTGGCATCCGTCTCAAGAGACAATGGAGTGCACCTCCACGGGTGAACATTAGCAGCACCAGTGACCTACCTGGGATGCAAACCTGCGCATTGTGTATGGAGGTCCTGGGCTGCCCAGACAACAAGATCTCTCTGATGTGGGCCAAAGGAAAGCAGAGCAACACGTTTGACAACAGCTTGGCTGCAGAATTTTCCAGAAGGAGGCATGTAAGTCCCCATCCAACGGTCTTAGGGACACCACTCTGAATTTGTGTAGGGTTTACTCCTTGGCCTTTTCTTCTCCCGAAGATATCATGTAAGGCTGTGGAGGTTTAGGACCAGAATTCTCCTTCTCTTGTGTGGGTTGCCTTCTCAGGTTGATGAGCCCAATCTGCCCCTCACTTCCCTCTATGGCATGTGCCAAAACTGCCTTCTTGACCATTGGACCCGCTATTGCTTTTTTCCACTCCATCTGCTGGAGCCTATCTTTGCATGTAGGGGAAATCCCTAACTCACTGAGGGTTTGAGACCCATCAGCTACCCACACCTGGTTTAGCCAGCCAGTTGAAGCCTTTCCTGGTGTGTGGCTGCTGTCACATACTGACAGCTTCTAGGAGCCACAGGTGAGAGCTGAGTGCATAGTGGGGATCAGAGGTGCTACTCCTCCCCTAACACCCCATAAAGGTAAAGGTAAAGGGACCCCTGACCATTAGGTCCAGTCGTGTCCGACTCTGGGGTTGTGGAGCTCATCTCTCTTTATTGGCCGAGGGAGCCAGCATACAGCTTCCGGGTCATGTGGCCAGCATGACAAAGCTGCTTCTGGCGAACCAGAACAGCACACAAAAACACCGTTTACCTTCCCGCTGGAGCGGTACCTATTTATCTACTTGCACTCTGATGTGCTTTCGAACTGCTAGGTTGGCAGGAGCAGGTACCGAGCAATGGGAGCTCACCCCGTTGCGGGGATTTGAACTGCCGACCTTCTGATAGGCAAGTCCTAGGCTCTGTGGTTTAACCCACAGTGCCACCCACGTCCCTTAACACCCCATACGTTATTATTAATTATCATTATTATCGTCGTCATCATCATCATCATATCCTTCCCCCAAGGTCCCTGAGCAGGTTACAACATTTAAAAAAACAGTATTAAAAACATTTTAAAACAAATTACAACACCCAAAACAAGGTGGGTCCTAAAAATATACACCCTGAGTGTCAAAAGCCAGTTAATGCAGTACGTCTTCAGAATTTTCCGCAAGCTGTATAATGAGCATTCCAGACCTAACTCTGTAAGTAGGGTGTTCCACAACGCAGGGACAGTCACAGAGAATGCCCTCTCTTCCAGTCACTACTACACCAAACCTCTGCAGGCAGAGGAACTACCCTCTGTTGATCTTAGCCCCCAAGAGGGTCTGTAGAGAAGGAAGTGTCCTTTCATATATTTGGGGCCTAGGTTGTTTATGGTTTAAAACACTAACATGAGAACCATGAATTGGGCCTGAAAACAAGCTGGCAATCTAGCCCCAAAGTACTAGTGCTATGTGCTTCCTCTTATATCTGCTGAAAGCGGTATTTGCCACGATGCCGTGTAAGATGCTGAAACACTCCAAACTAGCCTTCCACAATCTTTAGATGTTTTGAACTGCAGTTTCCATCATCCGTGATTACTGACCACACTGGCAGAGGTTGGTGGAGGCTGTAGAATCCAAAACATCTCGAGGTCACCAGGTTGTGGCTAAGGAAAGTTATTTAAATTATATATTAGATATATGTGACAGATATCTTACTTATAGATAATACTAACAGAATACAAATAAAAACTTGGGTCTTGTTTATTGTTAGGGTGGCACCTTATCTTCATCTTGGACTCGTAGATTTGGTGTTTCAATTTATCTATCAGAGCTTACATATAACATCAGCCAGCGAGTTGCATAGTAGTGTCCTCCCTTTACATTCTTTACAAGCAATCTGAAGTTGGGAGAATTAAAAAACAATGCCATACAAGGAGCTACAATTACAGGGGAAATGATAAAATGATCCACTGGGATGAGTGGGTTAGGATCCAGCAGATCTCTGGCTGAGAAGGGAGATTATTGGCACAGCTGGGCTACACTGTTTTAACTCCCTCAACCTTGGCTCAGCCAGAGATATGCCAGTATCTCCTCCATCCCAGCTTACCTGAGATCCAGTGAATCTTAAACTGGAGAAAGCCCTGAAAATGGGGTGTTCTGGGGTGTGGTGGGACTTTGTCTGGATTCTAAGCCCTTTCAGCTCAGTCATATGAACTGGCAACCCAGAATTAATCAAACCAGGAAAAAGGGAAATGTAACTAAAACACTATTTAAAGGCTTGTTTTTGCTCTACCAGGCTTAGGCCTGGTAGCAACAACCCCACTGCTTAACAGAGTTTGGATCTGGTGTAACTTTAAAACTGGCTTACTTTATGGCAAGCTTGCTTTATGCTGGTGTAGAATTACTCCTTAAGTATTCCTAAAGGCAATTCCCCCCCTTTTTTTTAGTAATTTCAAAAAGGCACCGTTCTAAAATAGAAAAGCAGCCTACATCAATATCAACCTTCCAGCAGCTCTCTGAACAAATGAAGGCAATCACAGAACAATCCTACACATATCTACCCAAAAGTCTCATTGGGTTCAATAAAGTTTAATCCCAGAAAACTGGATATATAATTGCAGCTATATTGCACCAGCTATATTCCAATCAACACTCTGCCATATCAGGAAGTAAATGATAGGACAAATGAGAAGTTAAGCGACTCCTCACTTAACAGATACTGTACAAGAAAAATCCCTTGCACATTTGGATTAACTAAAAATTATGTGCAACTTTGTAAAGGTAGTTACAACATTTTTCAGGGAAACAAAATTGGAACATTTCTTAAAATTAGAGAGATGTTGCACTGCATAGAAGCAACTTGATAAATCTTTAAGTACATGCCCTAAAAACCAGACAGTTACTATTCTGCTTTTGCAATACCAGTTTGTTTGGTAGCAGCTAAATACGATATTATAGTTCAACTCTGAAAGCATGCTCAGTCTGAACTCCTTTAATTGAGAAATGTTTTGAGAAATGAACTGTATGCTTAAATATCCATGACAGATCACGAATTAGTATTTTTCATGCTTCGATTTTAAAAACCTTCATCATAAAATCATGTGTGTGTGTAAAAACAATAGTCAAGAATGAAAAAAATGAGAGAAATGAACAACTAACAACCAGTTTCTGCAAATTAATTTCTTCTTGAACACAGTGGGTATAGAAGACAGTGAAATTAACAGTAAACTCTGCCTTTCCAAACCCAACTTTCTATTCAGAAGAATCAGAGTCTTCCATCCCAACTGCAGCTTTCCCCAATCTCGTAAGTGAGAGTATTCAACATAAATCTTCTGTTGCTGCTTGTAGCTAGTTCTTATCAAGTAAACTGACATGTCTCGGCTTTAAAAGCCAGACCTCCTCATTAAATTATTCTGCTGGCTGTGTGTTCTCATTAAAAATGTATATAGATAAGATATCTGCAGTAACTATTACTAGCCTGGCCATTTCTGTTTTATATAAGGGTTCTACAGTACTGACAACTTTGGAAATAACATGACAAGTTTGAAAATAACACTCCAAATCAATCACTGCTATCAAATCATGGAGACGTACATTGCAATGGGCTACGATTTCCACTGTTCTTTTGTGAAGAAACAGATTCCTTTTAGAAATTATGGCCATTGCCAAATTTTGGCAGGTAGCTTAACTAAAACAATCACACGCTTACCTGGGAGTAAGCCCCATTGAACACAGCGGGGCTTATTTCTGACGAAAGTGGCACAGGGTTGTGCTGTTAGTTTAAGCTGACATCTGCCCCCCCCCCCCAAGACAGAATGTTTTATTCCATTAACTCCTTTCGAATCTGTCTGTTGCAAAGTTCATTAATCCCCTTCCCAGATACACGGTTCTTGGGATTCATTTAGACACACTTTTTAGAAACACTGACTGCTTGTTTCCCCACAAAAAAGGTGTTATTTTTCAATAGATCTGTCCCATCACCCTATAGAGAGACAGGATCACTTGAATTGCTTTACACTGAATTCTCTTAATAAAACACAAACATCCTACAGAGTCTCTTTGTACGGGGGGGGGGGTCTCTTTTTCTGCCCCTCTAAGCAACACATATGATATGCAGCATACTGCAGCAAACTCTTTAAACATTCAGTAAAAGAAAACCAGCCTCCTACGTACCTTGTGTTGCTCTGTCTATCTGACACTTAAATCACGCAAACAAAATACTCTAATGCAATAGCGGTACTATCTTTTCGATTGCATCATGACGATGAATAAGTCTCCGGTGAAATAATTACCGCTGCTTATTTTCTCCCGCCTCTCTGGAAGCCGTACGCTTTATCTGGGGATTTTCCTTTCGATGATGAAGCAAAGGCAGCCTGAACTCTGTTGGTGAACAACTGCAGCCCTTCCTTCCAGCAAAATCCCTCCCAGTCCACTGTAGCCAATCACACAGAAGTTCAGCAGCTCTGTTGGTCTTAAACTGGTTGGAATGCATTGACTGACAAGGCAGCGCAGCTTGCCTAATGTGCAAAAACAATGCGTCCACGCCAATGAGAAAGGAATCTCCCTGGAAAATGGTGTTTCTTGAGAAGGTAAAATGACACCTCTACAAGAAAACAGAAATGCAAGAAGCGGGTAGGGGAGAAACACCACCAGATGCTCAGGTACCGATTCAATTGCAGGCTGATTTGAGAATGCTTTGAAAGAAAACACATGAGAACACGCACACAAATACTGAAGGAAATAATTTACATTTTAAAATCAGACGAAAGAGTCAACACCACCAGCTTTTTCCCCCTCAGAAGCAGTAGTGCTGGTATGTACAGGGTTATGGGTAACAGGCTGCCATCTGTTGGAACTGAGATTTGTTCGTGCATATTAATCCAAGTAATGTAACCTTCACTTAAAAAAAAAAGGTTGCCAAAATAAAAGCTGATGAGTTTAGACAAGCGGTTTATAATCTCCACATTCAATGTGGAAATTGCATTTTTTTCTTAGAAAGAGGTTTGCCACAAACAACGTACCATAGCATTACCTCATTTATTTAGCTTCTAAATTTGGAAAAGAGTCCGATGTTATATTTTTTCAAGTTACGTTTGGCACATATGAGGTAGGAAAAGACCTGAGAGACTGTCTTCATCCCTACAGAATTATTATTTTTTGAGGAGAGTGGGTGTTAAGATCAGCAGAGGGTTCCCTCTTGGTGGTTTTGCCACCTTCAGAAGTTCAGGAAGTGGCAGCCCAGCCACAGAGGGCACACCTGTGGAACTAGATCCCCACAGAAGCACAGCTGGCACTTTTGTTGCATAGTTTCCTTTGCATGCTGAGGACGCATCGCTTTACCCTGATGTTTGATAGTTGAGATTCAGAGCCGTAGCCAACTAAATTTTACTCAGAGTAGGCCCACTGAAATTAATGGATCTAAGTTAGTCATGCTCATTAATTTCTATTGATGCACTCTGAATTAAAACTAACATTGGATACAACCTGTATAATTTAGGACTTGCTCAGTTTTTCTGTTGTAAATTGTTTTAACTTATTTTATATTGTTGCAGCTTGCCCTGAGACCTACTGTCAAAGTAAGAAATCCTATAAATAAATGGGTTATATATAAAACAAATATCTTCCAATAATTTGGATGCTCAGGTACAGATTAAGATATAATTCCTGTGGTACAATACAGATGTGTTTTTTAATTAGCTCCCGCGATTTCTTGGCATGGCTTGGTTGGTTGTAAGTCGCTTCAAGTTGCCTTGGACAAGATAAAGAGACTAACACATTTAATAAATAAGTATTATTATTATTTCCTGAGAGTTTCGCTTCATGGAAAAACTAACACTTGAAGAATAAACAGTTCCTTTAGGTTCCTTCCTACACTACAATGATCTATAACAGCTAATACATACATTCAACACGATAATGGTCTAGAGTAGTGGTTCCCAAACATTCCCCACCGCCCATGGACCACTTGAAAAATGCTGAGTGTCTTAGAAGACAACTTGTCTGCCTGTTGCAGCAACTGTAACACTACAGTTCTGTGCTAGAAGCTGTACAATTTTACTTCTCATATGCTGTATTTTACTGCATACTGTAGATTTCGAATTGCAATACATTAAATCATAAGAAATAAAAGAAACAATAAAATGCAATTCAAAATCACTAGGAATACTTATTGCAATGGATGTGCCATCACTCATCTTCAACCACAAATCCACAGACATCATCATCATCATCATTATTAATTAAATTTGCATACCGCCTTACAACCGCAGGTCTCAGGGAGGTTCACAGGATACACTGCTGACCACCTGAATGATGCCTGTGGACACTTTTGTTCCATGGACCAGCTTGTTAACACATGGTCTAGACTAGAGCATCCCTATATTCAGTCACCGAAGTGTAAGCATTGGACATTTAATAGCACTCTGAAGAACAAATGTGATTTATTCTAACGGGAACAAAAGGGAAGCCTAACTGAACACATGCAAAGGAGCCATAACTGATGAGGCAAGATTATCTCCTTACTGGGTTCTGTCAAGTGGGACTCCACAGGAGTTGATACTATTACACAGTGCTCAACACACACACACACAAAGCCATGGGGCAAGATAGTCTGGAGCTGTGCAGTTGGGTATCATCATCATGTTGATGAAACCCAGTTCTATACTTCATTAACTAAACAGCTAGGTGCTAAAGCAAGTGTTTGGAACTGATGAAGTGGATGAGGTTGATTAGGCTGAGACTGAATGCAGACATCGTCTGTCTGATGCTGATGCTCAAGGGGCATTTTGCTCTATCCCATCAAAGTAGACTTACAGGCCAATGTTGCTCCTGGACTCAATGCTGCACCTCGCAGGAGTGCCTTCTGTCACTTACACCCGCAGCATAGGCTACACACCTTCTTGCAAAAAAGGTTTGCTGTCCTCATACAAGATTCTGCCAACCTACTGAGAACTTAGAAGCAAGCTCTGCTCCACATCCTGTTCAGCTGGAAGACGGCCTTCATGGATGAAGTATCTAAACTCTGAAACTCTCTCCTTCAAGAGGCATATCTAGTGCCTTCTCTCTTAACGTTTAGGAAGATTGTGAAAAGCATCCCATTTCTACGTGTTTTTAATACCACCAGATGATGCATTTCCCAAAAGCTAAGTATGATTTGTTCTGATTATGACTTGTGTGTTTTGTTTTTAAATTTCAAGTGCAACGCTTTGAGGGTGTTTTGACAAAGAAGAGCAGCTTATATATTTTTAAAATAAATAAAAAGAGGCTCAGCACCCAATCCATCCTTATAATTTATGATGGGTAGGACAGTATGAAAGCCACTCAGTCCAAAAAAGGCATTTAAAGGTTAAAACCAGCACTTTGAATTCAGTACGGAAGCGAACCAACAGCAAGTGAAACGGTTGCAGAATGGACTGGATATACTCCCAGCCCCAGTGTTTGGCTCTAGGTTGGGGGTTCCCAAACTGTGGCCTGAAAATTTATTTTGGTCCGTGGCATATCTGTGGATGCATGGTGGAAGATGGAAGGCAACAATCCATCATTTTAAACACAGTGATACCTTGGGTTAAGAACTTAATTTGTTCTGGAGGTCCGTTCTTAACCTGAAACTGTTCTTAACCTGAAGCACCACTTTAGCTAATGGGGCCTCCCGCTGCTGCCACGCCGCCAGAGCACGATTTCTGTTCTCATCCTGAAGCAAAGTTCTTAATCCGAGGTAATATTTCTGGGTTAGCGGAGTCTGTAACCTAAAGCGTCTGTAACCTGAAGTGTCTGTAACCCAAGGTACCACTGTATTAATATTGCATTTTTATTAATTTGGTCCATGGCATATCTGTGGATGCATGGTGGAAGATGGAAGACAACAATCCATCAGTTTAAATATTAATATTGCATTTTATTGCTTTCCTTTCTTATATTTGATTGCATTACAATCTGAAACCTATAGAATGCAACATATATAAGTAACAAAGTAATAAGTAAAAAGACAACAAAATCATACAGCATCTAGCCCAGCGCATTACAACTCCTGTGCTCCTGCCAGTGTGTTTGCACTGCGCCAACCTCACAGCTGCCTTACCCATACCACTCTCTTTCCCATTATGCAGCAGCAACTCAGCCAGAGGCAGTCCTGCCATGCTGCCTGCTACAGTCAATATGAATTCCCCAAACACTTATGACTTATAGGTCAAGGCCAGGACATAGAATTGGGGAGTCCATTCAGATTACGAAGCACAAACATGGAGGTCAACATCAGGTTTAAATCAGCCTTTTCATGCTACTAATGGGCCCCATCTAGTTCTACCACCCGAGTTCCCATACGGCACATCTCCTTTGTACACTCACTTTGGTCTCCTTATCTCCACAGACATGCCACCTGGCAGCAGGCAGTTATTGCTTAGTGTGTGATCTGAGCCAACAGGAGACAACCACCAGGTAACGTTCCCCAAGAACGTCAGGCATTGCCTCTACCATGATGGCCACCTGCTGCATAACAGAGCCAAGTATCAGCTAAGCTCCCGTAATAAGTACTGCTTCTGGATAAGCATCACAAAAAGAGAGAGGGCACAAAGGCAAGGGAAGCGACTGAAGAATGTAACAGCAGTGGTGGCAGCAGTGTCGTGCCACAGCTCTGGTGGTGGAAGGGATTCCGGTGGCAGTGGAATTGGCAATGAGCCCATCTGAGCTCCCGGTGCTTAGGTAGGTGCCCAACAATGTTGACACTTGACCCATGTCATGTGCTTTGCCAGTGATGACCTAATCCAGCAAGCAGATTGACTCCTGCTGTACTCTGCACCAGCTGAAGCCTCGAAACCAACTTCAAGAGCAATCTTGCATTGTGTGCTTTAGTGATACAGCCTTGAGAATTTGACACAAAAGCATTCCAGCCTATCCTGAAGTGCCAAGTACAAGAGTAGTTTATGCAAGTCCCCAAGGTTTTAGACCTGAGTGACAAGAGGAGACTGATCCCTATCTGTTATGGGTGTCCCCATCATTCCCACTGAGGTCACAATATCTGTCAATCTTCATTAATTCAATTTAATCTGGACATGGCTTTGGTAAATAGACATGCATAGAGTCCTTCACTGTGGTCAGCTGCACAGTAAGCACTTCACACCACAAGATCTGAAGACTGTTTTACCCTTTACTGGTTTCAAGGTAAGCCGAAAATGTTTTCTGTGTACAGCCAATAACATCTAGGGCACTACAGCTTCTCCATCCCTGGCTGTAATTTGCTTCTATAATTTTACGTGGTAGGCACCTATGTTGGAGAAGGTGGATGCAGCTCTTCTAAGGACAACTCCCAGGGCATAATGAGCAGCCATGCGGCATCACCGTTTGGCAGGTACTGACAAATGCCCTGGCCAGAACACCAGGAAGGAAAACTGTCCTCCCCCCTACAAAAAAAAAAGAGCTCCCAAACAGATCCATTTTTAAAATAACTCTTAAAAGAATGAGAGGATAAGGAGACAGCTGCCTCCCCTCACACGATGCACATTCTCACCATTTAATAGGCAAAATGAACACAAACAGCAAACTCTATGAAAAGAATGTGGTAAACAGGTATATTTGTGTGAGAATTAACTACTTTGGAGAGGGTTTTTTCCTGAGGCTAGGCTGATAAGAGAACATCAAGAGGATTCCTTTCAGGCATGCTTAACTATAAATTGCCTTTATTTTACTGTTATTTTACTTTTGCTTTTTCTTCATTGCCCCATCATCTGCTTTGCGCAATAGTTGCCTGATGAAGAGAAAGTCTGCCACTATTTTGTGACAGTTTGGTTGGTCCTAATTAAAGGGGTTTTGTCATTATAAGCCACAGAAATTCCATGGCTTCTAATGATTGCACCTTGACATGGGGTTTGGGGGCCACAAGGGAGTCTAAATTTGGGCTCTTCCAAAAATAAGATGATCCACTTATTTTTAAGTACCCTAACTTATTTTTTACTCAACCCAATGTGAGCTGGGGTGGGGTGGGAAGTCAAGAATATCTAAGTTTATCTTGCCATTGATAAAATTTCAAAAATGGACAAGCATTTTCCATCGGAGACTGTGCTCAACCCACACCCCAAAATTTAAAAAGTGATCTCTCTCCTTAATGCAGGGCTATTTTTGCAGAAGAGCTAGCCTCAGTTCATTTACACTCATGCATGTAGCGCTAGGCCATGGTTCAGCAATATGTACAAGTGCAGCCATTGTAAACAGGCAGTAGCCCATTTTCTTTGAACATCTGGCATTCCATGCGATTCACTGATAGCCTATTGAGATACCAGCTTTAAGGATCAGGTTTAGACATGTGCAAAGAAGTAATAGATGCTGCCTGGCAATGGTTGCATCTTCCTTTGGGTAGGGTGTGTTTGCAGAGTTAAACATTAAATGAGAAAACTATGAGTGTGCAACAAGTTGCAGCTTGGATGAGAATAGGAGAACAAAAGAAAGGAGTTGATGACACATCAGTTCTTCTACAACTTGAAGAATCGCTCTCTTATTTTTCCACATGCCCCTATTAAGATATTTAATTAAACACTGTATTCATTATATCTGAGTTGGGCCCTTTCCCCCATGACATACAGCAGCTACAACCCCACTACTTTTATGACATATTAAATTAGGAGGCAACCAGTCAGTAATAATTATCAGACGCTACAGTGATACTAAATTCACTTATTTCATCTGGAGCAAAGTTAATTTACGATCCACATGCAGTATTGCTTTCTCCCAATGAATTCAATGGGACTTAACCCAAGAATATCCAAAGCAAGTCGTTTTGGTATTCTCACTAGTCAGGGGAAAAACAACAACCCCACATTTCTATAAGAAATGAACAAACGTGCAACAGAATCCTTTTCCATGTTTACTTTGAAGCAAGTTCTATTGTGTCCACTTCCTAGTTACTAACTCCCTATGCAGGGACAATATAGCCCTAGGTTTATAGATTTAAGCAACCACTGCAATTCAGAGTTCATTTACCGGATGTATGGTCTACCCAAGTCGATGGAACACTGTTAGGTGCCCACCAACATCTCACCACCAGATGTTGGTTTCATACATCCTAAAAGTGGCTCCAAGGCACCCATACAGAGCTAACTGTATCCTTTAATATAACATTGCATTTAAGTGTTTATAAAATTATTATAATTAGTTCAGAACTACAAAGGCAAGCTGCAAGTCTAAATGCCACAGCTCAGCAGCTTGAAACACATAATAATATTTTTGATGGGAATCACAATTCAGTTCAGGTTTTTTAATACAAAGTTCAAAAGTTTTCATATATTTAAAATGTTCTCAAGCTGCCTCTTAAGACAAACGAAATACATTGAGACAACTGAATCAAATAAATAATGCTAAGGCAGCAACTTAAAAGCAACAAGCCAGATACAAAACAAACAAATGTCAGCTATGCTGCCAACTTTTCCCACATGTTGACAATTGTGCAGAACCTTTAATGCCATTTTTAAAGCATGTTATGATCATTTTAATTTGCAAACTCTCCCTAGGCAACAATCTCCCCTCACTAAATGGGAAGTTTTAATATGAGTTCAGTACGGGTCAGGCTACACCTTTTTATTCCAACCCACCAAGAGAGATACACGCAAGGAAGCAGAGTCCACCATCACCAATGGTGGACTGGGAGACTGGATATGGGGTGCGCATATTAACAAATGTATATGACCCCCTTTTACCATGCATGGTTTGAATGGAGTGTGCCACCTTCCCATCCATCTTATAATACACATGAGAATGTAAGATGGCACCCACTGTTTCACACCACTGGTATGTAGCCTTTGGTGCACGATTGTGTCAGGAGTGGGAGCTGTTCCACTAAAACCAAGGTGGCTCTCTTCACCGAGTCCAGTGGAGGAGGAGGAGACTGCACTCACAGCACAAATCTAAGCACATATACTCAGAAGTAAATCTCAAGTGATTTCAGTGGGATGTAGTCTGAAATTCCATGCAAGTTTAACTGGGAGGAAGACTGGAATCCTAAACATAGTTGCTTAGGGAGCAAGCACCACTAGTGAACTTACTTCTGAGTAAAAACACACAAGATTGCACTTTAAGTATCAGTGAGCACATGGGACTTCCTTCTGAGTAGGCATAGGATTGCAGCATTTTCACAAATGTAATGTTTTCTTGCATTCAAACAATATCATACAGCATAAAATGGAATTTTATGAATTGCAAGCCTGCAGAAAAAAGATACCATCCCAATGCAGCCTCAGTGTCTGAAGCCCTGTTTTTATGTAAAATTCCTCTGTCTCTAGTGTTGCATTTTCTTTCATCTTTCCCTCTTACAGAGTAGTCCTGGTCACAGATCCTTAACAGCCAAGAGAACAACATATTTTACTGTCTCTGAACTCTGTTTCTGGTGCCAGATCACTTCTGTAAATGAAATGTCCCTAAGAATGTTACTTCTTGCACCAATCTCACCAACAGCTGCAACTACAGAACCAGGAAACAAAACATTTAGAAAACACCACCATACAAAGCACCTTGCAGTCAGGCTCTCTTCCTTGCTTGAAACAACTCAGCCAAATGCAAACATGAGCTGCTCGCTGCTGCTGCTACCACCAAAAGCACCAGGGGTTGCCAAATGCTGAGTTAACAAAACTGTGAATCTGCACTGAACCAAAAGTAATAGGGAGTGCGTGGCTTTCTTTCCACACGTTCTCAGTAGCCTGACACTGTTGTACCCTGGACAGACAGGCACGTAACTTTATTCTTCTTTCCGCAAGGGCAGACGCAGATGCGTCAGATCTTTTAAAAAACTGTTGAAAACCAACGCATTTGTGCCTCATTCAAGCGGATCCCAAGTTACATATGCTACTCATTACTCGGGGAGAGGAGGGGAGGGGAAAGATTTGAAAAAGGCCTGAGTCAGCTGCAGGAGACCTTGGCGTTGGTGCCATTATGATTATGATTATGATTATTACTATTACTATTATTAGGGGGGGAGGGATTGAAGGAGTAGACCAAGTTGGCATACCCTAAGGGAAAGGGATCTGGCTCCCATCATGGCTTTTAATCTTATCTAAGTCAGAACTACTCCTCCCTCCTCCCTGAGCAAAGAGAGGGAGAGGCGTTCTGCTCCTTCACACGCGCGTCCCCTTGCAAATAACGCCTCTCCCGACGCTCCACCAGCCACGGTGCCGCCTCGGCGCGGGGGGAGCCGGACAGCCAGGGGTTAAACCCGGCAGCCCCTCGGGCGCCAACTGCTTGTGTGAATGCGCCAGCGTCGGGTCCCCGGGAATAGAGCACGCCAAACGCGTAAACCCGGGTCTAGAGGGTAAACAGGGCGCCTGGCAACGCCGCGGCTCTTCTGGCGCAGCGAACCTGCGCTCATCTCCATAGCACCCGCTGCGCGCGGGCGGCCGGGCGGAGAGGTGACGCCGCCGCCGCCGCCGCCTCGCCGCGACCCCTCCGCCCAGCCCGCGTTCCCTACGTGCGTCCCCGCCGCCCCCGGGAGAGAGGCCGGCGTCCTCCCCTCAGCCCGCCGCCCGCCCCTGGCCACCCGCCGCGCGCTCTCGGGAGGAGCCGGCGCGCCTCGCCAAGGTTCCCCTCGCCCTCGCCGCCTCCGCTTCGTCCCCTCACCTGCCGCGGAGAGACCGAGCCGCGTCCGCGCGTCTGGGGCTGGGCGCGAAAGGCAGGAACTTGCCAGCTCTGCCGGCGCGGCGGGGGCGGCCGCTGGGGACGGGCTGGCCCGGGCCCACCCCGAAGGGCCGGGCCAAAGCCGCCGCGGCGCCGCCTCTTCTCCTCCTCCTCACAGAGCCGCCGCAGCCCCCGCCGGCAGGCAGCGCGCGAGGAGACGCCGGGCGGCGGCAGACGCGGGCGGCTTCCCTGAGCCCGCTGCTCCCCCGGCGCCTCTGCGGCCCATGCCCGGGGATCGCCGCGCGTCCCTCGGAGGCGCACACCCGCCTCGGAGCTTTATTCACCGGCGTGGGGCGGCCTCGGCTTTCAGCTCGCCGGCCCTCCCCTCCGTGCAGCCAGGCGCTCCGAGTCAGGGAGGCAGGCGCGGGCGAAGCGTGACGTGGGGCGGAAACCGACAGTCCCTCTCGCGGCGCTTCAGGCCTCGCCGCCGCCGCCGCCTCAGTCCTGCGGCTCCGCCAAGGTGAACGCGGAGGGGCTGGGCTGGCTGCCGGGGAAGCCGAGGCCCCTCTTCGCCTTGCCTTGGGGGGCCCTCGGCCCTCACGAGTTGTGAAAAACTGACAAATCATAACCATCATATTTCTTAGTTATTTTTTTCCCTTCCCCACCCTATTGATAAAGCACGAAAAACGGGCATTATTTGCCCTTGAAATGGGCTTGCTTTCAAAACATGCACACCATGATAGGAACCAGGCGTCATAGAACATGAGAATCAACAGCCGTATAAGCCTGGCTTTTTCCAACTTGCACCGTTTGAGTGAAAGGCACAAAACAAATCTCTGAATTGAGCTCTTAGCTCGGCTGTCACTAGTCTTGCTTCTCTCCCCAGTCCATTAGGTGGGATATCATTTGAGGGGTTGGAATTAAAAGTCCTCTGGCAGGGCCTGCCATACAAGCTGATTATGGGTGTTGTGAAAGGACAGTGAATTGTTGGTCCTTTAATTTATTATCATCATCATCATTACTGTATTTTTACTACCAGAGAGGAGGAAAGGCACCTGTGGGATTTTCTACCTCAGGTTCCAAATAACTTTAAAGGCCTTGGCTAGGATGCATTTTTAACTGAGTGGTAGAGGCACCATTTGCTGTCCCACTTCAGGCAGTAGAGTATCTTGGGCTGGCATTTGCAGATTGCATATTTCGCCATTACATTTATCACTTTATACTGTACACAGGTTTCAAAGGAGAAAATTGTTCCTGAAATGTGGGGGTGGTGAGCGGAGGAGCATCTTGGCGATATGAACACCAGTCCCTCAGCATCACCCAGAGCTAGTTTCTGCTGCAAACAGGGCCCCATCTGTACTTTTGATTTAAACTTTTAAAGCAATGTAATACTACTTAAAGCACCCATGTCTCTCCCCAAAGAATCCTGGGAACTGTATTTTGTTAAGTGTGCTAAGGGTACCCCTGCTCCCCTCACAGAGTGACATTTTCTCAAATGCATTAACAATGGCTCTTCCTAGGGAACTCTGGGAATTGTAGCTCTGCTAGGAGAAATCTGACAACTCTCAGCACCCTTAACAAACTACATTTCCCAAGATTCTTGGTGTGGTGTGGGGAGAGCTGTGATTGTTCAAAGTGGTATGATACTGCTTTCAGTGTATTGTGCAGATGGGACATGCATGATAGCCTTAAGTTATCACACCTGGTTTGGTGTCTCGTGCACCATCGCCACAAGAAGCTCCACGCTCCCCCTACTCTTTGCAAACAGAGGGGCAGGATTGTGACAGAATTAAGAATTGGAAATAGTAACAAGCAAAATGGGAGCAGAGGCGGGGAGAAGAGGCAAACAATTCTTCTTAGTAACCACTTAAATCTGGGTTCCACTTTTTCACTAACCAAAAGTGAAAAACCGACTAGCATAATTAGATCCAAGACAATATTCCCTATTATTTTGTAATCATTACTTGCACAGCAGAAATCTTTATTGATAATCACTGCTTTGATCAATGCTGTGTATCTCTCTGAAGATATTCTTTGCTTTATATACATGTAGTTACAACGCAGTATATTGTTCCAGCTTGTCAATGATGAATTAATGAGTATATTTCATTAATGAAATACTATCATTGTACAAAGTGTGTGTGTTCTGCCTTTTGTTACGAAGTACTATCATAGAGTGAGGATCATAGCTCAGTCACAGAGTGCATCTTTTGCATAACAAATGCCTCCCTATCTCCAAGTAAAGGTAAAGGGACCCCTGACCATTAGGTCCAGTTGCGGACGACTCTGGGGTTGCGGCGCTCATCTCGCTTTACTGGCCGAGGGAGCTGGCGTACAGCTTCCAGGTCATGTGGCCAGCACGACTAAGCCGCTTTTGGCACAGCGCACAGAAATGCTGTTTACCTTCCCGCGGGAGCGGTACCTATTTATCTACTTGCACTTCATGCTTTCAAACTGCTAGGTTGGCAAGAGCAGGGACTGAACAACAGGAGCTCACCCTCTCACGGGGATTCAAACCACCGACCTTCTGATTGGCAAGCCCTAGTCTCTGTGGTTTAACCTACAGTGCCACCCGCGTCCCTTATCTCCAGGTAGGACTAAGGAAATTCCCTGCCTGAAACCCGGGAGACTTGATGCCAGTTCATCATGGCATTAAAGGTCTGACCTGGTATAAAGTAGATTCCTGTGTATCTGAGGTGATTGCTCCCTGGCTGCTCGTAAGGCCTGGGACCCGGCGTCCATCCACTATGACTCCTTTCTCTTCCTTCTTGGGAATATTGCTGCCTTTCAGGCCGGGTTCTGCATGCAGAATTTAAGGAGATATTGCTAAGTTGCTCCTGATCACCAGCTGATATTCAAACAAATGGCCGGAAAGATGTTCCTTTCACAATCCTCTGCTTGCCTACTCTTAGTCCCAAGAAATTTTTGCTGGAAATGGCCATTTGTCAAGTGGGCGGGAACTGAAGGAGCACCCCCTGGAGCATGGGAAAATGTGTGCCTTAGCATCCCAGGAGGTGGAAGATGAGTTCCGCAGAGTGATGGAAATAAAATGCCACATCAATCTTCTAATGTGAATTCCCATCATGTGCCAAATGATCACACACCTAGTGGGTAGGTATTGAAAGAGCAATCTCGGGAACGTTACAAACTGCACCTCATTTATTGCCCTTTGCGCTGTTACATCAGCTCACTTCTTTCTTTGAAAGAGATGCATATTTTAAGTTGTTCACTTGTTTCAGGTGGCCAAAGAGGCCAGTACTGTTAAAAATGGATAACTCCCATGAAGTAGCAGTCTTCCTTTCATAGCTGCATTACACTTGGGGTTGCCTTTGAAGATTGTTCAGAAACTGCAGCTGGTAGAGAATTTGGCAGCCAGGTTGGGGCAAGTCGCTGGGGCAAGATGGTCTGAGCACATAACACCAATCCTGGACCGACTGCACTGGGTACCAGTCATTTGCTGGGCCCAATTCAAAGTGATATTTTTGACCTATTCAGTATTATGTGGCTCAGGACCCCAATACATCAAGGACTGTTTTTCCCTATATGAATTAACCAAGATGCTGCAGTTGTCATCTGAGACACTTCATCATATTCCCCTTCCATGATGGGAGGTCTGCTTGTAGCATGCTCTCCTCATGGAGAATTGCTTGGTGCCATCATTACATGTCTTTAAGGGCCAGGCAAAAACATTTCTTTTTCATCAAGCCTTTGGCTTTTAATTAATTGTGGCCTTTTCTGTGGGTATGATGTTTTAATCCAGTTTTCTAATAAATAGATTTTTTTAAACACTGGTTTTAATACGTGTTGAATTTTTTTTGCACACACACACACACAGTTTGTGCTTGTAAAGTATATATATTCTTTTGATCCCTGAGATTTGCACAAAACAACAACAAGGTTCACACACAGCTATCCGCACATGTGACCTGTTGGTAGTTAATTTGTCTAGTTGGTCGTTAATCTGTATAACAGAATTTTTTAAAAATTGAAGGTGGGGATAAATACAAAAGGAACAAATATACAATGGGAAAAACCAAAGGTGCTTCTCATACAAATTCAATATGTGTGGGTGTGGACTACTTTGGTTTAATCCAAATGTGGTGGGGAGTGGTTTAACAGCTAAATAAAGCTCAAATGTGGACAAACCCAGAACTTCTTTCTGTGACTCTGAAGGCTCAGGAAAGTCCCGAACTATGTGGCATTATTATGATTCTTGTAGCTTTTTTAAGATACAAAGTTTATAGCCTTACTTTCTGCCCCTTGTCTCACTTTAGCAGGGCAGAAAATTCAGAAATATTCTCTTGCGGGGGGAGAGTCATTTATGCAGTGTTTGGAATAGATGCACAAACAATGCAAATAAGAAGAAAAACAGTACCAATGAAAATGGAAGTCACTGAAGACTTATTAAGCAACTCTACAGCTACTCTAAACAAATAATAGCACATATTGAGCAAATTGGGATAAGAAGCAGGACCAAGGATGATATATAGGTTTGTTAACGTAACAGAAATATTATTTATATTAAAATATAACGGGCTTGAGTTTCCCAAGTGACGTGTGAGTGCATATGATCACAAGGAGGATGAAATTGCCTGGGAAATTGCATGCCTTCCTCTTAAGGCCTGTTGAGGAATCCCTGCATTGCATTGTCAGGAGTTCTCAGATGTTATTAAACCATTGATTTTTCAGCTGTAGTTGTGAAGTTTTCTCATTTGACCCTACTTCAGTTAGCTCAAATGTACCTGTTTTGAGCCTCTGATGCTACTATCGTAGGCCCACGGCTCTCTGCATAGCTGCAGAGAACCTCCTTCCCTGCACACTAAAGGAGTCGCAAATATTAGAATGACTCCACTCATCCAGACATGCCACAACAGGACAGGCTGTTCAGAATCAGAATTTGCCTGGGTAATGCCAGTCATCCAAGCCTGTTGGTTTATTCCGACATTTCAGCTTGCTGCCTGGCTCTGACCTGATGGCTTAACAGCTATTGCTCTGCCCTGACAGCTTCCTGAAGCTCAACTTTGACAGTACATCTTAACCCTGGTGTTTGCTGCTCAAAAAATTAGGGGAGTTAGAAATGAATAACTTTGCGAGGGGCGGGCAAGCGTTGCAAAGCTGCAGTTGCACTGGATTTCCTCCTGTACATTCCTTGCGTTCTCTTTGCTCCCAGCTAAGCTTCAAGACTTCAGATAACAATGCAGTTCTGGAGTCGGAACCGTCAGCCTCACAGGCTGAATGTGTCCCTCCAGGCTTCTCCGTCTGACCCACATAATTCTCACTGGGCACACAACTCACTCGCCCTGCTTCTCACCTGAGTTCCCTTGCATCCCTGGATGGAAGATAAAAGAGACTGTGCATGTCTATCCGTTGCTCCACCCGCTGTTGTTTCGGATCTATTCTCCCCCGTCATGTGGTCCTTGGATGG